GTTGTTGTCACCGTCCGCGCGCTTTTAGTTTTGTTTTCACTCATTAATTTATACTGTACATGAACGCTGTATTGAACGTGTACACTGTAAAAAAAAAAATATGATCAATAAGTTTTATTACAACATATGTTTTTACATTGCTTTAACTCATCAAAATAAGTTAACTTATTTTTTTTTAATGTTATACAATATTCAACTAATTTTTTACGTCAGTTCAATGTAATTTAAGTTGAAATGACTTAAACATCCAAGTTGATTGTACTTAAAAATTTAAGGCAGCAACTTTTCTATTACGGTGTACATGAATGTCCTCGGATTCAAACTCCTTACTTTTAAAACCGGTCATAAATGTCACTTGACATCATATGTGTAGAGTATATTGTTAATATTGGGGACATATTATAAAGTGCAAATTCTCATCAGTTGTCTAATAAAAATTTCATTAAAAATGACATTGAACTTACGACAATTTGTAAAGAAATCTGCTTTTAAAAATAAAAGCGCTGGCAAAAACATATAGACAATAAAGCATTTTAGTGAACACTGGACTTTAACACACACACACAAAAAAAGAAAAGAAACAATCAAACAAGGTCGAAACTTTTAAACTCTTGATACAGTTTTGCATCAGGTGATAATATATTTAGATAATTTGTTAGTCACTTTTTATTGTCTATATTTTAATAAAACATAAGGAAATAGAACAAAACACGCCATCTAGTGGCTGACTAATTTTTACATTTATCATGGCTTGATAAATGGACTGTATTTATAAGATAATATTTACATGTATATATATATATATATATAAGATAAAGTTGTAAGTAATAAATAAAACAAGCTGTTTGACAGCCTATCATGGGAACTTAAGTCATATTTTTATATGCCAACCAAATTAGATCTTTACAAACCTATATACACTCACAAGAGACATGAAACATTCAAATCTGATGCATATTAATAAATAATCTTTATTTAGTAAATTTTGCACATTGCTTTCAACATCACATCCAATCTTCTTTATAAATGGATGTTTTCATCTTCCTGTAAAATCTTTTTATTCAGATCATTTTATTTCTGTACACATTTATTGGTACAATTCTCGCCACTAAAATGGTCACAGTCAGAGAAACAATCTGGGAGAAGATTGTAAAACAAAGAAATGCTTCACAAACAATACATTAAGACTACCGACATCTAACCCTACAGCCAAGCCCTGCAAGCTCGATTACCATTTTAATAACTGTGTTCCTAACAACCTGCTCCCTAATCACCGTGTCAAGAGAGAAAGGAAAACAAAGCCAGCTGTGATTGGTTGAGAAGTGAAAGAGGAGGAGCCTGAAGGGGAAGACGTGTATATAGATGCGAAAGAGACGTGGAACTTTACCCAAAAAACATGAACATCGTCAAATACAGATTCTTTTGCCCATTTCATATTCCCAAATTCTTGCCTGAAGAAAGCAACAATGCAGCAGTGATCATCATGAGTGTTTTCACGGTCTATAAAAATAAGTGTGTGTTAGTGAGCGTGTGCGGTGGGCAGCCACTCTCCGCGGCAGTATTTGGTGAAGCGATCTTTAAGGTGCTGTCTGTACTGGTCTCGTGTTCGGTAGAAGGACTTGTTGTTCTCCACGAACGACTGGATCTCGTCCTGTGTCAGGCAGTTCTCTTCATCTGAGGTCACTTCAGATTCATTCTGTAAGAAAAAAACAAAAAAAACAAAAAAAATCACTATATGCAACTATTTCAATAAACAAATAGTAGTGAATAATTACAATTTAACAAATTTTTTTTGAATGAACTGACCAAAGTACATTATTAGACCGTTTATTCTTCTAATCAGGGCCTAGAACAACTTGAAAATGTATTGGGCATATATCATTTTTACCAGCCATGAAATTGTTTTTGCAAAAACATGCAGTAATGACACCTACATATTAGATACCAGTGAAAATTCACAAGTTTGATACCACAGCTGAAACCACTAGCCTAACTAATATAAATGTAAACCATTATTTAAAGGTGCATTGCGCAACTTTTCATGTTAAAAATACCTGTTTTTCTATCCTATACATGCTTAAAGAACTGCCTGATGGGCTGAATGAGCCCTTCTCTGCGCACTGAGATTGCCTCTATAATCCTGTACAGTAAAATATATAAGAGGGATTCGGGCTCGAATTTGAGACTGGGCGTGACGTCATGCGCGTTCACGCTCACCAGGCTATGTCTCGCAGGTTTGTGTATTCGCCGGCGCCGCCATTCTCCGCATCAGCGGACAACTCGTGCGTCAAAAGTAGAAGATGGATTCAAAGAGACCGGCTTGTAGTCCATTCCAAACCCCAACGCAAACGTCCACGTAAAGTAAAGAAAAGAAAACTTTTGTCTAGTGCCACCAAAAGGGCCAAATTGGAGTCAGACAGGCGTCGGAATAAGACGAGAGTCAACCTCGGGAAATGGAGAGATCTCCGGTCTGCTCTTGGTCTCAAACGGGATCCTCAGTTGGCTTTTTTCTTGATAAAACGGTAAGATATAGCCCAGTCTCTAATGTTTGATACGGCAATCTATGACAACAAATGACGATGCGTAAAATGTGTAATGCTTTAGCGTAAGCTAGATGCATGTACAATCAGAATTGGTTGCAGTTTCGCTTGTCGCCAGAGGGGGCGTAGTTCTGCAAAAACTCAGAGACTTGCGTTTTGCACCTTTAAGACAAGCAAAGTAATAAAAATATGAACAAATAAACACAACATAAAAGATACAAATGAAATAAACAGTGCTTTTCAGGTACAGAAATGTAAAATGTAAAATAACTCTGCATAGTCTTCACTGTTTAACATCCTTATTAATTAATCCTTATTAAAGTTACAAAAGTGATTCAGTCAAGAGCAGTGAGTGATTTTCTACAGATGTGGTGTGAGACGTGCGAACACTCACCAGCAGCTCCATGAGGCTCTTATTTGTGCAGTGTTATTTTACATTTCTGTACCTGAATACCTGAAAATCTTAAAACACTGTTTGAATCGTTCGTTTGCAATAAGACAATGTGAATGATAGTAGTGATGCACCGATGTGAAAATTGTGGCCGATACCGATAACCGATATTAATATTGCTGTTATGGCCGATACCGATAACCGATATTAATATTGCTGTTATGGCCGATAACGATAACCGATATTAATATTGCTGTTATGGCCGATACCGATAACCGATATTAATATTGCTGTTATGGCCGATAACGATAACCGATATTAATATTGCTGTTATGGCCGATAACGATAACCGATATTAATATTGCTGTTATGGCCGATAACGATAACCGATATTAATATTGCTGTTATGGCCGATACCGATAACCGATATTAATATTGCTGTTATGGCCGATACCGATAACCGATATTAATATTGCTGTTATGGCCGATAACGATAACCGATATTAATATTGCTGTTATGGCCGATACCGATAACCGATATTAATATTGCTGTTATGGCCGATAACGATAACCGATATTAATATTGCTGTTATGGCCGATAACGATAACCGATATCAATATTGCTGTTATGGCCGATACCGATAACCGATATTAATATTGCTGTTATGGCCGATACCGATAACCAATATTAATATTGCTGTTATGGCCGATAACGATAACCGATATTAATATTGCTGTTATGGCCGATACCGATAACCGATATTAATATTGCTGTTATGGCCGATAACGATAACCGATATTAATATTGCTGTTATGGCCGATAACGATAACCGATATTAATATTGCTGTTATGGCCGATACCGATAACCGATATTAATATTGCTGTTATGGCCGATATTTACCGATGTCGATATCTCTGTATAGAAAACACATAGCGAGGATTAGGGCTGCACGATATTGGTAAAAAATGACATTGCGATATTTTATTTTTCTGCGATATAAAAACAATTTCACCAGATAGCTCTATTTGGAAAGAATGAATCATTCTAGAAGGACTGGGGTGGTTTTGTCATGGAGTAAATCCGCATAGAAACTAATATTAATAGAATGTTAACTAATGTAGACTTTAATAAATGGAACCTTATTGTAAAGTGTTTCCGATTTATGTCTCTTGGGTTCAGTGTTGGACAGATCAGTTGTGTTAAGTGAATCGGTTCAAAGGAGTCATTAGTTTGCTTTCGGGTTAAACTTTCCGCGACTGCGCAACTGGGTTATAGGTTGCCAGGTTGAGATGACAAACGGGTTGAAATTGTCTATGGTGTGTGGATTGTGTGAATAGAGGGTATGCGCATGACGTCACCGTCGGCCGGAGTGAATGCGATCACGCCCACAAGTGGCAAAAAGACTGAGCGGCAGCATTTGTTTTCAGCGTGAATGCCGTGAAAAACACACAAAACACATCTAAAACGGGAAACAGCTTTGCAATTGACTGTACAACTAGATTTGACCAGAAATCTGAGGTACTGTATATTTTTACAGACTGCAAAAAGCTACAGAACAGACTATATTCTGCATAATTGGATGTTTTTAAATAAACACTGACAAAAAACTATACAAGTTTTAGGGCTGGACGATATGATGATATACAGTATAACATTAATGTAAGTGATCACTCTGATTTAGACCTATCTATATTGTATTTATATAAAACGTTTACAGGCAAATTTTCTTAATTTATTTCCCCGGCGTCGAAATCAGGCACAAGTGACGTTAATGCATTCCCTCTATATCATAGGTTCTCAAAGTGCGGGCCGCGGGCCAATGGCGGCCCGCCGAAACATTTCTGGCGGCCCGCGATAACATCTGTAAAACTGTTAAAACTATTGCTTTGAAAAAATGAATATCTCCGTTTAGTGGTGTTTAGCGGCATCCATAGGCATAAGCGGTAATTACATGGTCCGACCGACCGATCGCACTTGACCTCACTCCCAAGGCCACCAGGAACAGTGGTTGTCTACACAGGAATAGGAATCGTGGCCAACCGAAACCAGCACCACAAATCCCATTGCAATTTAAAAGGGTATGTTGACCAAGTAATCAATATTCAATGTGACTTAATAATAATCTTAACAATGTCAAGCTTATTAATAGCCGCGTTTCCATTACCTTTCAAAATGTTCGCGGGCGCGAACACTTGCATTTTCCTATCAACAGTGGAAACAACTTAAACTAGTCTATCATTTCTGGTCATACAGAAAATAATAATGCATTATTCGCAACTACTTTTATTTGTGTAAACTCATAACAAGAAAACGTGCTTTTGTAAAATAAAATAAAACAATCAGTAGCCTAGGCTACTACGCGCTTTCATGATCTCCGTGAACTGGAGCGCGAGAACTGAAACAAAATATAGCCTATGTAGGCTAAAGCTTAAAATGTGCACTTTTAAACAAACAAACTCGAATCGAAAGCAAATACCTGATTATGTAATCCGTATGAAAGGTGGATTTCTCTCTAAAAGCGCATCTGCTTAACAGCGGAGATGGAGATATGTTTTTAGCCGACACTTAGAAAACAATAGTTTATTAATAAACAATTAAAATGCCTCGCTGTTTTTTCAGACGCATTTATTATCATTAGCCTATAACTCACTATAAATCAGGCTAGATCAGACACGTACAGGCTATATGGCTCTTCTCATTCATCACTGCGGGAAAAATATAAATTCCAGGTTCTAATTTGGCCTTAGAAAACCAGTAAAATCGACATGTTTTCCATATTAATTTGTGAATATTTAAAATGTTTAATAAAGGGGCAAAAAGTCATTTAAACAAAAATCTGAAAAAGTCTGTCGATATTTACTTTTTTTGCGCAGCAGTTGGTGTAGCCAGTTCAAATTAAAATTTTGTTCAACTTTGCGTTTTAAAAAGACAACAACCGTTCATTTTTCGTTTTTCAGTTACGGGTTAAAAAAGATAGATAATAATATGCAAATCTGCAATAATGGAAACGCGACTGACAAGCAATGATAGAAATGAATGATGATGATGACTTGTTTGGTAAGCTTCTATTTTAAAAGTTTCTTTCTCTCCCCCCCAAAATTTTCACAAGTTTTGCCAGGTTTAGCCTCAGTTATGAATTAAAATGTGTTTATTGCAACTAATGTAAACTGTAGAGATGCAACCTGGTCATTAAAATAATTTCAAATGGGATTTTCTTTTCAGTTTTTTTTTCTTCGTTTTCTCCCCCGCCACTTTGGCGGCCCTCAGTTCAATGTTGGGTTCCTAAATTGGCCCTCACCTATCAAAACTTTGAGAACCCCTGCTCTATATAATGCATTTAATACAAGATCTGGCAACTGGTCAACATTAGACAAACATATTGGTCCGATTATTCATAAAAGAGTTTGGGCCATGCAAATTACGGGAGTTTCCCGGGAGAAATAACAAACCGGGAGGGGTCCGTGAGATAAAAAAACGGGAGAAACCCGGGAAAAACGGGAGTGTTGACAGGTATGACCCAACCCTATGTGGTATGAGCCGTGTGCACACTCACCAGCAGCTCCACGAGGCTCTTGTTCGCCTCTGTGCATGCGTCTGGCAGGAGAGGCTGACTGTGGAGACACTCGCTGCTGCGAACATGATGCCGGATGCTCTCGAAGGATTCACAGCACAACTCTTCTTTGCTTCTGCACAGATGTGGTGAAGGAGAGGAAGACTCGTGAACGGCAGCAGATCCTCTCCTACTGCCGTCTGAGACGCACATCTCCTCCGCTTCAGACGCCTATGAGAGAGGGGAAAACATCACAACTTCAGTAATAACAAGCAGAGATGCACTGAAAAAAAGTGTTTTTACCGAAAACCGAGAATAAAAACCAGTCTGCTATGCTGCACCTTCAAAGTTCAAACTGTGACTTTTTGCACACATTACACTCATGTAGTTACATTTTAAAATGGATGTCTATTTTTAATAATAATATTTTTATTCCTTACTATTTTTATGCACCTGTGCACCAGGATAAATTCATTTTACATGTTGTACTTGGCAATAAAAGCTGATTCTATCTCTATATTTAAAATATATTTATTAATGAATTACTAATTGATCAGATTTATTCTGTCTAAACAATCAAATACATTTTTTTAACATAATTTAAATCGCAATATAGTGCTTGCATTTAGCAAAAATTCTTAATTTGACTTTCATATCAAAAGTAACAAAGCTTATTGTGATTATTGGATGGAAGTAATGGCAAATAATGTTTAGTGAAGTTGTGTGCATCAACTGAAAACAGCATAGACTAAAATATCTCAGGTCATCAAACTGAAGATCGATTAAAAATTACAAATGGATATCATCAACCCCGCTCTGACATGTGTACCTGTTGTAGTTTATCATGTCGTGTGACACAGTCAAAATGTGCTATTGGAAAAATGCTATTTAAACGTCATTATTTTTGCTGATTTTGGACAAAACCAAATTTTCTGAAATTTCAGTGCATCACTAAAAGAACTAGAATATTTACACATAAAATGAATGTGATATATTTTTGGCATTAATATTATGATTGTGAAATTCTGATATAAATTTGTTCATAAGACTATCTCCCATTATCCTGCAGAGCTGCTTATATATGTAATATTGGTAACACTTTACAATAAGGTTCATTAGTTAACTACATTAGTTAGCATGCCATTAACTAATAATGCACTGCACGTATACAACATTTATTAATCTTTGTTCATGTTAATTTCAACATTTACTAATACTTTATTCAAATTTGGTTAACATTAATGCACTGTGAACTAACATGAACCGCTGTTTTTATCATCTAACATTAAAGGTGCCCTAGAATGTGAAATTGAATTTATTTGGGCATAGTTAAATAACAAGAGTTCAGTACATGGACATGACATACAGTGAGTCTCAAAGACCATTGTTTTCTCCTTCTTACTTAAATCTCGTTTTTGAAAAACACCCCTGAAAAACAGGCGAATCTCCACATAACACCGACTGTGACGCAACAGTCGGGATCATTAATATGTACGACTCCAAGAATTTGCATATGCCAGTCCATGTTCAATGCCAGGCGGAACTGCGCAGCCGAAGCATAGCAGTTGATCAGTGTTTGGATGCACACATGAACACAAAAATATCTTTTAGTTCCTTCATCTGAGCCTCTGAAGAAACAATGGGTTAATTTTATTTTCTCCGGAAATTTCCAAACATTTCACCGACTGTTTCCTCAACTTGGGCCAATACAGAGCTGGCCTCGGATCGAGCTACCAAGCAACACTTTCTGATGTGTAATTGCTCAAGTTCAGACAGGTAATCTTTCTCTCAAAATCGTTCAATACTGTTTATGCATCAGTAAGTCAAGCCAGTGACTAAAATGTCAACTTCACATCGTTTCTTTTAGTAGGATGAAAAAAACCTTATTTAACCTGTTAAGCTTCAAGCCCACTTTTGAAAAATCCCCAGAAATGACATACACAAACTGAAACAGATACAGTTCATGAATCCTTTGCACTAAAAGCACAAGTATGATCTCATTTGAAAGCTGACACCTGGTTGTTTATTGTAAATGTAGAATTAATTATTGTCATAATGAAAAAAAACAATTTTAAATAGCTTCAAAGTTTTGTAAAGTTATTAGAAATTTATTTTTATGAAACATCTTCATGAAAATAAAATTGAAGTTGGCCCTGGAGCAATCTAGAAATGCACTGCAGCTAAAGCCACATGTCTGACCATTTTATATTTAAAATCTGAAAATGATAAGTATAAAGCTCTGTATTTAGTTAAATGTTTTTCAAGATCATGTCAAATTACTTTATTTTGATTAGACTCTATTAGCAAACTGATGTTTAGTCATCTTCTGAGTCATCTATTCAGTCTATTGTCTCTATTGTTTTGTGGTGCCCCATTCAGTCTCAGTCTCCCCTGCACACATTTACACCTCTCCAGACTGGTTATTATGGCTCTAAATATGCATTTCTTTTGTCTGCATTATAGCTACTAACGACTGGCTATTCACAAGCTATTCATAGGGTTTCAAACCCTAATTTCTTTTATCAAAGTTCTCACTAAATATTTGAAACTGGTATCAAATGCACTGAAACATTTCAGTAAGCATTCCTATTTAGAAAAAAATCATAAAACAATAACTGCTCGTGGCAGGTGCGCCTGGGCTCGCTAGCATGTTAGCTTAGCACACCATCAATACACGACCATTTATGAGATTAAAACTATGTTTGCGCTCCAAACTCACTATATAACGCAAGTCTAGTGTTTTAAATAATCTTCTGTGATCTAACTTGGCTTCAGATAAAAAAAAATCAGACAGAAAATGTATTATTTAGTGTTCTGAACGATGATGAAATCTATATCGATTAGCATTACATTATAAATATAATCTATTATTATGAAATACCTGGCATGGCTTGAAGAACACAGGTAACTCAAATATCATTGCAATCATGTTTATTGTCTTCAAAACATCTTTATCTGCATGTTACAGCGATCTCTGTACTTTCTGTATCACTCAGTGACGTCCTGGAATGTCACATGACTATGTGTCTTCTTCATGATCCATATATGGACTTTTATTGGACATAATAGCGCCCCCATGCTATTGGTATGAATGGAAAACACAGCACATCTCAGTAAGAAGCGATCATTATGATTACATCGACGCATTTGGGTATAAATTCAATAAATATTATTCCTGTCTATAGAAATATGATGTGAATCTATGAGAATATATCAATATTTCTCCACATCTGCACATTGTTGAGCTAAAAGCCCTCAGGGACGTTGTTTTGTGAATCGCTGTCATGACGACAGCACGGAGTGTTTTTTATGAATGGACCGGCTGACGCTCATAATTCATATTAAAGGTATCGACTCATTTTTTTCATTTCATAACTCCTGACACAAATTAAGACATAACTGTCACTATAAGTTTCTCAGAATACAATAGTGGTCAAATACTGAATCTTGAGTCTTATATCTTTTTAATGATGTATAGTTTGTCAAGGTATAACATTAAATCTGATAGTATATTTGAACTAAATAAAAAAAAAAACGCTTCAGTGCGCCGACGCTCTGGAGAAGGTTAAGAGGTTAAATTGTGAATAAATTATATACAGAAAGCAATCAAAGAACAATCTTTCCACACAGCGCGAGTTTATCTGGACAACTCGTTATGAAATCAATGACGCACGTTACTGCACAACGAAGCTCTTACTGTATTTACATCATCGTGTTTGCATTGGTGAAAGCATTAGAGAGAGTGCAGAAACTGCATTGCAATGATAAGATCTTCATTCTCGCGATCAACACACTGTCCTCTGCTTGCTCAATGCTCATCACGGCAACATTTTATGTGATGGGAATAGATCTAAATACTTTAAAAACTTCTCACGATTCGTTAATCTCGATAGCTGTAATAGTAAAAACGTATAATAGCTGTAGTAAAATTATTCGAGAGAGTTTCACATGTAATACATAGCTATTTCATATGCAAGCATGTCAGCCAATCACAGCAGTGGCCGCGGTTACACTGAATCCCACAGCCAATCACAGCAGTGGGCGGCTACACTGAATCCCACAGCCAATCACAGCAGTGGCTGGCTACACTGAATCCCACAGCCAATCACAGCAGTGGGCGGCTACACTGAATCCCACAGCCAATCACAGCAGTGGGCGGCTACACTGAATCCCACAGCCAATCACAGCAGTGGGCGGCTACACTGAATCCCACAGCCAATCACAGCAGTGGGCAGCTACACTGAATCCCACAGCCAATCACAGCAGTGGGCGGCTACACTGAATCCCACAGCCAATCACAGCAGTGGGCGGTTACACTGAATCCCACAGCCAATCACAGCAGTGGGCGGCTACACTGAATCCCACAGCCAATCACAGCAGTGGGCGGCTACACTGAATCCCACAGCCAATCACAGCAGTGGCTGGCTACACTGAATCCCACAGCAGACACGCCCCTTCAAACAGAGCGTTCAAATCAGGCTAGGAAAAATGCCTTTTATTTCTAAATTATGACAATTAAGATCTAAAAAACATACTAACATTATAAGGGCAACCCAGGAAATATATAAAAAAAAAACACAAAAAACATTCTAGGGCACCTTTAACAAAGATGAACAAATACAGTAATAAATGTATTGCTCATGGTTAGTTCATGTTAGTTAATACATTAACGAATGTTAACTAACGAACCTTATTGTAAAGTGTTACCGTAATATTTAGCAGATAAAGCATCAAAACGCACTTTCATCAAAGTGCCACATGATTAATATAAGGTTTAGCCAGGTATGAATCGATAATGACAAGACGGGCCTAACAATACTTACTATATGTAAACTCCCACAAATTGACCCCTTGTTTTTTCTTTTCTTCTTTTTATTTTTGCCGTTTGTGTTGTCTTCAGAGATGGCCCAGCACTCGACACAACTGTCCACAGCGTCCTCCTTCTCCTCCGAGCAGTGGTGACTACACGAGCATTCACCTGAAGACAAACATGCATATCATCAGGATCATATCGGAAGTGTTTGTCTAATAGAGATTAGATAGTGACTATCCATAAAAACAGCATAACTCTCGCAAAAAAAAAAACAAGCTCAAATCTGACTGGCTGGCTTTACGGTCTGAAATCAGGATGCACAGGTTTTGAATCAGTCCAAAAACAATGTTTACAAGTTTCCAGAATAAGATGCAATGTCAACACAGTTGAATAGACAAATGTTTGACCATCTATAATCATAATAACGTTGCTTTACCCGTTTCATCATGGTTACACATGCCCTCGGTGCAGGCCACATCTGAGCCCTCTCTAGAGCCCGTCTCACTGCCCTCCATACTGGAGCAGTAACCACAGTCACTGCCGTTACTGTGAGGCAACACTACTAGAGGAACAAACAGGCACAAACACACCAGTCAGAGGCACTCTGGGTACTAGAAATACTTCATAATAAGGGGCAATATTTGCCACCTTAAATTGATTTCCAGGGCATTTTTACCTTATTAGATGCATGCATCGTCCTTTTGATAAATTCTCATATTTAATCAAATTCAATTAGAGAACAGAGACACTATGGAGTGTTAACCAATCAAATGAAATCCATTTTTGCAGAAGTGGCACAGAAGCTGTATCTAAAGCAGTATTTAGATGCATTTACACTGCAAATATTATTGCATATTAACAACAATTAAATGGTACTCTAAAAGTGCCCCTATTTTAAATGTTCCTAATTTTGTTTTGTTCCTACAATAGGTTTACATGCATCCAAGATCAAAAAACACTTTAATTTTCTCATAATATACAGTGCACATCATTCTCAGAGTCTGAAAACGGTTCGTTTGATTCAGTTTCTCTAAACTCCGCCTTTCTGAGAGCCTGCTCTGCTCTGATTGGTCAGACGGCTAAGTCTGCTGTGATTGGTCATTATCATATCTGAATTTCAGCTTCGTAGATACAAACAGTAACGATTGCTTTTGAAGTTCATGCAAAGCAGAAAACAGCTAAAAACCAAACTCTTCCAGTCTCAGATACAACTACAGTGTTTGAGGGCGGAGCAAAGAGACGCTGTTCAGCCAATCAAGAGCACAGGCTGGAATTATGCAATTATGCAAATTGTTACGCTGTAATAGAAAGTGAGATGGATTAACTGACGACTCGTTTCAGCAGTTCTGAATGGATTCTTTCTTTTGAGAGACGATAACTTTATTTGTCGTCCACTTTAATCTTTGAAAAATGATCTTTTACATTCACAAAACAGCTGCTATATTACACTGCATGAAGGGAATATTTGAAAAAGCATAATAGGGGCACGTTAAATACGAAACTAAAACCAAGTCACAGTCTTAATGACTGATTCGTTCAAATGTGTTGATTCATTCAGGAATGAGGCAAATGACTGTCTTTATGAATGGATCATTGAATCACTGCTTGGTTCCAAAACACTGATTTATACAGACTCTTGAGATGCACAATGACTTTGTTTGGAACTATTTTCGTTGGTGAAATAAAGCAAAAACAGAAAATATTGTGCCTAAAATGTAACCGAATTTTAAAGGTGTAGGATAAAAAAATAATAATTAAAAAAAGATTAGACAAAAAAAAAAAATTTTGACAAAAACAATGCCTCTCAATCATTACTGATGGTCCACTAGTAGTGTGTGGTGGTGTGTGTCTACAGAGTGTGTTTTCAGGCAAGCGGGTGATGGCAGGACATTAGCCGCGTTTCCATTACCCTTCAAATTGCGCAAATTGAAAATACGCTCAATGGAAACACGTCCATTTCGCAAAAACTCCCGTTTATCGCAAAAAAGTTTTTACGCTCGCATGAGGAGGTTTTTCAGGCAATTCGAAAAAGGAATATTTCGCGAAACAGGTTTTGCGCATTTACAGTCAGCTGACTTAGAAGATGTGTTTGGGGTCCGTGTCCGCAAATAATAATAATAATTATCATCATTATTATAACAACATTTATTAGGCTACATATGTAGAAGACGCTTTTATCCAAAAGGAAGAAAGCAATTCGTCACATCTCATTCATAATACAGGGCTATAAGATTATCACCAATAAACAAGATTTTGACGCATATCCAAGTGTTTCTGCGGAGAGTGGAGCGCGCACTTGCATTTTCCTATCAACAGTGGAAACAACTTAAAATACTCTATCATTTTTGGTCATACAGAAAATAATAATACATTATTCGCAACTACCGTTATTTGTGTAAACTCACAATAACAAGAAAACGTTGTGCTTTTGTAAAATAAAATAAAATAAAATAAAACAACCAGGCGCGCTTTCATGGTCTCCGTGAACTGAAGCGCTAGAACTGAAACAAAAATAGCCTAAGCTAAAGCTTGAAGTGTCCACTTTAAAACAAACAAATTCGAATCGAAAGCTAATAGCTTCTGATTATGTAATCCGTATGAAAGGTGCATTTCTCTCTAAAGGTGCATCCGCCTTAAAGCGGATATGGAGATGTTTTAGCCGATACAATTTTTTTTATTAATAAACAATTAAAATTCCTTGGTTTTTTTAGACACATTTATTATAGCCTATAACTCACCTATAAATCACCTTTCTGTAGGCTGTGGTTTAGGGGTCGACCGATTATCGGCGCCAATATTAAGCATTTTTATGGTTATCGGTATCGGCCATTTTCAAAACCGATTTGCCGATAAAATAATTTTATTTTGAAATGCGCTATATTTGGCTCTGACGCAGCCACCTTTGTCGGAACTCACCACTCTGTAGACTAGACTAATGTCCCCGCACATCTGATTTGTTGGGAGTCACGAGTCCGGCCAATCAGTGCGGAAAGCTGAGGCACTGAAAGTGTTGCATTCTCACACCGAGAGAGCACTCGCTGACTAGAGCTGCTTCACTGATCACGCTTCAGTTGTCTCTCAAAGTTAAGGCAGCAGCAGACTTTGCTGAAGAAGCAATAGATTTAAATCATTCTACTCTGAAGTTGCAAAATACCTCAATATAATAGAGCCCTGTGATTTCCGCGATGCAGAACAGACGGAGTCGCGGAATCCAGTCATAAAAACGGAATTTACTGTATAAAGCGGAATATCACGGAATTTGTCAACTTTTTGATGAATTAATAAAAAGCAGGTCAGTACAAATCAAACCGCAAAAAGACTATTTACATATGAATCCTGCGTGTCTCTAACGTTAAATGAATGGCGCAGAGACGCGTGATTTCAGTTACCACACACACACACACACACTGGAGCACACGTGACGCTTGCGCTGTTTTCAGCCTCAGCCGCATCATTATATGAGGACATGATTGCATAAGCATCATCTCCAGAGCCGCTTAGTCACTTCATGAGCTTTTTAATGCTTCAACTGAGAAAAGTTATCGACATATCATAAACACACAGAAACTCAAAGATCTCCACGGCAACCCGTCAAAATAAAAGTTCGTTTTTTCACAAGGCCCTAAAAATTAAATTTTTGTTAAACTGTAAATAAATTGAATGTTTGATTTTAATTCATTAGAAATGCTTTTTGATTACTAAAATTTTATTTAAAAAATTAAAATAGTCTTTTAAGTTTTACAAAATGTTTACAGAATGCTGCTGGGTGCTCCCTGCACTTTATACAAGTTATTATTATTATTATTATTATTAATAACAGTTCTCAGATTCAAAGATATGTTTAAAATCATTTAAAGAAAGTATTTGTCAAAAAAACCTTTGTTATTCTTAATTTTGACATTAATTTACAGTTTTACACCAGACATAGCTATAATATATATATATATCGGTTCAAAATATCGGTTATCGGTCTATTTGACCTGTAATAATCGGTATCGGCCCTGAAAATCACATATCGGTCGGCCCCTACTGTGGTTATAGCCTATGGCTCTTCTCATTCAGCACTGCGGGAAAAATATCATTTCCAGGTTCTAATTTGGCCTTAGAAAACCAGTAAAATCTACTTTTTTTTTTTCATATTAATTTGTCAATATTTTAAAAGTTTAATAAAGGGGCAAAAAGTCAAACAACAATCTGAAAATTCGTCGATATTTTTTTTTTGCGCAGCATTTGGTGTGTATAGGTACAGTTCAAATTAAAATTTTGGTGTTCAACTTTGCGTTTTAAAAATACAACCGTTCATTTTTCGTTTTGCAATTAGGCTACAGGTTAAATAAACGAATGGACACAAAAGTAGGCTACACTGACCGTTTAGACATAATACGAGACAGAGTTCTTTATTAAATATTTATCCAGGAATACTGGATTCTAAACCTCAAAGAAATACCACAATCAAGACCTCAGAGCAGAAATGAGGGAGAAACAGCCAGGAACTCCTTAGGCTATACCTGTGTGCCGTTCTCAGTATAAGGGTCTTTCCCTTCCATTAATGCTTGGATAACACACCACGTTAGGGGTGGGCGATATGGCAAAAATATCATATCACGATTTTTTTCAGGAAAATCACGATTAACGATTTTATCACGATTCTTTTTCATGTTGGTTTTACTATTTTTACTATAAGTGACTGAGCATTACAGCCAAACTAATGTCCCTATTTTTAAAAAAAAGCCTTATAGGTAACAAAAGAAAAAAGAATGGCAGACATTTAGGCCAAAGTGGCGAAGATAAAAATCTTTATCATTATTTTCTTTGTTATTAAGAATTAGGAACAAAGATACACATTAAGCATACACAACTTCATATACAAATGAAATAAACAGTGTTTTATTTTTTCAGCTACAGTAGGGGTATTTAACAGTAGCTTGAAGAAAGTAATTAGGCTAAATGAACAAATACGAAAATAAAACACAACATAGACTTCACTGTATAAATGATACATTGATTATTATTAAAGCTACTACTAAAGTTCTCAGTCAAGAGCAGTGAGTGATTTCCTCTTTGTGTTTTGTTGTTTTATTAACATTAAAGGGATAGTTCTCCCAAACATTTTAATTGTCATCATTTACTCTCTCAAGTTGTTTTAAACCCGAATAAGTTTCTTTCTTCTGTTGAAAATAAAAGTTATTTGGAAGAATGTGGCTAACCAAACAGTTGCTGTACTCCAGTGACTTCCATAGTATATGTTTTCCTACTATGGAAGTCAATGGGGACCAGCAACTGTTTGGTTAGCCACATTCTTCCAAATAACTTTTATTTTCAACAGAAGAAAGAAATTAATACAGGTTTGGAACAACATTAGAGTGAGTAAATAATGACAGAATTTTTATTTTTGGGTGAACTATCTCTTTAAGGACAAGAGGCAGCTTGTTTACTAACTGGCTACTGTCGCTTTAAGAGCTGCACGCGACGCGTCTAATATACACACATTTGACAAGCCGATTTCCTCATTTTTTTCTGTTTGCTTTCACTTTAGACATAACCAACTTTGTTTATGTAAACCTTGTGTGTATTTGACAATATTAGCGCAATAAGACTCGAAAGATAACTTATAACGTAGTCCAGTAAACAGACGCTGTTAGACAGGCTTTTAGTGCCCGTGTGCTTCGGGTGTATGCGCTCAGAAAGCACACGTCAGAACAGCGCATCAGCAGTGAATTACATGTTTAACCAGCAAGGCTTTAAAGCACATTCAAATAATGAACTTCTGTGAACTGCAGTGTCCCGTTCCTCTGCGTTAACATTTGTTGTATGTTGAGACGGAGCTCGGCGCCAGAACTGCAACTGATAAAATGCACGATACTACGATATTTCTTCAAAAGCAGATCGTGGAGACATTTTAATCGTCCACGATCAAAAACGGTGATATCGCACACCCCTACACCACGTCTCCTTCCATTAATAATAATAATAATAATAATGTAATGTCTAGTGCGGTGGCTGGGATATAGGCTATAAACCTACCAACATCCGTTACCATGATTTTTGGAATGACTGATCGCGAGAGGGAAAAAATACATTTTAGTCGCATAACTTCGGTTAATGGAAACGCCGTCATTGCGCAATAGTTTTTTATCGACATTTAGAAAAAAAAAAAAAAAAAAGAAAAAAATCGCAAAAGTTTTGCGCAATTCTGGAATGGAAACGCGCCTATTGTTGTGTGTCTGAAGCTCCGCTAATTGCGTCTTGACACAAAACCAGCTCGCTAATCTTACTATTGCCTTGTTGACTGCTATACTCGACAGATTACTAGGCACTATAATTATGTTTTTATGATGACATTTGTTGTTTATTAGCAAGCTAGACTGAATATGGCTAAGCTCACTCGCAAATGATTTGCAAAATCGCTAATCTTCCCGCAGCTAGTCTGAAGTTTCTGCCGGCGAGGAGACGCCAAGTTTGAATGTGGTGTTTACAAACAGTAGCATACATTTCTGCACAGTACACCTTTCATTTCTGGTGTGTTGAACTGTTGAATTAAACCAGCATTACAGTTGCAGTCATGCTGATATCTGGGAAATGTGTGATATTACTGCTAACTATATCATAAGATTAATCTCATACAGGGACTGAGAGCGTTCAGAATCCAGCCGTGTATTACCGTAGACGATACATATCAAGTCAAGTCACCATTTATACATCGCTTTAACAATATAGATTGTTTCAAAGCAGCTTTACAGCGATGATAAGAAATTACAGTAACAGATTGTTTAGGCTTTACAGCAGCTCTAGAATAAGGTTATTGTCCAGATAAAGTTAGTTTTGATTGATTCACTTCCGTCGCAAAGATCATTAGTTATTAACTTAGTGGTTAAGTTAAAAACTAACACGACACCGGTCTAACAGAAAACCCTTAATGCGCTCCGGCCGCTCATTCACACACAACAGTGTTTGAGCTCGAGAACGCAAACCTTGAAACAGGTTCCAAGATGCAGGCGTTGAAAAACGGTATCATCTCCGCGTAAACTTCAAAAACGCGAATCTGTGAGAACGCTGACGGCGTGCACATGCGTATTACACGTTTAGACTATAGGTATGTGCGTTTGAATATATATGTGTGCAGGCGTGTAGTCTTTCTTCACAAATTGACCTCAACAAACTACTTGTCTGGCCTTAAAAATTCATGAAACAAATTTTTTTGTATTATCCATGTGAACTGGAATCATTTTGACAATGTTTTCTCTGTAAATACGTAAAGGGGGCAATATCACATATCACACAGGCATCCTCTGCGAGCTCTCTTTACCTTTCTGGGTTTTGGGGGAGCGCAGGATTGAGGTCGCGGGACAGGTACAGGAGGAGCTCTCGCTGGTGATGATGACCTCCACGCTGCCGGACTCCTCTCCACTCCCACACGACTTACAGCCGCCGTCCACAGACTCAGACGAACCCTGGGGAAACACCAGAATAAAAAATAAATCTACATTTATACAAATAAAAAATAAAACATACGACCTCGCGTTGTCGTTTCAATCACGTTTACACACAGCATCCGAAACTTTCGTCCGTCATAAAAAAAATAGTATAGAGCTTTATTGTCATTGTAAACAACGAAATTACAAATTTGAAAAAAGAAAATGTAGGTCTAAATTTAACATTTTTGTTCAAATTCGGATCGGGTTTCGATTTTCTGCGTTTTTTGAAAAAGCGCATACGAAAATTTCGGACTCAGTGTGCAAGGGCCTCAAAGTCAATTTATTTTTCTTATTCACATCTCATATTCATATCTTGAAAATTCAATATGATCACCATAATTTAGATCGCAATTATTTTAATACCATACAAATATTGCTCTAATTGTAAAATATAAATTATATCTATACTACCGTTTAAAAATTTGGGGTCTGCAAGATTTTTTTTAATTAGCTTAATACTTTTATTCAGCAAGGAAAAATCAAAAGTGATTAAAAAAGAAATCACATTTATAATGTTAAAAAAGAAATCACATTTACAATGTTACAAAAATTTCTATTTAGAAATAAATTCTGTTCTGTATTCATCAAAGAATCGTAATAAAAAGCATCACGGTTTCCATAAAAATATGAAGTTTTCAACATTGATAATAATCATAAATGTTTCTTGAGCATCAGATCATCATATTAGAGTGATTTCTGAAGGATCATGTGACACTGAAGACTGGAGTAATGATGCTGAAAATTCAGCTTTGATCACAGGAATAAATTACTTTACTGTATATTCACATAGAAAACAGCTATTGTAATAATTTTCACAATATTGCGATTTTTTGTGTGAAAATCTACTGATTTAGAGAAGGCAGTGAAGGAGAGGAACAGAGACACATTAAAGGAGTCATTACCTCATCAAGGCTTTTATCTTTTTCCCCCTCCGCTTCTTGTTCACACTTGTTTTTGCGTCTGTTCTTGCGTTTTTGCCTCTTCTTCTCCTGTTTGAGTTCTTTGGCTCTCTCCTCTTCTGAGAGCTCCTCACAGAGTTGCTCCAGTCTGCTGATGCCCTGAACCCTCTCCACCGCCATCTGCACAACATTTAACACTGAACACGTGAGCTTCAGACTCAGAAACAACACCGCCGTCATATAACACACTTCCCACAAGTACAAAACAGGGCTTTAAACTACTTTACTGAATAAAGGTCCTTGCACACCGAGTCAAAAATAAATACGACCTCACGTTGTGTCAATCACGTTTACACACTGCCTCCGAAACTTTCATCCGTCATACATTTCGATTTCGATTCGATTTTCTGTGTTTTTCGCATTCGTTACAAGCATTTTGAGAGGTGTTTTGACACTTCAGAGCCACCGAATGACTCAGTGTGCAAGGACCTTAAAGTTAATTTATTTTTCTTATTCACATAATGTGAGGAACCTCGGGTCAAACTAAAAATTACACAAGCATTTTATTTTATATCCATTTTAGAAGTATAATTTTCTTGCAAGCTTGTGTATGGATACCGTTCAAAGCCCTGTGATTTCCCAGTAATAAAGATTTATTTAAATATTACAAAATTAAATGAATGTTACTCACTAGAAAGCAACAGATTTTGGGCAATTAATAGGACCTGGCTAGTTTTGGTCCATATGTTGGTTTAAAGCCAATGCTAAACTAATATTTCTCATATAAACACATTTACATGGATGTTGCACATTTTAGGAGGATTGCATACATTTTAGGTCAAACTAAAAATTACACAAGCATCTTATTTTTTATCGTATCATTTTCTTGCAACCTTGTATATTCCAAGTAATAAATATTTATTTAAATAGTACAAAATTAAAAGAAGAAGAAAAGAAAAAAGGTTTTGGCCCACGTGTTGGTTAATAACCAATGCTAAACTTATATTTCTCATATAAACAAATTTACATGGGTATGGCACATTTTAAGAGGATTGCATTCAAAATGTAAGATCATTTTTTGTATAATTAGTTACAACAAGGATATCAGAGATTGGATGGACAAAAATTCTTCAATTGAATGAAAAGAAAACAGAAGTCATCCTGTTTGGCTCTAAAACTCAAATTGATAAATACAGTGTTTTATTAAGTAATTCGCAGTTAAAAGTTAACTCTCATGTTAGAAATCTTGGGGTCAAAAATGAATTTTGATAAACAAACTGTAGTTAGCGCAAGCTTTTTTCAACTATAGTGTCTTCATAAGTTAAAGCATATTCTAACTTTTAAAGATTTGGAGATAGTAATACACGCTCTGATATCCTCACGACTCGATTATTGTAATGCTTTGTACGCTGGAATTAGTCAATCATCAATTTCACGTTTACAGTTTGTTCAAAATGCTCCAGCTCGCTTCCTTACTGGGACAAAAAAGAGGGAACATATCACACCTATACGGGCCTCCCTCCACTGGCTACCCGTGAAACAGAGGATTGATTTCAAGGTTTTAACTTATGTGTTCAAAGCTTTAAACGGTTTGGCCCCGATTTATATAACTTTTAAGCTTAAATTCTCCTCAGAGATCACTTAGATCATCATCTAAGTTATTATTAATCGTCCCAAAAACCCGCCTAAAAACAAAGGGCGATAGGTCTTTCTAAGTTTATGCGCCAAAATGATGGAATACTCTTCCATTATCTATCAGAGTCTCCCCTACATTAAAAATGTTTAAAACTTTGACTAAAACTTACCTTTTTGCACAAGCATACTGAAATGCATCTAAAATGCTATATATATTTCTGTAAATAGCATGTGAGTTGTCTATTTTATTGTTGTTACTAGGTTTTATATATATACACTACCGTTCAAAAGTTTGGGGTCAGTGAGAATTTTATTTTTATTTTTTGGAGGAAAGAAATCAATACTTAATTTGATCGAAAGTGACAGTAAAGACATTTATAATGTTACAAAAGATTCTATTTCAAACAAATGCTGTTCTTTTGAACTTCCTATTCATCAAAGAATCCTAAAAAAACAAAAAAACACTGTACAACTGACAGACCAACAACTGTTTCAACATTGATAATAATAATAAATGTTTCTTGAGCATCAAATCCTCATATTATACTGATTTGTGAAGGATCATTTGACACTGAAGACACTGACACTGGTGATGCTGAAAATTCAGCTTTGATCACAGGAATAAATTACACTTTACTATATATTCACACAGAAAACAGCTGATTTACACTGGAATAATATTTAATACTATAACTGATTTTTGTTGTATTTTTAATCAAATAAGCGCAGCCATGGTTAGCAGAAGAGAATTCTTTTAAAAGTATTTAAAATCGTACCGACCCCAAACGTTTGAACGGTAGTGTATATGTTTTTTGGTTTGAATTTTTGGAAATGTTATGCTATCTGTATGTGCAGCTGTACTTGCACTGTGAAGCACTTTGGTCAACATTCGTGTTGTTTAAAAGTGCTATACAAATAAACTTGACCTTGACCTTGACAATTGAATGTAATATTTAATAGTTGGATACAGTCAAGAAGGATTTGCATCCTATTTATGAAAAGGTATTCAAAATGAATCATAAGATGAATATTATGCGAAAGCTTTACCTCGAAGCTTTTACGCAGTGCATCAATGCCCAAATAGAAGAGCATCTGCCACGTCTGCTCCTCGGCTCGCAGCTTCTGCCAGATCCGGTGCAGCCGCTCGTACAGGTGGATCCCCAGACACGTCAACACCTCCTCCTGGGCGATATCTATGGTCTTCGCGTGTCTCTCCCGACGCCTGTAAATGAGCCAATGGTGGTTTATGATTTAACGGCGGTATATTCATGATAATGGAATTATTAGGGGTGGGTGATAGGGCAAAAATATCATATCACGTTTTTTTTCCAGATGGGATAGCAATCCACAATCTTGTTACGAATCTTATTAATTAGACTTAAGACTTTTTACAAGTTACTAAGCAATAGAATTAAAAATATAGCCCTATAAACAGGGCTTGACGTTAACTTTTTTGCTCTTTAAGACACTTTCCAGTTACTACTGGTAGTCACTGTATGAAGAATTTTTGGGTATAATATGTCACAGGTTACTTTATTTTGCTCTCCTCACTTACATAAATGAACTATAGACCCCTTTTCAGTTGGTAAACATGGTGACGTTTTTATGTGGGCGGAGCTTAGGTGGAGGCAGAACGATACCTCTGGACGCTTCACTAACGCTAGTTAGCAAGTATTGTTAGCTTGTTTTTTAACAATGACTGGAGAAAATCAGATTTTATCTTAATGTGCAAGGTCACTCACTGTCCAGGACCGCGATTGTTATTTTCAAAAGTTAATTTTAACGGACGGAACGAGATTGGTCGACCCGTAGCCTACCCGTAAGCTTGTTTTGCCTCCAGCTAGCGCCGTGACGTAACTGTGACGTCGGCGCAAAAGGGGTCTATAGTGTCCTGCACCCAATAGTACAATTATATCTGGTGTCTGAATAATTTTTGGTTTGACTAGACTCCACATGGACTGAATCACTCACTCATAACCCCCGGCGAACTCTGGTTCTGCTCGGCCCAGTAAGTGAGCGATGAAGTCGGTCTCGCAGCAGACGTGGATGTGGCGCTCGTGTGGACAGCATCGCAAGCCCTCGTACAGAGACGCACAGTAGCCTTTCTCTTTACTGCAGTCCAGATCCCCCACCAGGATATTGTACGCTCGCAGAACCTTGTTCTTACAGTCAGTACAGAACCTGAGAATGACAGAATGACGTTGCAGAAAGAGAAAATCAGAGATTTTCAGAGACAAAGTAAATAATCATTAAGGCGAGACACCACAGGTGAATAGGGTAAAAAAAAATATATATATATATATATATATCACCCTACTTCACCAGTTTATTGATTACATTACTAATTTAATAAAAGTTTTCTGAAATGTTATGTTTAAGTACGTAAATGAGGTGTTATCTAATTAAATATGCACTAATTTGCATACATTTCTAGAACAAAAATCTGAACATTGGATAAAGTCAGGTTCAAAATTCTTGTTTTGATATATTAGAGTAATAGGTTTTTACACGGGATTTTGGATATCTCTATTTATCACTCAGAAAATACTGTCAACAGCCAAAAATAAATAAATTTTTGCAAATTTTGAAAAGGAATAACATGTATAAAATCAGGAAAATTATATATGAACAAACCCCTCTGTAAAAACCTTCAGAATATAGAAAAGAATAAAACTGTAAAGTTTGGTGTGTGTAAGTGTTACTGAAGTGGAGATTTCTGGCTCAACGTAGGAGGAAAAACTCATTTCGAGAAAACGGCCTTTAAAGATATAATTGAAATCTACAGCCGCAAATAGATAAAGTGCTCTAAAAGATGCAAGTGTATTTTGGATGTTTTCTGTCCACTAGTCTGAAAAAACACTTTATGAAAAGCCAAAAATCTCAACATTGACAGATGCCTGTAGTGTCTCGCCTTAATTAACAGAAATGTGTAAGATCACAATCTCTTACCGGTGTTTGCGCAGGTACGTCTCCAGAGTCTCCAACAGAGAGGAGCTGTCAATCAGAACCACTTCATCACGACAATCCTGTGACATCAGCTCCCACACGTCCATCCAGCTGCCCCTGCACGGCGGAAAACACAGTTAATAGGGGCGCAACGATACCCTCATGATGTCACGACTCGACACATCACCATAATGACCTCACGATACGATATTACTGCGATACTCCAAGACATATAGTAAAAGGTTAACCAAAAAATGTAAAGTTGATTAAAATGCAAAATTTTATATTACATTGTGGGTGAATGGATGATGAATAGGTTCGGAGGTGGTGCTGAAACCCAAAGCACAGGACTATACAGACACCAGAATAACAATATTCATAATTCTGAAGCTGAAAATACTGAATTATTTTAAACAAATATTGCACTCTTTCACTGACTAGATCTGTTTAAAATAATAATACTGGTAACAAGACATTTGGCATTATCAGGACCTTCAAATATTCCCCCATTGCATTATTATACATTAAATTCAACATTATATATAGTAGTTTAAAAACTCTGAAAACTAGATTTTTTTCCCACTCACAACCCTACTTATATATAGCACAGGTGGCAACGCTTGAATTTATCTTATTTTATTTAAATAATCAAACTGCATTTATTCAAAATGCTTGGAATCAGGGTAAATATGTTCATTGCGAAAACATTATTATTATTATTTTTAAGAAAAGCATCTCAAGCACAATTTTTATTTTGGGTGAACTATCCACGATGCATATTGTTGTATTTTTGTAGTGCGATATATTGTGACACGATGTATTGTTACACCCCTACATTTAAACCAAATGCGTTCTGATATGGGTAGGGATGCACCAAACGTTCAGAAATTCGCACTTAAATTAAAACGTCCACATTAGAGGCTTAACTAACTTTATTGGGTTGTATGATTTGTCGTAAGTAGGTCGTAAGCTCTCCATAACGTAATACGTAGTCGCATAATATGAAGATTACCCTCAAATGACCCAATAGAAACCTTCAAACTCATGAGTAGAAGTTGTGTTGAAATGCGTACATTTCCGATTCTAACTTCTTATGCCTTGATTCTTTTGAAATACGATATTACTTCGTAATTATTAATCTATATTTAAATATTTAAAACTATTTGAAATGAATAAGGATTAATAAATAAAGAAAATATATTATACATATTCTACTTACATAATTTGTGTTTTTTCTAATCATTATGTTGTCATATATATATATATAATTGATTTTATTTGACAATAAGTTTGCGCTGTTTAGATCTGGAATATTGAAGAGCAGCTATTCACGTATTTTATCCATATAATGTTCTCTCTCTTAAAATGTAAGCGAGTGTCAATGCCAACATTACCATACATGTCTAAAGGATTGAAGTCTGATTGATGAAGTTCAGACATTCTGCTGTTTAATTTAAAGAGCATATTGCAGGTAAAAAAAAATCTAAATTAATATATAATAGGGCTGCAACGATTAGTCGACGTTGTCGACAACGTCGACAATAAATATTTGTCGACAAATATCTTTGTTGTCGAGTAGTCGTTTGATCTCACGTGTCCTAATGTAAGGGCCTGCAATATCGCGATTTGACCGCTGTAGTGTAGTGTAGTGCAGCCCTTACAAATGCTATTGCGGTAGGAGAAAACACAGCGCGAATTATGACAGTGCAAACGAATCCGAACTAGCAAGGTTTAGGTTTGGGAAAGTTTCACAAAACTTCAAATCAAGAATGCTGTCGTGTGCAATACATGCAAGGCGGAACTTGCTTTTCACGGGAGCACAACATGCATGTTGGAGTGCAAGAGGAAATATCCCGGCAAAAGAGGAGCCGGTGAGAAGTGAGTGTTCTCCAGCTGGAGCTTAACGTTACTAACCAGCGGTAAATCTCTCTTTATTAGAGAATGCAATACTACTAATAATAGTAATAATATTATCAATAGTAATATAATTACAGTAATGTGATGACTTATTTTGCATAGAATAAAGCTTGATCGAGCTTAGGAGTCAGGGCTGTTTTTATTATTGTAACACTATTAGTATATTAGGTATTATTATAGTCTTATCACTTGCCTGTATTTTGTTCAATAATCATGAAGACTTACAAAACGAGATGTTATATCCTTCCTATGATATAGGAAGAATATCATGGCAGTTACTTTATCATACTATAAATTAAAAGGTGAATGAGAACGTCTCTGTCAGCTCAATTGTCATGTAAAAAAAGATTGTAATTTTATACTTATAATAATTGTTTGCAGATTAATATTTTACCATTCTTTGTGTCCTGAAGTAAATGTCCCTTTTTCTGTTTCAGTTCTAAGAAAAGCAGTGGGCCTATTAAACAATGCTTAGAGAGCATTTCTGTGTGATTTAAGTTGGACCGAAATCTGAAAACTTAAAGAGAATGACCTGTTTAGTTGGCTCAAAGTTCATTAAAACAACTATTTCAAAAGCTGAAGTGATTTTATTTTTTTATATTATAGTTAGAATATGTATAACTCAATGTTTTAACTAATTGGAAAAGCTGAATAATCGTTCCAAACTTACTGATTAGTCTGCGAAATAATCGATGATTAGTCGATTAATCGTTCTAATAATCGTTAGATTAATCGATTATCAAAATAATCGTTTGTTGCAGCCCTAATATATAACCTTGTATGATAATACCATATGAAAAGTTAATGCAGGATTTAAAATGTTTTAAAATGACATAAGGGCACTAATTTAGTAGATAAAGTGAGCGTTTCTTGGACTGCTCGTAAAAACGGCTTGTTTTTTTCAAAATGGCGTCATTTTACGTCACGCTAGGGAGCCTCGGCTCAGTGCAGAGTAGGCTGGTGTTCAGTAAGAGCGTTCAATAATAGTGTATATTCACAATAATTTTATTTACTGATCTAAAAGTATTATTATAATTACTATTATTATTATTAAAAAATACAGTGCTACCACTACTACTTTTATTTTCATGAATGCTGTTTGTTGCCAAGTACTACCGCCACTATTTTTATCTTTGTTATAATTATTATTATTAGTATGAACACTGCCTCTACATCTACTACAATTCTATTACAATTACTATGAATATCTCAATATTGCTTCTATCTAAATCTCAAAAATATCCCATTGCTTAAACTTACCAATGTACCTGCATACATCACTAGATCGATATATTTATATTTAAAGGAGCTGTATGTAAGAAATTTATTTCAATTAATCATAAAATGGCCCTGAAATGTCTCTAGACATTAAGAAATCATGTACATTTCAAATACTTATATCACTGACAACAGTAGTCTGGCCAGGATATTGTCATTTAAAAAGTGCAGTTGCAGCCCTCAACTGATGTTGATGTTGTCATGTTGTGTTTTGGTCTGATGCTCCGCCCTCCTCCTATCTACCAATCACGAAGTCAGTAGTGTTGCGGCATCCGGGTTGCCAGCTCTGCTCTAGTTACCACAGCTGCAGCTCGTCACGTTCCTGCTGGATCCTGCAGCCAATCTGGCAACCTCGAGTCAGGGAGGAGGGTGAGGGGATACACCACTCTACAGTAATTTGACAGTGATTGCAGTACTAGTTTTGGCCACAATCTTACATACAGCTCCTTTAACTGTTTCTTTTGTTTGTTTTTTGTTTTTGTTTTCATTGTGTGCTCCATGTACGTCTTTCCTTCTTTTGTATGTGTATATAATTCAATGATCTGTTATCTTGTATAAACTACAATGTTTTTGTTAACTTTCAATAAAAAAATAAAAAATAAAAAGTAAGAGCGGCCGTGAGTCAGTGTGTTTTCGGTAGTTTTTGTATTTTAATTTATCATCGTCATGGTAAATTATTGTTTGTGGAGGTTGCAAAAACTCCGGCCTGTCAGGACATCGAGTCCACAGGTTTCCATAACAAGAAAAGGGACGGTGTTGTATATCTTTCGTGCCTGGTGCGGTGTGTGCCGGTGAAGAGACGGGATTTCTCTTCCGCATCGGCTTCGAGAAACGCGGTCGTGTGTAGCGTTCACTTCCGATCGGAGGATTATCATTCCGGCGATATGATGGGATGCCTCAAAATGGGATGCCGAAGCAAAAATATTGATCGTCTAATACTGTACCAATGGCATGAAATAGTGTGATATAGGTAGTCATGCCCTAAATAGAGGCAACTTGTAATTGAAAAACAAAATTACTCAGGTTGTTTAAATATTCAAATCTTTAATTTTCTGTTTATGTTATAACCCAGGTGAAAAATATGTATTAAAAATGTACTTGGGTATGTTTTCAGTACAATAGAAATATACTCAAGTATAGTTTTTATACATTTAATAGTATAAATCTACCCTAAACATACTAATGTCTGCTGGCCTGATATACGATGGTAATAATCTGTACAATATTGTGAGCACAGTGTATATCGTTAGCGAACGTGTATATCTATAAGCACGTCTCTCACCAAGACACCTGTCCTGTTCTCCACTGGTTCTCCTCACACCACAACTCATGGTGTCTCTGACCGTTCTGTCTGACATTAGTCCTGGCCTGTCCTGCTCTCTTGGCAGCATAGCAGGCTCATAATTGTATGGCTGTGGTCCGTCATACGAGTAAGTACTTCCTCAGCGTCCGAAATGTCATTGCGATCCATTGTTTTCCTGTTGTCTGAATCGACCGCTCTCCCGCCTGTTGCGTCACGCCCGCCACGCCCATTTTCAGACGCGGAAGTAAAATTCTCACAAAAACGACTCCAGAAGCGTCTGTAGCGTATTTATAAGTATATTTTAAAGAAAATCTAGTTCCTAAATTATTTTTCTATACATTGACTTGTTGGGTCCTCTAACCTGCAATATGCCCTTTAAACTGTGATTCATTGTCGCAGGCCTCTGTACATATTTGGTGTATGCATAGAGTTGCATTACAACTAAGTTTAATGGTTCCACGCAAAAATATTTAGTAGTGCGTGCATTGTAACTTATGCACATCTGGTCCAAGGACACATCCCAGGTTTTCTGGTGAATGCATTTTACATTACATGAAAAATATGTCTAGGGATTCTGTCAAGGAGGAAGACATTGCCATCTCAAAAACACCAAATGTCAGGATGATTAAAACAACGGACTCACCCTAAAGGCTTCGGTTTGTGTGTGTCTAAAGAGTGCAGTTGGCAGCGTTTGTTCTTTTTACTCTTCGGGATGGAATCAATTATGTTGTTTAACTTTGACCTGCAACAAAGGAATAAAAAGCACACGTTAACATTAAAGACAACACAGATACATTTTACCGGCAAGTTCAAAACTATTCAATCGGCACATCCTTTCCCTTACACGATGCACTGAACTTCCATAATGTGTCATTTCCATAATGTAGGTTGTGACTTAAAGTCACCATACAATCAAAACCGCCCATTTTTATTTTTAATGGAATATCACAGTAATTATTATAAATGATTTATCTGTGCGCATCCTTTTTTTTTTTTAAGTCATGTGCCTTGTAATCTTGAATCAGAAAATCTTCCCCTCCCTCTTGCAGAATCTCTTCTCTGATGATGAGGGCGGGGCTATAACCTGTCACTCACATGAGATCAGCCAATAGCAAACCACAACCATCCAATCAATTCCCCACGGACAAAATCAAGTCCCGCCCACATTTGTTCTCGTTCAAGAAGTCTCAATAAGGAACTTCCACTTCATCCTGACTTTAATTTTAGCCATAAGGACTTTATTGGATAGCAAGGCTGATGATTAATAGATTATAATATTTTCCCTGCCCATCATTACACCATGTTTTTCTTTGGAATAACTTGCATTAATAAGATTTAATTAGAAAGTAATTGGGGTCAATCTTGATTTTATGTTTACTTCAGTTGGTCTGGAAATATGAGGCAAACATTATGGCGCTTTTTCACTGCATGGTACAGTTCGGTACGGCTCGCTTTAAATGGGGCCACCTCTGTTGTTCCAGGCGTACCGTACCGATACTAAGGGGCTGTTTACACCTGGCCACTTCATGCGTTTTCTGTGATGGGATAGCTATCCGATCGTGAAAATGCCCTCCGAAACGCATTCGAGACGAATTTGAATCCGATCGCTCAAACCACTTCACACTGTAAAAAACAATGAGTAAAATTTACTTAATTTTTTAAGGCAAGTTTTTGCACTGAAATTTTTTGAGTAAATTTCACACACAGAATTAACCCTTTAAGTGTCACCCCCCTTTTTTTGAATATACATGAAAATGCACATTTCGAACTTAAATGGTTGTAATTCAAGAATGCTTTGGAATATAGACGTAAGATTGGTCTTGTTTTAAAGAAGACATTTGGCAGATTTTTGTAGAAGTGAAATAAATTAAGAAAGTGAAACAGAAAAAAACTTATAGAAGTTTGAGTTTATGAAAATGTACAATGTAAAAAATGTAATTATTCATATTTTATAGGGGTGTAACGATATTTGAACCGAACCGAAAAACCGCGATACACCACCCACGATACGTATCGCGATACTCTCATGGCGAACCGAACACGCCCCGCCCCCTGCGGCCCCGCCCAGACCCGGCTCATTGCACCTCATGTGTTATGTGTACACAACGAATACAGGGCTGTTGCCTAACCACCATTAACCACATATAATCGCAATAAGCTCAGTGTTTTGTTACTTTTGATAATAAGCAAGGTGTAATCTTTCAAATTATGTCTATTTGATAACGAAATGCAAACAATAAATGCCGTTTTGGCGCTCTTAGATGTGGCGTGACAGATATCACTGTATGCATGCGGCAGCGCGGAGCGCGATCATCTCTTCCTCAGTTACAGAATAAACATGAATGGACACCCGAAGGTGGGGGTGGAAAGATACAGTATACTTACTGAAAGGCATCATAACTCGTGTAAACACTCAATCAGTGTTTCAACAGCGGAAATACGTCAATAAAACGCTTAGTTTTTCACATAGCTTTATATTTACCTCTGGCAAGTCATTCAGTGTCCACAGCTTGCTGGTTTGCTAACTCTTTCACTAAATAAATGCTATATATTAGCCTATATATTATATTTTACTTAACCTGTTTATGATATCTTGATTATTTAATGTATGTTTAAAATAGTTGTCATGAAAATAACAGCAACTGTGTAAATTATTATATAACAATAACAAATTAGAGTAAAAACATGTTAATGCAAAAATTGCCTTATGTGCAGTTTACATGTTTTCATACAATTTGTTACTTGAGTGTTGATTATTATTATATCATTTAGGCTAAAAGTCTAGGCTCTGTTGTTAAGCTTTAATGTTATAGTAATGAGCAAGTAAGGGCTGTAGTTTACAGCATTAGCAGATAATTTTGTTATCCTTGAGAAACGTTTACTTGTAATTGAATTAATTTAAAGACAAGGACACAATTTGTTCATTAAAGCACTGTTTAATAAAAAATAAAAGCAATTTTAGCTTTCTAAACCCGCCCACCCCACCGAAATGCACCGAAATGAACCGAACCGAACCAAACCGAGACCTCAAAACCGTGGGACGAACCGAACCGTCGGGTTTGTGTATCGTTACACCCCTAATATTTTATTTAAAATACATATTTTCAAAACCTGGGCGACTCTAAAACTGCAAAAAAATCAAAGCCAAAAATCTGAACAAGTTGTGTTTCAAATTTTAGGTTGATATCTCAAAAAATGAGCTTTCAGTAAGATTTTGTTTGGGCGCAGTACCAAACTTTTTCACTAGATGACAACCAGACTCCATTACTGCCCATATAAGGGCTTCTCCATTTCCATATGTGTTTTGAGTGATATGAACCATTATTTCCACAATTTTCATACAATTTATGAAGTAGACATCCTATTCAGAAGTAGTATGAGAAGTTTGGCAGATTTTGATATGATTTCAACCTCTAAGAAACATAAAAAGAACACGCATGTGCGTTTTAGCTTCCTGCCACATCATATAATTTTTTTCTTTATATAAAAAAAAAAATTCAGACCTTTTTTTTTTTTAAATAATTGAATGGATGCTATCTTTTGAACTCTTGGCATGAAAACAAACTGAGGTTTCTACCCTTCTTTCATGATTTTTCATGTTCATCACTATTTCAAAATAAAGGTCTAAGAGTATGAAAATATTATTGTTGCAAATTGAAAAATTACGGCTCCTCTGTAATTTATTTTGAAAATCAATCACCAAATATGGAAACTAGAGATTGTAAGCTTTCAAATAATATATAGTTTGTCAAGATTAGTTTAGGTTTAGTATAGGATATTACTGTTTTAAAAATGTAAAGGATTTGGACCCACCGGTGGGCCCGTGACACTTAAGGGGTTAAGTAAACTATACTTAATTAAGTTAAGTGAAAGTAACATAAGAAATTAAGTAATTTTTATTTAGCTAATTAAAGGTTAAGTAATATCTATTTAATTTAATTTTTCTTTGTACAACATTTCACTCAAACAATATAACATTGGATTAGACTACACTTTTTAAGTATATGATTTACTCAGAAATGTTTAAGTAATCAATACATATAGTGTGTGTCACCATATCTTCATTGCTAAAGTTAAATGTGTGAACGCAGACCTCAATACTTCGTAGACAATACACAATGACAGTAACATTTGATGGATCGTTTTTGTATTTGAATGTGTCATTTTAAGTAGAAAATGAACTCCAAATGTCACAAAATGGCAGGTTACTAATCCTAACAACAAAAGCAATGATAAAATAGTGTAAATACATATGGAAAACAGTGAAAAATATACCTCATTCAATATTCATGGCCCAGTGCATGATGGGAACACCAGTATCAGAATTTTATAATGTTGATATTTACGCTTTCATTTCTACACGATTGAATTTACTTATTTAAAAAAAAAATCTTGCCTGAACTAACTTTTATAGTGTAAATTACATTGTTTTTTTCTGTAGTATTTACTTCACCACAAAAACATTTTTATCAGTGCAGGAGGTGGTCTGGGACACTTTCCAGATGAAACTGGACAAGTGTAAACGCATCTGATTGTTGAAACCACATATGTAAATTTTACTCCTCCCAAAAATGCTAAAAAATAAACGTGTGAGAGCGTGTTATAGGCTATATGTCATGTTATAGTCAGATATGACGACGCTACTGCGACACGCATTACGGCAGATGAGCATCTGAGCATCTCTTCATCAAGCCAAATCAAAGTGAAAGTAAGTCGCAGACGCTTAACACACAATCATCTTCATTAAAAGTAAAGAAACAAAATGATCTTACCAGTTCTGGTAACGCTCTCTCTTATTGCTGTCTTTGAGTTTGAAATTAGCTGATGATCAATACAACGCAGCTCATATCTGTTGCTTTCGGTGACGTGCACTCCATTAAATCTGAAGATCGTATTTATATCCGTTTCGCAAAAACACATTTATGTGACCAGGTGTAAATAGAATCGTTTTGATAAATCAGATCTGAGAAAACGCATGAAGTGGCCAGGTGTAAACAGCCCCTAAATATGACGTTAAGACACTGCAGATCACTGATTGGTCAGAGAGAATCGTCACTACCAGCGTCATAGGATTTGCAACACGAGACACTAAACCCGCTAGATTTAAATAGCCAGCAACAGCCAACCGCTGTATTATTTGTTCTGTATGTATTATAGGTATAATTTTTATTAAACGACTTGCTTGAAAAAATAACAAAATAAAACTTGAAAAAAAGAAATGTCTGAATCGCGGTGGCTGGTCAGTGGACGAGGAGCGGATCCAGCGAGAGCTCGATATTGCGATGGGGAATGAAAAAGGTTTTCAGCAACTTTAAAGGGATACTCCACTTTTTTTGGAAATAGGCTCATTTTACAACTCCCCCAGAGTTAAACTGTTGAGTTTTACCGTTTTTGAATCCATTCAGCCGATCTCCGGTTCTGGCGGTACCACTTTTAGCATAGCTTAGCATACATCATTGAGCACTGAAAAATAGGCTACCTTCCGTCAACACAACGGAACTATTTTCAGGCGCTGCGTCATATCATTACGCCTGCTGCTCTCATGGTACGGCAGTAAAGTGTCTTGATTATTACGCAGGAATGAGAGTATAGTTCCTAGCCATATCAGCCTAGAAAATCGCAACTTTACATTTTCCGTCGGTCTTAGTGCACGATGTAACTACAGAAGAGTCAAGTTTTAAATAGGAAAAACATCGAAACTCTTTGGCCATTTTTTTTTTTTTTTTTTAGAAATGCTAATGGTCTTGTCCACTCCAATGATGTATGCTAAGCTATGCTAAAAGTGGTACCGCCAGACCTGGAGATTGGCTGAATGGATTCAAAAACGGTAAAACTGTATGGTGGAGTATCCCTTTAAAGGGTTAGTTCACCCAAAAATGAAAATTAAGTCATTAATTACTCACCCCCATGCTGTACCAACCCCGTAAGACCTTCGTTCGTCTTCGGAACACAAATGAAGATATTTATGATTAAATCTGAGAGGTTTATCACTGCTACATGGGCTCCCTAAGGGAACGAAACTTGACGGCCCAGAGAGTCATTAAAGAAAATGAGACTTCAAGAGATTTCCACGACGCGCACGCGCGAGAACTTAACTGAAGTAGTGACTGAAGAAGGAGATGGCAATTCTCGCGCGTGCGCATCGTGGAAATCTCTTGAAGTCTCGTTTCAGGCCTACAAGGAAGAAAAGGAATAGTCGAATAAAGTCGTTATTTTTGTTTGTTTTTTGCGCACAAAAAGTATTCTCGTCGCTTGATAAACTTATAGTTGAGCCACTGTTGCGACATGGAATATTTAAACATTTTCTTTAATGACTCTCTGGGCCGTCAAGTTTCGTTACCTTAGGGAGCCCATGTAGCAGTGATAAACCTCTCAGATTTAATCATAAATATCTTCATTTGTGTTCCGAAGACGAACGAAGGTCTTACGGGGTTGGTACAGCATGGGGGTGAGTAATTAATGACTTAATTTTCATTTTTGGGTGAACTAACCCTTTAACGATCAATCTATAATCCCACCCACTTTGAAGCGGTACTAAACTGCAGAGGAAAAGCTAACTGAGACGCGCCGAGCCGTATAATGTAGTGGAAAAGCGCCATTAGACACTAATGCCTGGCTCACACTACAGGAGTTTTAGGCCGATTTATGCCCGATTTTCCCCTCCCGAGAATCGGAGAAAGAATCTTGTTGAGGACCTCGATCGGTCCAGGGATCGGGTTGTCGAGGCCCCCGCCTTCGACTGCTGCCCGATCCTCTCAGCACCGGCCCCTTACGGTCCCTCCTGTAGGTGGTGAGCCCACAGGAAGGCGGCCCCACGTCGCTCCTTCGGGCTGAGCCCGGCCGGACCCCGTCTCGTGAAAAGTCCTCTCCCCGCTCCCTCTCCTCCTCCCTCTTTCAACGGGAGCAGACTTTTCACGAGAGATGATATTACTGCGCCGAGTCGAAGTGCTCCCAAGCACTTGCTATGGTATTCTGCCATACAATATAGTTATCCATTTTACAAGCTTAGAAAAGCGCAACGTTTTATTTTGTGTCACCGTCCTAGGTCGAGTTACACAACTCGTGTAACTGTATTTAAATAGGGAAAACGTGGAGGTGTTTGTTTGCTTCTCTTCTGGGCACGTATTGAATGAACAGGGCTGAGATAAGATCTAACACAGTTTCGCCGCAAGACAGCGATGTAGTGCACGCACTGAGACGAGAGAGGTATGTATCAACTCGTCTTAGTTAAGGGAATAACATAGTTTAATATGAAAAACCAGTAGAGTATCCCTTTAAAAGGATGATTTTTTTTTTTTTAAGATTTCGCTTTCCTTGGTTACGGCAACCTTTTCACAAATATGACTTGATATGAAGGACAGATATTTTGTTTACATTCACCTTTCCGCTTCCGATCTGTTGCGTGAGATCACGTAAGGCGCTTCCTCTGGCATGAATCTTAATAACATTGTGTAGTGTGTGATGCGCCGCGATTTCTAAATCGGTTAGGATTTTAAAACTCCTGTAGTGTAAGCCAGGCATAACAGTGTTTGCAGAACTCACCCATGAACATAAAAGAGTGTGTAGAGTTGCCTGGGGTCAGTGAGACACGCCCGTGTGACTGACAGCACTCCAGAGGATCCCACAGTGAGCGGTTCGAGCGCGAAGTACCCGGAGTCCGTGAGCTGAGAGAAGAGGTGCTCCACACTGCGCCGGCAGCCCACGCACGGCACCGACTGAGCCAGAGCGCTGATGACCTCACGAGACATCACCATCAGCGCCATGTTCAGGTCCTGCTGCTTCAGCAAACTGTGATGCTGGCGGACAAACACAGGAGGGAAAGTGAAGCTTAATAATAATAATACTTTAGTTCATATAGCGCCTTTCAGAAAACTCAAGGTCGCTTTACAATAAAGTACAAATAAACAATACAAATAAACTGAGATGGATAACATAATAGATAGTGGTACATAAACATAGAAATCAAGGGAAACAAATACCGTATTTTCCGCATTATAAGGCGCACTTAAAAGCCTATAATTTTCTCAAAAAATGACAGTGCGCCTTATAATGCGGAGCGCCTTATATATGGATGGGGAACACACGTTCACCAAGACGGGGAGACAGCGCCGGGCGACTTACGCCACTATCTGCCAATGGATCGTGGATGCCTGGGCTGATATATATCAGTCTCAACTGTGATCCGAGCTTTCACGAAGGCAGGAATAATCTCTTTATTCAGCCGGTGTGGTGCCGAATTCTGACCCCCGCCAAATTATTACCCCCCTAGTATGGTAGGTTTAGGATTAGTTTTGGGGGAGGGTTTAGGATTAGGGGTGGGGTTAGGATTAGGCAATCAGGTACTGATTTCAACGAGGGGGGTAATAATTTGGCAGGCAGCCGAAATTCGGCACAACACCGGCTCACATACCCGTATTTACTTCCTGTTTTCGGCCGAAGTCCACAGTAGTTGATTGTCGAGTTCGCGCGCGCGATCAAACCTCCTCTGTGTGTTCAACATCTGATTCGGATGAACTATCCATTTGAGCTGATATTCCCAGAACACCACACAGCACCGCCATCGGCTGACAGCTGACAGTCTGAGTCTCCACTGTGGCTTAGTTACCAATGATCGCGCGCGCGCACTCGACAATCGCCTACTGTGGACTTCGACCGAAAACAGGAAGAAAATACGGGTATGTGAGCTGGCTTTATAAACATCATTTTTATTCATATCTTTCACATTTACTGCAGTCAGATTCACCGTGTTCACTCACATGGCTGTGCACCTGTAATGACACATTAAGGTTGTTAAGAGGCTAAAAGCAGGTTTAAAACTTGTCCCGTTTAAGTCAACAGGGTGCAAATTTTAAAAAGAGGATAACACGGTGTAGGCAACACCGGTTTTTGTCGTTGTTATCTGTTCTGACAGCACTCCAAATTTACAAAAAATGAGCTCAATGTTAAAATTGACCGGAGTTTTCCTTTAACGTTTGAACAACGTTACCATGGGAGTGAACGGAGTTGTCAGTAAGCTTAATAAAGTTTGACTTTATCTGACTGTTTTGTTGACATTTGTTGACATCTAGGCCTAGTGGATGCATAACGCAAACCCAGTCAAACGTTTGACTGCAGTATCTTATGCGCCTTATAATCCGGTGCGCCCTATATATGAAAAATGTTCTATGATAGGTCATTCATTGAAGGTGCGCCTTATAATCCGGTGCGCCGTATAGTGCGGAAAATACGGTAGCAAAAAGATATGTTTTAAGGTGGGTTTTAAGCTTGAAGCCTTAAAAGTCTGACTCTATTATTTTGTCATTTCTGTCAAGCTGGAAAAGTGATTCAATTTGTCCACACACAAATACACACTAGTTTGGGATCAGTAAGATTTGTAATGTTTTTAAAAGAAGTCTCTTCTGCTCACCAAGGCTGCATTTATTTGATTAAAAATACAACAAATAAACAGTAATACTGTTAAATATTATGACAATTTAATATAATTGTTTTCTATTTTAATATATTTTAAAATGTAATTTATTCCTGTGATCAAAGCTGAATTTTCAGCATCATTACTCCAGTCTTCAGTGTGTCACATGATCTTTCAGAAATCATTTTAAAATGATGATATGATGCTCAAAATACGTTTATTATTATTATTATCAATGTTGAAAACAGGATCTTTTTCAGGATCCTTTGATGAACAGTTTTTTTTTTTTTGCATCCTGACATTAATTTCTTGAAGCAGTAATGAAAATATTTTTATTAAAATCAACAAATTGAAAGCAGTACGACTTTTATTGTACTAAGAATAATGATTTTGTGTTGCATTACTGTAATGAGATTTGTGGTGTAGTTGCTTAATTGTCATGAACATTACTATTTTCATTTAATTACATTTTTATGTTACAGATTTGGTGTATGTTTACACAACAACAATGAACTAAAAATAGGAAGAAAAACCCCCTGGAAAAACGCTGTATTTAGCTGCCAGGTCATGTGTACGATGTCAAAAATTAACGTTTTTTTGTAGTTTACACAGAAACGATAACAGTATCGTTTTCAAAAACTTGCACTTCGAAAAGTTTGTGTTTTCAGGACCCAGGTTTTAAAGTGAAAACAGCGTTGTGGAAACGCGCCTTTAAATAAAATTAAAATGCATGTTCTAATTTCTTATTTTTGGTTTTAGGGTGAAATATGACCCAGACGTGTTCTTGAAAGGTTTTCAACAATGAGAAAACTGGAAAATGTCATTGTTTACCTCAATAAACTGCTTCATTTGTGAACTGTTGATCTGATAGCTGTCAAATTCCAGAACACTGTCAGGAAACTCCATCACCATCTACAAAAAATACAACATATATACAATCAAAATAACACAACACTTCCAAACATAATTCTGTCTGTGACTTCAGTTTGCATTCAGTAAGCATATATAAAGAAGAAACAAACACACTTGGTATTTAGTGGTACTTGCAAAGGCAAACCTCTAAAACTGGTTTAACCCTTTAGAACCGGCTGTGTCGTCGCCGACACATACCAGCAATCTGTATTCATTTTACCGTAACTCTTTGACCGTTTGCACTATCAAAAAAATTATTCAAATGAAATATACGGCGTATTCCGTCAGCAAATGACAGCAGCTTTCTGGCAGAGCGAGAAGGAAGGATTTGAACGGAGAGATACGAAGCGCGGCAGCTAAGAGTGTTTTGGATTGCATAAAATAATAGAAACCAACAAATACATGGTGAAATAAGTGGTAGACAGCAGAAGAGGGGATTGGGAAGATTTTTAATGAAACTTGGGAGGCGGATGGCCGTTACTCTTTCACGTATCTTAGCATGTGGTGTGTGCATGCGTATGTGTGCGTGCCTATGAATGCATGCGACGTGGGTGTATGAATAAAAGTGTCCTAAATGAAAACTGTGCAACCCAATGTCACAAAAAAGACTTTTATATATGTATTATAGTTCATTTTTCAACTTTAAAGTGTTAGTTTCTTTCGTTCGTGACTATAAATAAAAATTAGTAAATTTATTTCTTATTTTTGTCTATTTAAATTCTATTTACAAACTCACCACCACACACAATAATGGTCAATAACTGTAATGTGTTGACAGCTTGCACATGAAGATAGCACATTGTTTTAGAAATTTACAGTCAGAAAATCAAAATGTGAGAAAAACACCTATTTTAGCTTCAGGTTCAAAAGGGTTAATGGTATTAGCCACTGAAATACACCGATTAATCATGCACTATAAGACCAGGAACATATATTTTTGGTTTCATTTTCAATTCACATCAACTTTAAAGATAGTAAAATGCAAAGTTAAACCAATGAAATGATCTTACCGTGAGTGTGTCATCGATGTACAAGGGAATCTGGCGTGCAAGAAAAAGATACTCCTCTTCCCCGTCCCTGCAGACAGCCACCAGACGAGCCATGTCTCCGTCCAGATCGGCCTGTTAGTGAGAGGACAGAATCTCAGTTAGCAAACCCTAAGAATACCAGCAGAAACCAAAGCATTTTACACCATGTGTAATTTCATAAGTCGAGTATTTTCTGCTTAAAACTGCAGTGAACCTCAAAAACACGGTTTGAAATCGCTGGTGTTTGTGACGTCACAAACGACCTTGTAACCAATCAGATCAACGTGTGATCGTCAACCAGTGGATCTCTGAGCTGAGTGAGTGAGTGGAGGCGGGGCTTATTTGCATATTCATAGAACCACGCATACTAAATGAGGCAAGGGTGTAGAGTAATGCATAATGCCTGGTACAGACATTACAAATCAAACTGTACAACATGGATCTAATAAACTTTGGGTACGACATGTATGATGGTGACACCATTTGAATCATAGGCTATGACGCAAGCTAGTATAGAAGAATAAAACGTCATCAGCATGCGCTAGTGGTAAACGTGTGATGAATCGCACTTTGGCAATTGTTGTTTTTAAGTGTGCAGAAAAAAAGAGGAAGCGAAAGAAGAGATTATGGCTATGAAACGGTTATGATTACAGTTATGGCAATGAAAAAGAGGCCAACTTAGGCGAGCTTGAGGTAAGTCGTTTTAAGTTTTTAGCGTCATGTTGCCGCTAAAATGGTCAATAAACCATTTCATGTTGCATTTGTATTGGCTAGTCAGTAGTGATGTATGTCTCGAGACCGGTCTTGGTCTCGAGACCGGTCTCGAGACCACTTTTACGTGGTCTCGGTCTTGTCACGGCCTTGACGGTCTTTGGTCTCGGTCTTGTCTTGGTCTCGGACCTCCCGGTCTTGTCTAGGTCTCGCTGTCTCAGACCGACATAGTGGTCAGGGGATTGAGCAATACAATACTACAATATCCACGACGATATCCGCAACGTATTGAAGCGCGCGTCCGAGTGAAGACAGTGCGGTGCGCGCGAGCCACGCGAGAAAACACTGTATCCGCGCCACTGATCGCAGCGGCAACGAGCACTTTGATCACTTGATTTAAAAAACACATATCATGTACAGTTTTTGATATATTAATATTTAGTAAAACACATATCAGTGACATGATGGGTTTTACCTTCAGGAGATTTTGGGTAACTGCACAACTGACAGATGACTTTGAGCGCACCGCCAATGGTGTGTGTGTGTGTGTGTGTGTGTGTGTAACCATAGCGACAAAAACGACCAACTTTCGGATCCTGCACTTAAGCCTATAATTTCGTTTTTAAAAATATAATTATGTATTTAAAAGTTGCAGAATGGGTTCATTTGGAGACTTCAAAATCAGCAGAGATAGGCAGGCAAATGCAAAACAACATTTGACAAGTTATTGCTTAGCTTCAACACTAATGTTTTTTTCCCCTCCGGTCTCGACTTGGTCTCGGTCTTAGTCTCGACTTGGTCTTGGTCTCGACTTGGTCTGTCTTGGTCTTGGTCTTGGTCTTGTCTTGGTCTCGATACCATCTGGTCTTGGTAGTGTCTTGGTCTCGGTTTAGGCGGTCTCGACTACAAGTCTACTAGTCAGTAGACGTAGGTCGCAGCAGCAAACACACTGTGAGATGATCATGCTAAATTTATGAGGCTGTCATAAATTATCGCAGGCTATCCTTGGTCGCAAACCCGTGACAACGGCCGTCTTTGAACATCTCTCACTGTATACGACATATGATCACCTTTTAGGAGCCACGACCACAGAAATCACCATGATTGGTCATCTTTCATTTGGGACAGCCCAAAATTATACAATGTGTACCAGGCATAAGGCACCCAAAATTGGAAACACTCCAGTCATCTGATAATGTCTACCAGATTTCTTGGAGACGTGTGTGTAGACAGTCCACCTGGAAACGAAGCCAAACCCCCTCATGGAAGAGGAAAGCTGTCGTGTTTACAACTGTGATGATAATGAGCGACAAATAAACGCTGGATTTCCGAAAGTACGTGAAGGTCACGGCATAGACTCTTTAAAACACGTCCAAGAGTTTTACACAGCCGGCCTGTTATTGCAGCGACATCGACTTTACATTTCACACCCTAAAATGGCACTGAATAAAACTAACTGTGATTGGTTGCTTCAGATGTCAGTCAGAAGGCCTCTGGATGGTCCTTGGCCAATGAAAACTGCTACACGAATCTTTATAAATGATACCTTTGCATCATTTGACCAACCAAATGTTTTACAAATACAAGACTTTGTTTGTCATTTTTTCCCCCCTAATGCTCAACCTTATACTCTGATAGATAATATCCTAGGTCTTGACGTTTGTGTTAAAGACTCAAATTCAATTCATTTGCAGTCTTTCCCAATGGATAATTTGCATTACAGCTGGGAATTAGACATTAGTACAAAGAAACATGGGAGGCAGTTGTGGACACGGTTCACTTCTCATCTATTTGTGCAATATTGTAGTCAATTTCTAAAGTGCAAACACTGTGTGCCTTCCTAGCAGCCCTTGTAGCTTTGCTAGGGATTATTAGCTTACACACACACTATTATCTGTCTACAGAGGCTTAACACTTATTATACCCACCTCTACACTCCAGTCTAAAAGAGACACTGATGTACTTGTATCACATTCGCATATATTTGTATACAATTGCCAAATAAATGCAGGAACTCTTCAGAGGTGTAAGAGGTCAAGCCACATTACGACAATTAGCAGCTAAACAAACACCAAACCAGCATCTCAAAGCTCTGAAATATCAAAATACACATTTCAGATTATATTCATATAAAATAAGCTCGACTGCCTGTTGTCATAACAATTAGCTACACAAAAAGAGCTGTGATAATCGCACTCATGTTCCCTACGATGACACACATGCTAATTAGCCTGCTAGCCAACGAAATGCTCACACCTTAAACGAATCATTTATAAATATGTAATGCTGTAAATGTTGCAGGGACGGAAAGCGAGATAATGTTACAAAATAAACAGACATTTTAGTGTGTCGAACTCGCGTTAGCAGACGGCTAACCTGTGAAACTTTTCCAAGCTGATTAGCATGCTAGTGCTGTCAGTGCCTTGCCTGCGCGAGCTGCAACTTTAAACCCAAACAAAGCATGTTTCACTGCACGCTATACAATGCGCAAATGTACTTTTAGCATATTAGAAGACATTTGAATTCAGAAGTGTCCTGCCAAAGGTCTACTTTGACTGACGGACTGACAAACTCAACATTTATCCTCCCCGTAACGTCACTTTTCAGCCATTATTGCAGTTAAAACAGCGTCTAAATGCACAAATATCAAGCAGCAGTTTTCCTACCCACCTGTTTTCGATAGATGTTTTCTTTTTTGGGACAAAAACAAACAAGTGCGACAGAGGCGTATGTGGCAGGCGAATGTTCTCTGACCTTTGGCCCCCTGATACGTCAGAAAGTAGTTCCGGGCTTTGATTGACACATGGGTGGAGACTCTTCTTCTTCTTCTGTGGGTTTACTGGCGGGTTGCAAACCAACTAAAAGGAGATTATTGTGAGCATAATTTACATTTGGGTAGATATTATATGATATACCTTCATCTAAAACCACTTTTTCCTCATTCTTTTCTAATTGTGCATGCATCGCACATTAGTTGATATATTAATTAATTGGCTATGAAATGAAGACTACATGAAAATAAAAATATTTTGCATATGGTTTTATGACATTAATTTAGTTAAAAGAATTTGGGATATCAGCAAACATTAGTACTTTTGGTTTTAGGATTGCATTTGTTTAAATATTAATTATTTTAAAGACTGCATGACATATTTGTTTCAAATGGATCTTATAATTATTTTACAATAATGTTTATGTGTTTTTTATGACATAACTAAAAGTTTAATTAAAAGACTTTGGAATATTAGTAAACATGTTTCCTTATTCTTTTCTAATTATTATGCATGTTATTATGCAATTATGATCGCTGGACTACATTAAAGAATACATGAAAATAAACATATGTTGCATATAGTTTTATGACATAATATCAATTGAGTTAAAATAATTTGGAATATTAGCAAAGATAAGTATTTAAATATATATATATAATTAGTATACATGCAGGTTTTAATGATTGCATATTTGTTTAAATATTATGTAATTCAAAGTATGCATGACATTTTTGCTTAAAATTGATCTTATAATTATTTTAGTATACATCAGCATTTTTCCTAATTATTATGCATGCAACTTTACAACCTGATGATATTAAATAAAAGTCTACATGGAATATTTTAAATCCATTTATCATTCAGAAACTGTGATAAAAGAAATATTGGCCAATTACAGCATTTAAAAAGACAAAAATCAGAATCTAAATCTCTGATGTGATGTCCACGTTATTTGCCATGAAATCTTCCCATTTAGTACTTTAATATTTGATATATAATACAGATTACACATATAGTAACATCATATTTACAAATAAATAACCCATTCACTTTTATTTGCACTTTGCAAACAATTTAAACACAGCAGTTGAAACGAGAGATCCATTCAGAAGCCTAAAATTAAATAAAAAGGTCGGTGTTTACCAGAACTTAATGGTTATTTTTTTTATATGCAAAATGAATATGACCAAGCTGTTCATGAACATATACAAGAGCAAAACACTCACGCCTAAAGCATCACTGCTGTTCAGAGTGTCTATGAACACGTTGGTCAAACCCGTCATGACATTCGCCAGCAGGAAATATAACAACTGGTTCCGGTTAACAGACTGTATGAGGCATAATGCATCCATATTATTTCTCATTTTCTCAGACTTCCTAGTTTGATGTGGACACCACGATGCAGACACAAGTGAAAAATTAGAAATGACTTTAGAAAACAGTAACACTAAATCACCAATGCTTAAACAAGAGAGAAAGAACATGGCTTGCGCTACAGTCCAAACGCAGAAGGAAAGATTGGCCATTCTGCGTGAAACTGGCTCGATGCATCTCTGGCACACGTATAACGCCAAAAACAAGCCAACGCTAGTCAACAGAAGGTTACGGATCACTCGGACCCAGTCTTGAACTAAAGCTCTGCTTTGCATGAGGTAATGTCCGATCTGAACCCCAGCCATGTAGATGGCAATGTAACCCACGACTGAGAAGATCCCCTCTTTGTTTTCCTCCAGAAAGCCTGTGCGATTATCACCGCCAACGAGAAAGGACTTCAGACCTGTCGTTTCCAAGATAATCTGGTACGTTCCCCCAATGAACACAGCAAGAATCCCTGAGGAGTTTACCGGAAAGAGAGCCAGAAGTGCAGACGCCACCAGTCTGACGATGGCTAACGTGAAGAAAAAGTTCCAGTGAACTCCATACTCCGTCACATGTTCGTGATAGCCGGATGATTTAACGCTTGCAAGCCTCACGAACCCTAACAGGACCAAAGGCCAGACTGAAACACACTGTTTTAGCACATGACCGATCTTCGATCCGCGTATCTCCTTTCCTCTTGCTTCGGGACACACCAATGCATTGGCAATCACATACGCTCCCACACCGAAGTCCATCACTCCCGTTCCATACGTCTCTGTTTTCGCATAACGTCTCGGGAACACACTGAAATCGACAGCTAAGATGCTTATGGCGGTCTTCACGTTGACTAAAACGCGGAACACGGTTACAAACGGGACTTGGTTTGATTCTACTCGGCTTTTCACGAACTTGTCCATCGTATTGGAGAAGGAACCTCGCTTTGCGTTCTTGTACACGAGGTACAGGACGGTGAAGTCGACGACGGCAATGCCCACGATGACAAAGTGAAGGATGTCGCTTAATACGGTGCACGACAGGACCAAAGGCATTATTAGAGATGTGAAGTCCAACAGGAGATGGGATGCCCAGGAGAACGGGAGAATCCCTTTTCCCAGGTGGAAAACGATCAGGAAAAGACCTCGACTGAGGAAGCACAGCGGGGCTAAGAAGGATCCCAGAGAAACCTCCGTCAGGCTGGTGCCGTTCAGATTGCTGACAAACGCAACTTTCTCGTCTGGTGATGCCATTGCCTGTAAAAAGAAACACACATATTTTATTTAGTAGTGTATGCATACACTGCAGTTCAAAAGTTTGGGATTTTTTTTACGTTTTTAAAAGAAGTTTCTTATGCTCAACAAGGCTGCAAATTTAAAATAAAGTTTTCTATGTGAATATATTGTAATTTATTCCTGTGATCAAAGCTGAATTTTCAGTCTTCAGTGTCACATGATCCTTCAGAAATCACTCTAATATGATGATTTGCTGCTCATGAAATGATTATTATTATAATCAATGTTAAAAACAGTTTTTTTTCAGAATAGAAAGTTCAAAAGAACAGCATTTATCTGAAATAGAAAGCTTTTTTTTTTAATTATACACTACCGTTCAAAAGGGGGGGAAATAAAAGAAATCAATACTTTTATTCAGCATACAGTATATGCATTAAATTGATCAAAAGTGACAGTAAAGACATTTTTAATGTTACAAAAGATTCTATTTCAAATAAATGAAACAGAACTTTCTATATTAATCAAAGAATCCTAAAAAATTTAAATGTCCACAACTTTGTCAACATTGATAATAATAATAATAATGAATATTTTTTGAGTATCGAATCATCATATTAGAGTGATTTCTGAAGGATCATGTGACACCGAAAACTGGAGTAATGATGCTGAAAATTCAGCTTTGATCACAGGAATAAATTACACTTTAAAATATATTCAAATAGAAAGCAGATATTTTAAGTTGTAATAATTTTAATGTATCAAATAAATGCAGCCTTGGTGAGCAGAAGAGACTTATTTTAAAAACATTAAATATCTTACCCGTTCTCAAAAAATTTGAACGGCAGTGTATATTTAGTATATTATATATAAAATAATAATACATTTATGTTCATTGGCCAAAATGTTGTCTGATTCTTATGGTAGTAAAACGTATTAAGTTGTAAACCATGATGATGCTCTGCCAATCCTAAAATTGACCATGGTATTTTTGTTCTCAAGCATTTAAGCGCAAATAATTCCATTTAAGCGATTTAATCAAGAAACACACTTATTGAAGCTATTGTATTATATAAAATGTGACTTACCTCTTCCCGTGTGATGTGTAGTGAGACTAAACTACATAAAGCACATTAAAGCAGTGGTCTATCAGGATAAACCGGTTTTACACATTAAACAGGAACTCTTATTCATCATTACTGTACTTGTATCTTTCCATTAAATAGTAGAAATACACATTCCTCTAATAAATCGTTTATTTTTCATTCATAATCCTCAGTTTATAACAAAGTGTCGTCGCACATTGGCACTGAAATGTTTCTTTTCCGCGTTGGGCGTGGCTTACATGAAACGTCACTATATGGGCGGAGACTTTTCTTGAGTGACGTTACTGCGCGTGTCAGTGCCCGCCGGTGTGAGTCGCGCGCGAGAGGGAGTTTTGTCCTTCACTGAGGAATTTTCATGGCTGAAAAACATAAAATAACTCATAAAATATCCGCCTAATGGCAGAGATATGAACAAGTAAATACCTCTTTCTAAAGTTTACAGTCATGGCGAATGTCAAACAGAAGCTTTTATTCCGAAATAAAGACGTTTCGACGACCGTTACTAACAGCTCTGACGGGAGTTTGGAAAAACCTGGAAGACCAAATCGAGAGAAGGAAAAGGTACACTAACTTTATTATTCACTGCTCATTTAATACGTTCACCTCACTTTTTCTTTATGTATAACAAAGTTTAAGATGTATCATCAACTAATTTTTTTTAAATTAAACTGACAAACTGAACAGGAAAATACACGTTTTTCTGAAAGCAACCCTTTACAAAAAAAAAAAAAAAAAAAAAATCCTTGTGGTATCAAATATTAATAACATGGTTCTGAATTATTGGCACATGCCAAAAACCTGATATTACTATGCATGGTGCCATGTCCAAAAACATGGTAGTACAATGGTTCACATAAATATTCGTAGTTTTCTAATTTTCTCGTCACAATTATTATTATTTTTTTGTGACAAGAAGAAATGCACATACACACACACATACATATATGGGGAACACACAGATTTATATTCTGAAATGTCATTGTAAAAAATAATTAAGCTTATTATTCCTGTCCTAACAATACATAGCCTATTTTATTTTTAAAGGAAGTAATTAAAAAAAGTTAGGCCTAATAAATGTCACCCTAGACTAGTTTTCTATTGCGTTTAACAATAATTGTTGATAAAGTGATTTACTGTGATAATGATTATATGTAATCACTATATGAACCTTATTGTTTTTCCGGTGTTACCTCATTTGCATATTCATTGACCTGGCACGTGTTGTCATTGGCGGATTAAGCAGTGATGCAGTTAATCTGAAAAAGGCCATGCTTAGATTATTCATCAGGTCAGCCTAATCTGAGCATGCGCACAAAACTACCTATGCTCTCCTTTTTTGGCATAACTTTATATAAGATTAAGAAAAATACAATCTGTCCAGGAGACAAGTTGTTTGTGTTCATGTGCTTTGATATGTTAATTCTAGTCTAGTAAAGTTGCACTATTAAAGGTCACCCTCGGGTATTATGTCTAGTTTACTGTTAAGTGTGAATAGTGCAGATGGTTTGTTGTGCCATGCAGTGTTTCTCATGCCCACAGATACAGTCATCATCTCATTATTTCCGATCTATTATGATTCATAACTTCAGTGTTGGTGCCAGCCTGGGAGTTGAAACTGGATCATGTTAAAAATCTATGGGAATCTGTAATTGTTTTGTTAGATGTTTCTGAATTAATCTGTCATTAGTCTATATCTATGTGATCTCTGAGTCTGTACTTAACCAGGTAGTGTTGCTGTAGTTTACCTTGTTATTGGATTAGGAGCAGGCCTGTCCAGCAGACAGCGTGTACTGTGTATAATTAGCTTGTCTTCTTCAGCCTGTCCTGACCCTTCTCAACACATGCTGTCATTAAACATGTGGATTCGCAGCAGAATCAGAGGAAGGACGTGCAATTGAATTTATTACACCATTTATACCCGATATTTATAATTTTCTTGATGAATTCCAGGCTTGTTGTTTTGGATAAGGTTTTTTTTTTGGCTCTGTTGTCGCTCGTTAGGAACATTTGCCTGCAAGCGTCTTTCAAGAGAGGAATAGTACAAGCAATTAGTCAGATCTCAAAGATGTGAGAAATATGATTAATACAAATATACTGAAACTAGGGATGCACCGATATGAAAATTTTGGCCGATACTAATAACTGATAATTCTTTTGAAAGCTGATAACCCATATATTGTCCGATAAATCTCTAAATCCAAATTTTTACATAATTTTTGAGAGCCTGATTACAAAAACTAAAGTCTCCTCCTCATTAAAAACCATGTCTCAAGCACACAATTATAATGATATTCTCATTATAGTTTTATGTAGCCGATATGACAGACTTGCACTGAACTGTATTTTCCTTTTTTGAAGTGATTCTGATCATATCTCAAGCAATTCGAAACCATCATGTTGAACAGTGCGCATCTGAAGTCTCTCAGCTGACGGAAATATAATCCATTATTTATTGGCTTTAATATATCGGACAAATTTTCTTATCGGGCCGATAAATATAGCATTAAAAATGAACATCAGTCGATATACTGATATGGTGGCACTGGCCGATATATTGTGCATCCCTAACTGAAAGTTTTATAGGTTGTTGCAGATAAATATGGCTCTTTCCTTTGATGTCATGCATAAACTCAGCTGACATAAATATGCCATAGGGTTGGGTAAAAAATATTGATTTTGTCGATATTAATCGATTCTCATTTTTACGAACCGATATCGATTCTTAAATCTCAAGAATCGATTAGTCATCCTGTTTTCATTTGATGAATGAATGGAACATTGTAGCGCGCATCCCATCCAATAAATCGCAATAATCTTTGTGCTTTGTTACTATTGATACTAAATAAAGTCTCAAATTTCAAATTACGTCCATTTTCTTACGAAATTCAAAAACAGAAATAGCGTTTTGGTGCTGTGGCGTGAGATCGCTCTGGCTCAGCTCAGCTCAAGAGAAGCACATGATCTCCTCTTCCGCCTTAATAATACCAGTTACAGCGCGAAATAAACATGAATGAACTTCTGAAAGTGTGTTAAAAGATAGAGTACAGCTTATCGAAATCCGTATCATGTCACATGGAATCGCTCAATCGGTGTTTCAACCGTGGAAAGACGTCAGTAAAACAACTTGTAAATCGAATCGGAATCGAATCGAATTGCAAGCTTGTGAATCGAAATCGAATCGAATTGTGAAATTTGTGTCAATACCCAGCCCTAATATGCCACCATATCGGTATCGGCCGATATTTTAATTTTTTAATGTTATTGTTATCGGCCCGATAAGAAAATATGGCCGATATATTAAAGCCGATAAATAATTATTTCCTTCAGCTGAGACGCTTCAAATGCGCACTGTTCAACATGATGGTTTTGAATTGCTTGAAATATGATTGGAATCACTTCAATAAAGGAAAATACAGTTCAGTGCAAGTCTGTCATATCGGCTACATAAAATTACAATGAGAACATTATAATTGTTTGCTTGGGAAATGGATTTTAATGGTGAGATTTTTGTTTTTGTAATCAGGCTCTCAAAAAAAATTTTATTTACAAATTTTGCTTTAGATTTATCGGCCAATATATCGGTTATCGGCTTTCAAATATAAAGAATTATCGGTTACCGGTAAAATGTTCAAATCTGTGCGGTGTGCATCCCTAATTACATTTGTATTTTAATGTTGTGCAAAACCGCATCAGGGCTTGTACATATGAAACGTTTCTAAATGTGATTGCCTGCTGCATCAGTACAGTCAGTAAGTGGAACTCGTTCTTTTTGAATGCATGCTCTGAGCAGATTTATTTGCATTATGCAGGTAAATGGACTGACAGAAAAAGCCCAGGGCCTCGGGAAACCTCTCAATGATTCACTGGAAGTGGACATCAGAGACTTCCTCATCAATGAAGCTGAACTTCACACGTACGATGACCTCACTAAAGTCAACCCGGTCACCCCTTCTACAGGTACAGTGTGTGTTCAAAAGCAATTCAGATGATATTCTTTCCGCATTTTGATCGCCTGATTTCAGTTTTAGCATTTGAAATCCTAGGTTGGAGCTTGAAATCTGATTCATAATATCAACCATAGAGCTGCACAATTAATCGGTAAAAGTCAAAGATCAAAATCTCGCTTCAATCACCCACTGGTTGACGATCACACGTTGATCTGATTGGTTACAAGGTCGTTTGGGACGTCAGAAACACCAGCGATTTCAAACCGTGTTTTTGAGACTGTCTTTGGTTCACTGCAGTTTTCAGCAGAAAATACTCAGCAATGCTGTCGACTTATGAACTTACACATGGTGTGTCTTAAAGCATATTAAAAACACCACATGTATATAAGCAACATTAAAAGCTTGATTTTCACCACAGGGGGACTTTAACAAAATAATACAAGTAACATGAATAAGTATTTTACCTTTTTACAGTGCTGAAATGTCTGCAGGCCAGGTACAGCGCGAAGGTTTTCTACACACATGCCGGCTGTACGCTGATCGCCCTAAACCCCTTCCAACCCATCCCTCACCTGTACTCTCTGGATGTGATGAGGGAGTATCACTCCGCCCCTCAGCCTCAGGTAAACACGCATGAGGACATGAACAAGTCTATCAGTACATCTCAAACATTAAAATGTAGAAGTTACAAATACTTTGCTCGCCATAAATACCATGAGTTTATATGGTCATGTGTAGGGCTGGGTGGTTTGATGCTATGTTAAAGGTGCAGTAAACGATTTCTGTTGAAAGTGGATCGGACCGAGCAACACAACACACTTGTAGCCACTCTGATACAGATTTGAAGAAAGACTGTAGAAAGAGAGATGGCTGAGAGACATTACAAAAGAGAAAAGCTCTGAGGAATATCACTAGACATAGCCTTTATCACTGTATAGAATACTATGAAATACACTAGGGCTGTAGTCAACCAAAGAAATCCTTAGTCGACCAAAGTCCTGTCCTGCGCAACGATTAGTCGACTAAAAAAAAAAAAAAAAGACACGATGTTTTGATTGACCATTTTTTAACAATTGTCATAGCATTTATAAAACAACAACGAAAAAACATCAAAAATACATAAAACTATAATAATAATACAATTCTTTTAAAATTAAGTGATTTTTTTTTAACTGCAAAGTTAGGAGCTCTGTCCTAGGTCTATAGTAGGCTAACAGTCACAATCGCGCACCTGACCACACCACACGCTACACAAAATATAACTGCTATCTGCCACAATGAAAAATCCTAACAAAAGCTCTCGTTTACAGGCTGTAGCCTATATTCTTCTTTACTTGTCTTTTAAAGCTATGGGTTAACTTTTGTCCAGCCGATCTAGGAGTTTTAAAACAAACAGACAAAAAAACCCAAAGAGCCTAAAAAACAATCCTATTATAATAATAATAGGCTGTATTGTAGGACCGCATATAGGTTTATTTTCGTTTTGTTACATTATTTAGGCTATTTTCAAATGCATCAAGTGTACAAATAAAAACAAAAACATATCAAGAAAACACAATCTATTGAGTCAGCATGATAAAGCCGTTAAAGGGACTGCTCACGTCTTTTGCGCGCTCAAGTTCGATTTCAAATGTAGGCGCGCGGTGTGCGCGCTCATGATGGAAGCAACGCGCTCTTTTTTCCCAAGTGCGTCCACGCCGCATCGAGATAAAAACATATAGTGTATAAAAACATAAAAACCGAAACAAGTAGCATTATAACTGAATGAATACAGCTAAACTACCTATATCCCTTACTGAGCACGAAGCAGCAGCGCAGCCAGCCACAGGGGGGAACCGAGTGTTCTATGTGTGTGCGCTAAACTGTGGCGCTGTTACAAAATAGCCTAAATTAAAGCATTTAAAGTTGGGGATAAACCATAGGCTAATTATATTTAGAATACAGTAATATATAACTGCTTATAAAGGAATAAATATCAAATATCTTTCTATTGGTAAAAAAAACAAAAAAAAACAACAACAACTGGTCGACCAATAAGAATGTCAGTCGACCAAGATGGCATCGACCGATTAGTCGACTAAACGACTAAAGTTGACAGCCCTAAAATACACTCACCTAAAGGATTATTAGGAACACCTGTTCAATTTCTCATTAATGCAATTATCTAATCAACAAATCACATGGCAGTTGCTTCAATGCATTTAGGGGTGTGGTGCTGGTCAAGACAATCTCCTGAACTCCAAACTGAATGTCAGAATGGGAAAGAAAGGTGATTTAAGCAATTTTGAGCGTGGCATGGTTGTTGGTGCCAGACGGGCCGGTCTGAGTATTTCACAATCTGCTCAGTTACTGGGATTTTCACGCACAACCATTTCTAGGGTTCACAAAGAATGGTGTAAAAAGGGAAAAACATCCCGTGTGCGGCAGTCCTGTGGGCGAAAATGCCTTGTTGATGCTAGAGGTCAGAGGAGAGTGGGCCGACTGATTCAAGCTGATAGAAGAGCAACTTTGACTGAAATAACCACTCGTTACAACCGAGGTATGCAGCAAAGCATTTGTGAAGCCACAACACGCACAACCTTGAGGCGGATGGGCTACAACAGCAGAAGACCCCACCGGGTACCACTCATCTCCACTACAAATAGGAAAAAGAGGCTACAATTTGCAAGAGCTCACCAAAATTGGACAGTTGAAGACTGGAAAAATGTTGCCTGGTCTGATGAGTCTCGATTTCTGTTGAGACATTCAGATGGTAGAGTCAGAATTTGGCGTAAACAGAATGAGAACATGGATCCATCATGCCTTGTTACCACTGTGCAGGCTGGTGGTGGTGGTGTAATGGTGTGGGGGATGTTTTCTTGGCACACTTTAGGCCCAATAGAGCATCTTTGGGATGTGGTGGAACGGGAGCTTTGTGCCCTGGATGTGCATCCCACAAATCTCCAAGATGCTATCCTATCAATATGGGCCAACATTTCTAACATTTCAGTGGACCTGAAAATAGGCTACCTTCCGTCAACACAACGGAACTATTTTCAGGCGCTGCGTCATATCATTACGCCTGCTGCACTTATGGTACGGCAGTGAAGTTTCTTGATTATTACGCAGGAATGAGAGTATAGTTCCTAGCCATATCAGCCTAGAAAATCGCAACTTTACATTTTCCGTCGGTCTTAGTGCACGATGTAACTACAGAAGAGTCAAGTTTTAAATAGGAAAAATATCGAAACTCTTTGGTCATTTTTTTTTTTTAAATGCTAATGGTCTTGTCCACTTCAATGATGTATGCTAAGCTATGCTAAAAGTGGAACCCCAGAAGCGGAGATCGGCTGAATGGATTCAAAAACGGTAAAACTCAACAGTTTAACTCTGGTAGAGTTGTAAAATGAGCCTATTTCCAAAAAAAGTGGAGTATCCCTTTAACCGATGTTGATTTTGCTTTATGATTAGGGTTAAACAATTAGACACCAATAGGAAAAACTGAAGCCTTAAGTATAGCAAACTGCATTGCACCAAAAACAACAGCTTTGTTGAATGGGAATTATTTTGTATCCTTGTTTTTAACGAGGTGTAACTGTAGGTTATTGTACAACAGCTTCAAGCATGGCTCAGATGAAGCTCCTTTCATTTATTTAGTATTTGCGTTATTATCAAATTGATCAAAAATAGACATTACTGCTTGAGTATGTAGTACAGAAAATATTTCTTGGTTAAATTGTTGTTGAATGAAGCAAAAATAACTACATTCACATAATCTACATTAACCAAGATATAAAGATTTTAAGTCATGACACCCATCTCTAGTAGTATGTTGTCTTTTGAAACTAGAGATCTGTGTTGTTAGTGCATAACAGATGACAGGATGATCTGCCTTTTGTCAGAGCGGAGGACAGTGTCAAAACAATGTTTGCACACCTGGTCTGTTCAGTGTGCTGCAGGTTCTGTGGGATTCAATATGAAGTCAGGCTTTAACTTTTTATATTTTAAACAGGGCTGAACCCTCAATAATGCCTTTGTTACGTCTTCTGGTCCCCAGCTGTCATTTATTTGAGCAAAAAGTAAAATACAAACTATTAGTGTATTATTTAAGAGTTGACCTTTTCGTATTTACGCCATGGACCAGTAACAATGCTTGCTCTCCTCTACATGTTTATTTTGACATCTGAGAATGTTAATGGAAAAATTGCAAACCAGGAAGCTGGATATAAATAAACTGAGGTCACTCTAGATGATATTGATTAATATTTTAGGGCCATTTTATGGGACAGGTAAGGGTAAATTATATTATGCTGGTTTACAGAAAGCACTGTTATATTGAAGGCAATGTTAAAGCATCTCTTTGTACGTAGGAATTTAAGCCACACATCTTCATCGTAGCAGAAGAGGCGTATAGGAATGTGCAAGGCCAGGTGGAGCCCATGAACCAATCGCTGGTCGTCTCTGGAGAGAGCGGAGCTGGGAAGGTAAGTGGTGTTCGTGTGTTGTAGGTTCCCTAATTCAGGCCATCCTTAAAAATATTTTGGTTTGCAGTAACAGCAACAAAAAAAAAAGGGGTCGGTAGGTAGGTCTATTTTTTTTTTTTCAAGATTCAATGTAAAAAAACAAACAAAGGACAATTTTGGTCATGGTGATTACGTCGGTATGAATGTAAACAAATTTGCATATCTTGACGTCACTGACTGGGTCTTCAACCCATGCCTTCGGGCGCACCATTGCGAACCTCATTCTGATACAGGTTATAATTTGAGATCTTTGTCAAAAAACATGTTTATTGCATTGATTCCAGCTGCATTTATATATATATATATATATATAAAAAAAGGCAGAATCAATAAAAAAAGAAGCCACTAGATTTCAATGAAAGTGGCTTTTCAGAGGGAAACAAATAAATTAAAATGACTAATCTCACCAGCGCCGCGCCGACCAATAAAACAGCGCATTTGGCACCATTCGTTTAAATTTGACCCATAAACCTCTGCTATTATTAACGGAAATCAGTGAAGTCAAATGGCTAGGCGCATTGTAGAAACTATACATGAATATCAGATGATATCACCAACGTCTCCTCACTGACGTCACTCACTTCTAAAACTTGTCTGCCGCCATCTTGAGTACCTGATTCGGCAAGATCGATACGGCAGTCGCAACATAAATATGTAACGTTCGTTATTATTTTGAATAGAAATCATCGCTCAAAGCATTCATTCACGTCTTCTCCGGTTTATTTGTGTTCAAATACATGCAATATACAGCATCCGCCAGGGCTATTAGTCCAATGGTGCGCATTTTTGGAGAAATAATGATTAATTATCACATGTTTGTAAAATATTTCGTCATACAGAATGACATTTCTATTTATTTTCCACTGAATTATGCGATCTGAAGAGCTCAAACAGCGAATGCAGCGAGATCTGTGTCTCCTTTTCCTGATTTGCCTCAAATTATGATCTCAGCGCGCGCTCATTCGCTGTACAGCTGTCAATCATCTTACGTGGTTCAACGTGACCATTATCCTGTCTCCTCATTCTGACATCCGTGATAACAAAGCTAAAGTAACATCTCTTCACCTGAAACAAGAAGCTAATAAATGCACGATTTGAAGTATATGTGATTTGTGTGTGATTTTCCTGCTATTGGGGTATTCATATGAAAAAAGAATGTTTACAGTATGCATGCTAGCTAAGGATAGCCCATAGCTTCGTATAAAATGCTAAATATAACATATTTAAAAAAAAATAGTTTGACTTGAAACCAATTTAAGCCGCGACCGGAATATGATACAAATACTCGATGGTGTTTTAAAGGGAGTTTTAAGTAAAAGTGTAATATTAATCAATTAAATTGTGTCATGTAGCTTTATGCTACCTGTTGTGCTAATGCACCTGCTGCAGGAGCTATTCTATTCCATACAATAATTAAGAAAAAAGTAAGTCAAATAATGTTTCAAGAATAGTTATTTTGTTGTTTGTTTTCTAACAAGACTTAAGATAATAGGCTTGTCAGTACCAGGCATAGACAGTATTCGGTAGGTACTCAAGATGGCGGCAGCCAACTGGAAAAAGAGTGGTTGACGTAAGAGGTCACATGACTGATATTCATGTATAGGCCTATTAAGTAGTCCTGACATATTATGGAATGGTCGATTTTCTTTAGTGCAATTTAGTACATTTCGGTATGGGATGTGCTGTTTGGTCAGCGCGGCGCTGGTGAGATTAGTTCTCGCCGCGCTGACCATTGGGTGGCGCAAGCAAATACTTCCTCCCTGTGCTGTCGAGTCTGTCGCGACTCTTGCGTCTCGGTCCATTGAGCCACGCAGATTACATGTCAGCGCAGCATGAACTCTGTAACACTGCGCCGGTGTGTTTGGCTTCCCATACTTATGTGTGTGTGTGTTTGTTTGTCAGAGCCTGCAGTTGCTGTGTGACGCGCGTTCGCGGCGGGCATATCGTGACGAGCTGGACGCGCTCCGAGAAAAGGCCGTTAACATCGATTCCCTATTCTCCTATTCCCAATTTGACCATTAAGAATTTTGAATAATGAGCGCCTAAATGTAGGCTCACAAGCAGCCGCGCCGCAGCCATCATCACCGAGCGCGAACCATTGACAGTGAATGAAACGAAGCGAACGCACAGGCCTTAGTGTGACATGCGTAAACCAATGGTGTAAACATAATCATCATAGATGACGCCACGGGTTTTTATTTAAAAGAAATAACGTAGCCTACGCAATTTATATTCACAATACTTACTATAATATAATTTATATTATTTTATTGCATTTGGATTAGTTGTTTGAAGAGTAAAAACAAATCGGTCGGTCTTAATGCAAGTTAACAACCAGCAAGTCGGTCGGACTAAAAGGAAAAATAAATAATTGGGTCGGTCCTAAATTGACAGGGTTACGCCAAACAAGAATATTTTTAAGGATGGCCTCATGTTTTTCAATGCATATATGTAATAACTGCTTAACAGTCCTAGCTCTAAGTAAACATCTCTTCACATGTGAATTTAGTGACAGAGCTTTACTGTAGGTTGCTCTATATTTCAATGGCAGTCTCTTTGTAAAGCTACATCACGTTGTGACAGATTTACATAACAATATCGGCTGACATGTGATGCTCAAACTGTTTCCCAAAGCCAACTATGGTCCGTAGTTACCAATAGAGTTCAAAGGAACTTGCGACCAAACACTGTAAAACATTATATGATCAATAAGTTATGACAACATACAGTATGTTTTTACATTGCTCATCGAATTTTTTCTTTCAAGTTATACAAGATTTAACTTTTTTTTAAAGTCAGTTTTAAACATCCAAGTTAGTTGTACTTAAAAATGTAAAGCAGCAATTTTTGTTGTTTTTTTACAGGGGAGTTGGTTAACGATGGTTTTGGGAAAAACATCAGGCTAAAATGATCTAAATAAACTTTTTTGACGCTGTGAATGTGATTCTTCAGAAAGATCTGCATGTTAGAAAATTATTAAAGTTTAGAAAGCCTTTTTTGCAATTCGTGTTCTGAATTTTGCTGTGTCATTATAGTACAATGAACTCCTTTCATTTTAAAATCCAGGAAAGTTTGATTTCTTATATGATGTATTTAAACGGTCTGTCAAGCTCAATATTTCAAACACATATTAAGTCTAACACTGAGCTGAAAACGGTGAGCTCACAGCGATTTAGACCACATCTTCTGTACTAAATCTCTCTTCAGACATGGACGTCACGTTGTCTGATGAAGTATTATGCCACTGTGGCCGCCTCGTCTCAGAAGTCCCAGAACACAGTAGAGAAGATAGAAAAACGAGTACTGGAGTCCAACCCCATCATGGAGGCATTTGGTGAGAAAGACTGAGAGCATTTTATGTTGTACTTTTGCTTCCTCTATGATTTTCAGTGGTATCTTAAATTGATCTTTCTAAAAGCCTTTATTTCTCCTTTTCCCTTCTTCCCCAGGCAATGCCTGCACATTACGCAACAGCAACAGCAGTCGCTTTGGAAAATACATTCAGCTTCAGCTCAACAGGTCAGTTGTGTTTTCTCTCAGTTTCGTTGACTTCAGGCACATGAACCTAAAGCATCTTGTGATTGTTTTAAACCAGTGTGATTTTATAATTCAGCTCTCAGCTGCTGGTTGGGGCGTCAGTGCATACGTATCTCTTGGAGAAGACAAGAGTGGCTATCCAAGCACCAAATGAAAGAAATTTTCACATATTTTACCAGGTATTGCATTCACAAAACCTACCAGGAATACAAATACTACAAAAGATATCCATTTCCAGTAATGCTATCAGTTCTAAGGCCCTTTATGTGTACATCATCTACAAACATAACCGTGTGTCAGTTAGTCAGACAATTTTGTTTGCTTGTTTGTTAATTTGTATGTTGGTTGTTTACTGTTGGTTTGATTTGAAGATGATGAAAGGAGCCACAGACAAACAGAGACTGGAATGGATGCTGCCTTTGGAACAAGACTTTGCTTGGTTGCCAAATGCTGAGAGAACCTTAGAAGGCAAGAATTAAAGTTAAAGTCCACCTGTAGTCATTAATTTGATCCCTTAAAACTCATCTTTGATCACCAAAATGGCATATTTAAATGTTTTTTCCTTGAAAAAAAAATCTTAATGCCTTAAAAAAAAGCTTGATTGTAACTCGACTAGGGATGGGAATTGATAAGATTTTATCAATATCAATGCCACTAACGATTCTGCTTATCGATCCGATTCTTTAACGATTCTCACCGATTAAACGTCCCGTGAGTTCAGTGTTGGAAAGATCAGTTGTTTTAACCATTCATTAAAACGAATCGGTGTAAATGAGTCATTAGTTCGCGAATTGGACGTGTCATTATCGGACGTGTGCGCGTTGTGTGATTATCCCGGCGGTTGGGACATCCCACAAGATGTGTGTCATCACAGAAAACATTTTATCACTGGTTCGTTTTTTTCGTTTATTTGAAGTGTGGTTTATGTCAGCTGAATGTGCGGAACGCTTTTCAGAGAAGATAAGGCAACGTATTTTAGTACAATTCACACCCAGCGGTAATTCAGGAAAAACAAATCTCCGAATGCTCCACATGAAACGTTAGTCTCCCGACCTTAGGCCATCCTTAAAAATATTTTGGTTTGCAGTAACAGCAAAAAAAAAAAAAAAAAGGGTCGGTAGGTAGGTCTATATATATTTTTTTCAAGATTCAATGTAAAAAAAAATGGATAATTTTGGTCATGGTGATTAGGTCGGTATGAATTTAAACAAATTTGCATATCGTGACGTCATTGACTGGGTCTTCAACCCCCATGCCTTCGGGCGCACCATTGCGAACCTCATTCTGATACAGGTTATAGACCACAAACAATTTGAAATCTTTGTAAAAAAAAAAACATATTTATTGCATTAATTCCAGCTGCATTCATTTGGAAAAAAATAGGCAGAATCAAAAAGAAAAAAAGGAGCCACTAGATTTCAATGAAAGTGGATTTTCAGAGGGAAACAAATAAATTAAAATGACTAATCTCACCAGCGCCGCGCCGACCAATAAAACAGCGCGTTTGGCACCATTCGTTTACATTTGACCCATACTGTTACAAGCCCCCTTTCTGGTCTAGGGGCAGGAAAGGAGGGTAACAAAAAGTTGCAGGGAGAGAGTGAGAGATTTGACCCATAAACATCTGCTATTATTAACGGAAATCAGTGTGGTCAAATAGCTAGGCGCATTGTAGGAAACTATAGGCCGATTAAGTAGTCCTGACATATTATGGAATGGTCGATTTTCTTTTGTGCAATTTAGTACATTTCGGTATGGGATGTGCTGTTTTATTGGTCAGCGCGGCGCTGGTGAGATTAATTCGCGCCGCTCTGACCATTGGCTGGCGCAAGCAAACACTTCTCCTGCGCTGTCGAGTCTGTCGCGCTCGCGCGTCTCGGTCCATTGAGCCACGCAGATTACAAGTCAGCGCAGCGCGAACTCTGTAACACACCGCGCCGTTTCGTCCCCCTTTCGGTGTGTTTGGCTTCCCACACTTATGTGTGTTTGTTTGTCAGAGCCTGCAGTTGCTGTGTGACGCGCGTTCGCGGTGGGCATGTCATGACGAGCTGGACGGGCTCCGAGAAAAGGCCGTTAACATCGATTCCCTATTTGACCATTAAGAATTACGAATAATGAGCGACTAAATGTAGGCTCATACAGACGTATTTCACAAGCAGCCGCGCCGCAGCCATCATCACCGAGCGCGAACCATTGACAGTGAATGAAACGAAGCGAACGCACAGGCCATAGTGTGACATGCGTAAACCAATGGTGTAAACATAATCATAATAGATGACGCCACGGGTTTTTATTTAAAAGAAAGAACGTAGCCTACGCAATTTATATTCACAATACTTACTATAATAAATGTATATTATTTTATTGCATTTGTATTAGTTGTTTGAAGAGTAAAAAAAAAATCGGTCGGTCTTAATGCAAGTTTACAACCGGCAAGTCGGTCGGACTAAAAGGGGAAAAAAATAAATAATTGGGTCGGTCCTAATTTGACAGGGTCGGTCGGGTTACGGCAAACAAGAATATTTTTAAGCATGGCCTTACCATCGTGTCGTTTATTTTGATTAAAGTCCCCGTGAACCGGAAGTTGCAAACGACTTTTCTCCAGTGTTGTGACGTATTTCCGAGAGAAACGGAATATTAAATGAGGCAAAATAATGGGCGGGGCTTTTTTTTCCAACTAGCACCTGATTTGATCTAGAAAAGTAGGTGTTTTCATTCAGCCTGTCTACTGTCAGTTGGAGGGGCGTGGTTACGGATGTTTAAGCAGACACCCAAACCGTCAAACCTACGTCATCAGGGAAGGTCCTCCAAAGCAGAGGGGAGGGGAAATTTCAGATTTTGATTAAAGATTACGAAGCCAAAACATTTTTTTGTGTGGATTGACTTGCATGGATGAATTGTTCACCACAAAACGATCAATTTAGGCAAACAAAGTAAGTATGGTCAATTTTGAATTCATGGGGACTTTAATATGTGCAAGGGAGAGAGAGCAAGACAGCGCTTAGTTTTGAGACGGTGAAGCCTACTTTCGCTTTGCTCCGAAGAGAGAGTGCGCGCGCGCGACCGGGGCTCTCTCTCTCTCTCTCTCTGCTCGTTCAGTTTAACATGCGCCCTGTCACAAGCGCAGCGGTTCATCTACATTACCAGAGAGAGACAATTTTACTCACCGATCAAATAAGGCTTTGGCGGTACAAAAATTCGCCTTGGACGCCGTGCTATGGTGCTTGATAAGGGACAAAAGGGACAGTTGTGAGTTCACGGTCTGTAGCCTACATACTATGGCTGACTCAGAGCAGGAGCATCGATAAGAGGACTCGTTAACGTCGAGGGCATACAATATCGATGTATCGTAAAACTTAGAACCGGTTCTCGAGTGGAACCGGTTTTCAATTCCCATCCCTAAACTCGACACCCTTGCCTCATTAATATACAGTACGTGGTTATATGAATGTGCAAATGAGCCCCGCCTCCACTCACTCACTCAGCTCAGAGATCCACTGGTTGACGATCACACGTTGATCTGATTGGTTACAAGGTCGTTTGTGACGTCAGAAACACCAGCGATTTCAAACCGTGTTTTTGAGACTGTCTTTGGTTCACTGCAGTTTTAAGGAGGAAATACTCAGCAATGCTGTCGACTTATGAATTTACACATGGTGTGTCTTAAAGCGTATTAAAAACACCACATAGACACATAAACAACATTAAAAACTGGATTTTCACCACAAGAGAGACTTTTAATATATTTATGCCTTAGTCACTTTTAGCAGATAAGAGCTGGACAATTATATAATTTACATTTTGCAATGATATAAGCAATCAATAAAGATGGACATACCTATACATAAAGATCTGGGCGATAATATAGTTCCACTATACTTCTAGAATTTGTCTTTTGAAGCATTTTATGAGGAATTTGAGGAGGCACTTCTAATATTTGACATCTTGCATTCTGTTTGTCTGAGCAGAAGACTGTTTGCAAGAGACGATGGATGCCATGATCAACCTTGGCATTGATGAGGCGAAACGGGCACAGATTTTCAGGGTAAGTTGTGACAAGTGAAAAATGACATCAAAACCTCAATGATGATTGGAGATGAATGGTATGATTGGTTGTTGGATTTTTAGATACTGATTACTAGGGCTGGGTATTGACACAAATTTCACAATTCGATTCGATTTCGATTCAATATTGATTATTTTGGATATCAGGTGCAATACATGGCAAATTTTCTCAAGGAAAACAAATATCTTAACTAATGCTGTAAACTATGGGAGTCAGTTGTAGCCTACTAGGCTTCATTAGCCTACTATAATATTGAAGGTAAAAATTAACTGATTTGTAGCTATACAAACACTTAAATTACACTTATTTATTTTTATAATAATAAAGTTATATGAAATGTAAACATTTAAATGGTGGCTGTCATAAAAACTTGCCAGATTTATTGAAACATGCATTAAATATCGAAGAACGTTAAAAATTATAATGAATATGTAATATGGTGCATATATTTAGCAAAATGCTCCTCTTTAGAGTTAATTTTTCTAGCTGACTAAAGAGTTTATGGTCACATATGGTTTTTCTGAGGTAAATGTGACGTTACATGACATTGTTTACAAGTTGTTTTACTGACGTCTTTCCACGGTTGAAACACTGATTGAGCGATTCCATGTGACATGATACGGATTTTGATAAGCTGTACTCTATCTTTTAACACACTTTCAGACGTTCATTCATGTTTATTTCGCGCTGTAACTGGTATTATTAAGGCAGAAGAGGAGATCATGTGCTTCTCTTGAGCTGAGCTGAGCCAGAGCGATCTCACGCCACAGCACCAAAACGCTATTTATGCTTTTGAATTTCGTAAGAAAATGGACGTAATTTGAAATTTGAGACTTTATTTAGTATCAATAGTAACAAAGCACAAAGATTATTGCGATTTATTGGATGGGATGCGCGCTACAATGTTCCATTCATTCATCAAATGAAAACAAGATGACTAATCGATTCTTGAGATTTAAGAATCTATATCGGTTCGTAAAAATGAGAATCGATTAATATCGAGAAATCGATATTTTTTACCCAGCCCTACTGATTACACTTGATGGTTTGGACTGATTAATTAAAAACTTTTTGATGTTAATAAGTATGAATAGTGGATGGAGACTAAATTACTAAAATGCACCACACACTGAAGAAGACCTGAGAGATGAAAAGTTTGTTGGTTTCCCCACGTAATGAATAACAACTAGTAAATTAACTTTTTGATTTCTCAGTGCAAATTACCCTTGTGGTTTTGATGCAAGTTCACACACCAAAATAACAACATAGGAGATGAGAGAGTGTGGACTGGAGTTGGTGGCTGTTGATGGGTAAAATTATGGAAATAAATATTATACTATGATGTAAAAATGACTCGATTGTTGTCTTTTTGCAAAGATCCTTGCAGGTCTTCTGCAGCTGGGGAATGTGGACTTCAGTCTTGCATCAGAAGAGGCTCAACCATGTGACCTTGATGGGCACTCCAAAGGTGTGGTGTTTCTGCTGTTTTGTTCATCTAAAAAGCAAAGTTATGGCTGTGTATTAGCTAAGGTGCATATTCCAGACATGATGAGACAAAGTGCTATTATTATGGGTGATGCAAGTTCATGTCTGGGTTGTGACATGTCTCTATCACATTCCTCCTCTCTCGCCACTACTTTCCTGTGACTCTTTGCTCTATAATCTTCGATACAGTGGTGGCCAAAATTATTAGAGCACCTGACAGATCTGAAAACATTGACCCTTTTTGCCCCCAAAATATGATATCGTTTCATAATGGGGCTGGTGATGGCGCAGTGGATAAGACACATGCCTTTGGTGTGAGAGACCCGGGTTCGAATCCACTATGAGACACCAATGTGTCCCTGAGCAAGACAGTTAACCCCTAGTTGCTCCAGAGGCGTGCGACCTCTGACATATATAGCAATTGTAAGTCGCTTTGGATAAAAGCGTCAGCTAAATGAATTAAAATGTAAAATGTAAATGTAAATAATGTTCATGAAAAAGGCAGAGGATTGCTCTGAGCACAACAAATATCAGATGAAGTGAGTCGTACTGTTTTTATCCACTTTTAACTTTTAATATTTGGTGTGTCCACCTTTTGCAGCAATTACAGCAGCACATATCTCTGACATAGTGTCTATATGTTTCCTGAGAACTTCAACATGCCTTCTGCAACTGATGCCAAAGGCTTTTCTTTGAATGTACAATAGATCTGTCCAGTTTATTTTCCAACTCACCCCAAATTTGCTCGATGGGGTTGAGGTCCGGACTCTGACCGGGGCCAGTCCATCATTTTCAGGGTTTCCGCGGGGTCTTAAAAAGTCTAAAAAAGTCTATAATTTCAAAATCACAATTTAAGGCCTTAAAAAGTCTTAAATTTGCTGGAGTATTGTGTTCTAGGTCTTAAATCATTTTAAACGGCTCTTAATTTTCCTACGTCCTCCCGCAGCGCTTTGGAATGTTTTTTTTTATTGCGTGGTGTTATAGTTCCTTATTTCGCTAGTCCAAAAATAATTTGCTGTTTTACGACTACAAAATAGCCCAACATGCAACAGCCAATCAGCTTTGTGCATCCATCTAAGCGGTCTTCAGTACTGTTCAGTTTCAATAAATTAATTGGTAACACTTTATTTTAAGGTGCTTGTAATAAGCAGTAATTAACAGTTAATAAGACACTTATAAGACCTTATAAGATGCATATAAGATGCATATAAGCATTAACTAATTATAATAAATAAATTAAATAAAAATAAAAAATCTCAAGTATCAATACATTGCACTTTTAGAACAGCCGAACAAACATAAATGGTAACACAAACTCCCAGTCTCTTAAAAATGGACCTTCCCAAGAGGGAGTAGTTTCCCTGATCTCTTCAGGGCCTGGACCTTTAATTAACCCTTATATGAAGTAGTTAATGCTTATATGCATCTTATATGCATCTTATAAGGTCTTATAAGTGTCTTATTAACTGTTAATTACTGCTTATTTACAAGCACCTTAAAATAAAGTGTTACCAATTAATTTACTGTGCAAGTAATTTTGAGACTCTGCGTTTCCTTTGTACATATTTTTTATGGTGTGATATAGGTCTTACATTTAATTCATAATGGTCTTAAAAAGGTCTTAAAAAGTCTTAAAATTGACCATCACAGGTAGTTCCGGCTAGCTACGTACTTCCGCTCAATTTTAATTTTCCTTCAGTACTACGTCTGGGATTGTGGTGTATTCTTTGATTTTCTCCTGTCAATTTTTTACCGGTCCAATCAGCGAACAGAGGGAGTGACTGAGAACGATGACGTTGATGTCATGCGCTAGTTTGAGTCGACCAAACGCTCCAAACGTTAGAGATTGGTTATGGCAGATCCAGAGTGGCTCTGGGCAGATCCAATAGTTTTAGACTTCAACAGAGGACCCGCCTACAAGGAAGTTAACGCTTGTCAAAGGAGCAAGGCCAGACTCTCTGTACAAATGAAATGTACGAGAATCTGGTGAGAACAGGCTAAGATCTGGCAATAGTTAGAAGAATGTTAAGAGTCATTGTCCTCTTGGAAAATAACAACTGAAACCTTCTTAAATATGTTATGTTCTAATCATTTTGGCCACCACTGTATATACACACACACTTTTGACATATAAGAGGCCATTGTACTATAAAAATATCCTGTAAGTTTCAAACTCAAATTTTTATCGTTATATCAAAAATGTAATTTGGATTTTGTCTCAGTATGATGTAATAGCTTGACGAAAGACCGCCTCCACAGAAGAAGGTCAACGCCCACTTCTACATCATTGCCTCTTTAGTCCCGCCCACTGATTCGTGCATGTCATGCCATAGTAAATACAAGAGCCTCGCAATCAGAGGATTACAGGATTACAAGAAGTGGAAAAACATCCATTGCTTGTGATCCTAACATTAGGAAAGCGTTGAATAACTTACTGTTAATACGATACTGTTCGTGCTTGCTTAATTTTTCTGTGGATTCGTTTTTAAACAAGACAGTTCGACGCAGGCTTTTCAGAGGGATTGAAAATAAAAGATGGCAGTGACGTCTATATTGGATCCGACAGTAATGTTGCAACACAGTAACAGTGTTTTAACCATGTGTCACTTTTGCTTTGTCTGTTACAGGTCGCTTGATATGTACTCGCTTTACCTCCACTTTACTGAAAATGATGAACAATAATTATAAGAACGATGCATTTATTCATAATTCATTTACATTAAGCACCGTAAGTTATCCTGTCAACTATTACTGTGGTAAATCTAAGTACTTTAGTTGCCACAGCCAAAACTTAAAGCATAAACGCATAAATGTTTTGGCGGGGACGTTAAAAATTATTTTATTTCGCAAAACTGTCACCCAATCATAGCAGTGGCGTTTAATTCCAAGTCTTGAATGCTTCTCAAAACAGAGTGGAGTGTTGGGTCAAAAACAGGATAGAAAATAGCCTATTACTTCGATATTATGATGTTTTTTGTTTTTAATTATGACTCTTTTTTTCTATGTTGTGTAGTGTCTTCGTTTCAACACTGATATAATGTAATAAAATACTGGAATGAATATAAATAACGATGATTAATTACCACGCTGTCTCCGTCTGGAGTATCCTTGGTGTTTGACGTGTAGGTTCCTCTTCTCATTCGGGATCAGACTCTGGCTAAAACATGGCAAACATCGGAGGTTATCAAAACAATTTCACATGTGTAATGGTGGGGATGTTAAAAATGATTTTAACCCTTGTGTTATGTTGCGGGTCAATTTGACTCGTTTCGATTTTCAAGTTGTTGGAAATACTGGTCAACCTTTGTTTTTTTTCTTGATATTTTGTGACTTTTTCTCATTTATCATGATGAACATGCATGCAAAGTTTCAACATGCTGATGTGTTTTGACATATACAAACAAAATTACTGTTACGTTCGTGATGTTCGCGGGTCAATATGACCCTCATAGGCAGCCATTCAAAAGCAACTGTACAGACACAAAATAAAAACATTTATTTTCTGTATGTCAGGGCACTTCAACTCCAGTTCTAATGTGCAAGTGCATCTAAAAGTGCTCTAACCCTAACCAAACACACTTGAAAAAGCTAAAATTACAGTGTTCAGAATTATTTGCAAATTACAGATGAAAACCTTTCAGACACAGATAGTAAAATAAGCTCTCATTTCAATATTCAAAATATCTAAAATCCATAGCTTTTAACCAAAACTTTTATGTAGGATTTTCAAAGAGCCAAAAAATAAATAAAAAACATTTATTTGATGAATGTTTTTGTTATGTTTGGTTTCTCACTTCCCTGTGAGTGAATAATGAAACTAGGAAAATAGGTCTTAGGAAACTAGGGAAAGTTAACTTAGGAAAATGAAAATTTTTCATTATACAGCAATTGTTTTTTTGTTCAGTTACGATGTTCAAAGCATAAAATGTATAAATAAATAAAAAAAAATAAAAAAAATCAGTATACTGTTTATTTTCCAATTTTGTCCAAACAAAACTGTTTTAAAAAATGTTTTAAAAACATTTTCATAAATCATATTTTCAGATATAATGTTTTTGTAATGTTTGACAAATGTTGATATCAAAGGTTTACAGTTTGTATCTAAATCTTTGTTGTTTTTCATAGTGTGATTTTTGAGGAATTGTATTGAATCCAATCTGGGTCAATTTGACCCGGTCCATACGGGGAGTACACAGAAATCGAACAGAACACAAGTGTTAATACGCAAAACTGTTACCCAATCATCGCAGTGGGCGTTTACTTCCAAGTCAAAATGAGTGTTGGGTCAAAAACAGGATAGTAAAAAAACCTATTACTTCTAAATTATGTTTTTTGTTTAAATTATGACTCTTTTTTTCTATGTTGTGTGCAGGTTTCCTCCAGAAGACCGCTGCCCTGCTCCAGGTGCCGTTAGACGAGCTACAATCGTGTCTGACCGTGAGAAATCTGCGCGCCGGCAAACAGAACATCCTCAAACCTTGCTCTCGGTCGGAGTGCACCGTCCGCAGAGACTGTCTTGCTAAAGCCATTTATGCGCAGTAAGTCACAGACGTATAAACGCGGCTACACATTTTATGAAGATGTTTGTAGAGCTATATTTTATAGATATGTAGTGTTGCATTATTTATTAAATGCAATATAATTATACTTGTCACGGTTCCAAAATTTCAGTAGTCTGTGCCAATACCTGTAAAAATGTGCTGTTCTCTGTACCAATTTCGGTACCACATCAAAAACTGTTGCATTCTGCCTAAAATGAAAATTAAGTCATCATTTACTTACCCTGGTTTTGTTCTAATGCAGAATGCTGACAAGAAAAGAAGCAATTAAAAAAAATCCTGCTCTTGCTTGTCCATATAATGGCAGTGAATAGTGACCAGCGTCAAGTAGGGGTGGAACTGGAACGGTACATGTATTCGTATTGAACCGAAACGGTACGGGCGTCACGGTTCAGTGCACAAATTTGCACGGAGAATACACGGTACAAATAAAAAAAAAAAACTCTTAAATAGCGATCAATTTCGCTCTATTCGCTTTTGGTGTGACTGTGAACGCAGCAAATGAACAGGCTGCGATCAAGATTGTAATGCTGGAGTGTGTGTGTGTGTGCGAGAGAGAGAGGCGCGAATCGCGCAATCGAACAGTGTGTGTGTGTGTGCGTGTGTGTGCGCGCGTAAGCGAGAGAGAGAGAGAGAGGCACGGGCGCGAATCGCACGATCGAACGGTGTGTGTGTGTGTGTGTGTGTGTGTGTGTGAGAGGCACGGGCGATGAACAGTAGTAACATAAAAACATACTCCGTCATTTTTTTCATACAGGACATCATTAAAACTGCAAAGTGTTTACTTATATTTGTGTACACTCGCAATAAAACACAACATTGTGCTTTTGTCACACTCTAAACTCTTGTCAAACTGTAACCTACAACTGTTAACAAAAGTTTTTAATGGTAGTATTATTTTATACGGAAATCAATTATTTATAATTCAGATGAGAATAAAGTTAGGGTTAATTAAAATGAAGGAAAACAAATATATTGATCTGAAATAGCAAATTAATTTTAAATTCATTCAGGTACAATTACCAAACATATCTCAAGGTCTTTTCGTCTTTTTAATAATTTAATTAATAAACTAATTATATAAAACTACTGTCAGTGCACTACACATAAACTGGTTCTATGCCTTTATTAATAAAACTTATTTAAACAATACAAGGCTTAAGACATTTATAAAAATGCCTTCTGCATTTTTGTTTTGCTTTTCCCTCCATTGTACCGAAATCATACCGAACCGTGACGTCTGAACCGAGGTATGAACCGAACCGTGACTTCTGTGTACCGTTCCACCCCTAGCGTCAAGATTGAAAAAATACACAAAAGTATCACAGAATGATCCCATGCGTCACGTGTCGTATACTCCAAGTGTTCTGTGGGTTTATGATTGAGTTTGGTAAAAAAACAACAACTGAAATGCAATTTATTATTAAACACAAATCCTGACCTTCTGTGCTCGACTGCGTTCATGAGTCCCTTTAAGACTAGTCATTTCACTCGGCGGCCATCTTTGAAACGCCTCTCGGCCATGCAAGTGCAGCTACTATCTTTTTGAATGGGGAAACATCAAATCAAATCTCCATAAATGTTTGCCAAGCTTACGATTAAATTTCATATTTGAAATCACCAATGAAATCTTATTTCTTATGACTTATTCCGCCATATTGAGCGTTGCACTTATCCCCATTCAAAACAATACGAGTGACGTGTCTTGAGTAATTCTATAGTCTTTGACTCTACTAGCGCCACAGTTGATAAATCAAGACTATGAAAAACACAACATGAAATACAATGCCTAGAAATCCTTAAAAAAAAAGTATCTGTGTACTTTCTTAACTGAATATCACCAGACCGGAACTTGACAGATGTGAACGTGATAACTTCATGCGGCGACGAACACAAAAGATAAATTAACCTCAGAGAAGAAAGTTCATGATTTGTACTTCATGTCGCGTTTTTATTAATCTCACGTTATAATAAAAAGCTGTCTTAAAGGTACAATATGCAGGATTTTTGCAGTAAAATATCCAAAAACCACTAGGCCAATGTTATACACTCACCGGCCACTTTATTAGGTACCCCATGCTAGTAACGGGTTGGACCCCCTTTTGCCTTCAGAACTGCCTCAATTCTTCGTGGCATAGATTCAACAAGGTGCTGGAAGCATTCCTCAGGGAGTTTGGTCCATATTGACATGATGGCATCACACAGTTGCCGCAGATTTGTCGGCTGCACATCCATGATGCGAATCTCCCGTTCCACCACATCCCAAAGATGCTCTATTGGGTTGAGATCTGGTGACTGTGGAGGCTATTTTATGACAGTGAACTCATTGTCATGTTCAAGAAACCAATTTGAAATGATTAGAGCTTTGTGACATGGTGGAAGTAGCCATCAGAGGATGGGTACATGGTGGCCATAAAGGGATGGACATGGTCAGAAACAATGCTCAGGTAGGCCGTGGCATTTAAACGATGCCCAATTGGCACTAAGGGGCCTAAAGTGTGCCAGTAAAACATCCCCCACACCATTACACCACCACCAACAGCCTGCACAGTGGTAACAAGGCATGATGGTTCCATGTTCTCATTCTGTTTACGCCAAATTCTGACTCTAACATCTGAATGTCTCAACAGAAATCGAGACTCATCAGACCAGGCAACATTTTTCCAGTCTTCAACTGTTCAATTTTGGTGAGCTCTTGCAAATTGTAGCCTCTTTTTCCTATTTGTAGTGGAGATGAGTGGTACCCGGTGGAGTCTTCTGCTGTTGTAGCCCATCCGCCTCAAGGTTGTGCGTGTTGTGGCTTCACAAATGCTTTGCTGCATACCTCGGTTGTAACGAGTGGTTATTTCAGTCACTGTTGCCCTTCTATCAGCTCGAACCAGTCTGGCCATTCTCCTCTGACCTCTGGCATCAACAAGGCATTTCCGCCCACAGAACTGCCGCTCACTGGATGTTTTTTCTTTTTCGGACCATTCTCTGTAAACCCTAGAGATGGTTGTGCGTGAAAATCCCAGTAGATTAGCAGTTTCTGAAATACTCAGACCAGCCCTTCTGGCACCAACAATCATGCCACGTTCAAAGTCACTCAAATCAACTTTCTTCCCCATACTGATGCTCGGTTTGAACTGCAGGAGATTGTCTTGACCATGTCTACATGCCTAAATGCACTGAGTTGCCGCCATGTGATTGGCTGCTTAGAAATTAAGTGTTAACGAGCAGTTGGACAGGTGTACCTAATAAAGTGGCCGGTGAGTGTATATTTTGTTTAGTTGATTACTTACAATATCCCAAATGTTTTCAACTTTTTGTAAATGCTGAGAAAATCTATAATTTAACCAAGGAAACGGGGCGTGTCAGCAGGGGTGAGGAGGCGCCAGTCAATGGCGTCATATCCGCGTTACCCCCGGTTTCCGCCACGTTTGACCTCGTACTGCGATAGTAACCATGGTGACAGACGTTGACAACTGGGTTATGCCCGTTATGCCTAGAAGGACTGTTACGTCCTCAGGTGGCATAGTAAGTTACTAGGGGTGCACGATTCAGAAAATGTCACGAATCGATTCGATACCGATTTTTTGTCTCAAGATTCGATTCAAAATCGATTTTCGATTCAAAAACGATTCTCGATTCAAAAAACGATTCGCAGTATCCACAGTATTCCTGCGCCCCATGACGCTTTGCGCTATTTATGGGTGTAACTTCCGGTAAGATGTAAACAATCAGTGAAAGACAAAGCTCTATGGACGCAATAATAGATTTTTAAACCTTTTACGATGACATTACATTATTCTACTCACCCTTCAACCATTGAACATTAAAAGGACATTTAAAAGTGTAAAAGCATCAACAAGCTAACTTTCAACAGACCATGAATAATCTCAAAAGCAACTTTCCACAGCTAAATCGGTCGGTTAAATATCACTGTGGTAATCTGTATTATGTAACGTTGCCTTAATAAAAAAGTGTTTTACTTCAGCATTACGTGATACTATTTTAAAGTGATTTCAGTCATTTTGACAGATAATAAATTGTATTTACCCGTGAAACCAAACCTGGAAAGAGACGTGAGGATTTGGAGAGGATCCCAGTGAATTATTAATGGTATACATCGTAAATTAAATCGGGAGAACAGACCACAAATGTGCAGTATGTGTTGACCTTTGTCATACTATTACAGCGGAATTCAAAAGGAAAAAAGAAAATAATCATGAGGAAAAGAATGCAAAGCTCTTACTATGGATATTCTTGTTATAACATGTCACGTTAAAATACCAAGTGTTACGTTATTCTCATGTTATTCTTAGATAAAACATGAAAGAAAACTGATTGCTCATTAAGTCAAACTAACGGATCAGGTTTATTTGTAGGGCAACCTTATGATTTGAAATGATTCGTTTCAGTCTTTTTGAATGGAAGTTCCCCAAACCGGAAGTGCCGCCCATAATTCAAAACGCAGTAAGCTTGTCAGGAATAAGGTGGATATAAATGTAGTTTACTTTTTCCTATGTGATTGATTGCAGTAGACACAATTTAAAAGAAAAAAAAAACACAACAAATTAAATGTAGTTTGATATTACTTTATGTCTTCATACAAAAATAAAAACTTTTGCAACTAAAAAGTGCAAAGTGCCAAGCTTTGGCCAGCTTTCAAATACATTTAATTCAAGTTTAAAATAAAACTTAAATAAAAAGCTTTTACATTTAGCTTTACAGTGCTGTAGTCAGATCAAACAAACAATTATGCTAAATGTGGTTTAAGGACTACTTCAGCTCCCAGGCTGACTGTTGAAATGTGAACTCGACTGGGCACATTGAACTTCCTAAAAATATACTAATGTCATAGAACCCTTGCGAAATAATTTTAAATAGATTTTAAAAAGCCACCGTTACTGGTAACATCTATGGTTAGATTGATTTGTTAAGATCCAGTGAAGTCGTTCATAGGCGTAATTTGCGGGTATCTCCAGTTAACTAGCAGAGCATTCATTTAGTTCGCTATTAAATAAGAGATCTGTTGTTTTTGAAATCAAGCTGAGCGCTGACAGCGCTCGTGTCCGCTGCTATCAGTGTCATGGATACAGTGTTCTCTGTGGCTCGCGCAGTCTTCACTCGGACGCACGCTTCATATCGCCGTTGTGGTTCCGGTGAAATCACAAAATAAAATGCACACAAACGTGATGAACATATTCGGTTTTGATGAGAGAGAGAAAAAACTAAACGAGTGCGGTTTAGAACCCGTAAGCTCTGACACGCTTGGCAAAAGATCTACAGACCATTAAGAACTCAAACATAATCTGCGGATCGATGCATTTATTCACGGGTTGAGCAGAGAGGCTGCACAGTTTGACCAGCGGGCGGCAAGAACTGGCAATGTAACTATTTATCAGACCGGCCCTCGCAGCCTCGAAACACTACCGAACCACCGGTAAAAGTCCCGACTCACCCGATTGCCACTCCGCCCGTGCACGCCATAAAAAAAAAAAAAAAAATATGAATCGATTTTTGGAATTCTATGAATCGATTCTGAATCGGTAAAGATTGAATCGCGATTCAAATGTGAATCGATTTTTTTGCACACCCCTATAAGTTACATAATAAAATTGAAAACAGACTCCTATAGTTTTGGTCTCTGGGGAGGAAGTTACTGTGGGTGAATGACGCCAAGACAACAAATTACTGCAAGCAGGTGGATCGCTTTATTTCCAACACGAACGTTATAGTTTACATAAATAAAAACAAAGAAATAAACGTAATAACAGCTATAGACACAAAAGCATTAAAAACTAAGAATTGAAATAAGCCACAGAGAGAAAGAAAATGAGCGGTGCTAAACAAACAAAATAACAAAACCAAAACTAACTTAGCCCCACTCTCTAAACTCACTGAAAACAAAACCAGAAAATAAGGAATTCTTCAGCGCTTAACACGCCATAAGGCAAGGCAAGGCAAGGCAAGTTTATTTATATAGCACATTTCATACACAATGGTAATTCAAAGTGGTTTACATAGAAGAAATTAAAATAATCAAAACAAATAAGAATAACTAAAACTTCACTAACTACCCAAACAACTACCCAAACAAAAATTACACAGTTGCACACGCTCCTTCCCTAGTGTGTCTAACAATTATAACCCTACGTGCATGTAAGATGTAGGTCACGTGACGTACTTTCCTTTCCTCTGCTCTCCGGGCTGGTGCAGACAAAAAGTCCTCTAGTAAGAAAACACAATCAAATAAGGACTAGGGGTTGAACCGATTAGTCGACCTTAATGAAATTCCGCGACGCTTTAAGCTTGACGTCGACTAGTCGCGTTGATCATGTGACACTATGATTGCGCTAATTTTGATACTAACATGTTGCAGACGACAACAGATGAAGAGCCCAGAGGGTCATTGCAGCAAGAAAGCAGCATTGGTACATCAAGTGTGTGTAAATAATTTACTAACCTAACACTAGATATTGTTGAAAACGAAAGTAAAAGCATGACGCACGCTCACTGTTTTACCGGAAATAAGAGTTCAGTATCTTTATTAAAATCATTAAAACATTTTTCTTTTTATTTATTTTTTTAAACATATTAATGATGTAGCTAATTTACCCGCAATTAATTGGAATACTATTTTGTATTACTTGGATCACTAAGGCGCAGATGTGAATTTATAGCTTTTTTTCCTTTTCTTTTCATCCTAAATGATGATGTAACTGCGGGCTGTTTACACCAGGGCACTTCATGTTTCTGTGATCTGATAGCTATATTCGATCGTGAAAAGACCAGGTGTAAATGCCCTCCGAAACGCACTCAAGACGGATTTAAATCCGATCGCTCAAACTGCTTCAGGAGGAGGTCTGGGCCGCTTAACAGACGAAACTGGACAAGTGTAAATGCATCTGGTTGTTGAATTGGACAAAAAAAATTCAGCTTCTCCCAACAATGCTAAAAATAAACGTGTGAGAGCGTATTATAGCGATGAAGCTATGGCAACACGCATCGCCGCAGATGAGCAGCTCGAGCATCTCTTCATCAAGCCAACGTGCAAACTATCGCAAATCAAAGTGAAAGTAAGTCACACACAATCATCTTCATTAAAAGTAAATAAACAAAATGATCTTACCAGTGCTGTCTCTCTTATTGCGGTCTTTGATTTTTAAATTAGCTGATGATCAATAAAATGCAGCTCATTATTGTTGCTTTCGGTGACGTGAACTCCGTTAAATCTGCATAGCGCGTTGTTTGAAGATCGGATTTATATCTGTTTTGCGAAAACATATTTATGTGACCAGGTGTAGGCTAAATGGCATCGTTTTGATAAATCAGATCAGTAAAAACGCATGAAGTGACCAGGTGTAAACGGCCCCATTATGAGCTGTCTGTCAGCATCTGTATAATTTTCTGTTAATTACTTGCAAATTGTGGCATGTTGCAAAGCAGTCCCATCTCTTGTGTTTTTATGAATGACGTCATCGACTAGTCGACGTCGACTCGACTTTGATGTCAAAACAGTCGACTTCAAAAGTCGTTCAACCTCTAATAAGGACGCAAGCGAACCACCACAAAGTCAGTATTTCTCAACAACAGTAGCATGAGCCAACAAACACTCCAAAATCTCCTCCACTTCTGATCTTCAGACAGCCTTAAATCCTGAACCACAGCCGATGATTGGTGGTCTCCGCCCAATAGCAGCACCTACAAACTCAAGGATAGCAGAGAGCGGGAAAACAGAAAGAAACCAACAGCAGAATAGAGAAATGCAGCAACCAATAAAGTAAAGGGGAGGGACAAAACAGCAGCTCACGCTGTTGTTGTTTTGTTCAAACATTATGGACCATGGCAAGCAGAGTTTGAGACAAAAAGAGGACTAAAACGAAGATCAACATCTTTCGAGATGCCGAGAGCTCCACGTCCGCGACTAACTTCGACTCGACAGAGACGCGAGTGTTGCATGTTACTTTATTAGACAGGTGAGCAAATGTACATAAAACTAATCAATGTTATTTAGTTCAACATGATGAAATGTTAGAATATGATCTGTATGTTATTCTAATGCTGATCTAGCTCACTGCTAGTCTCATACAGCCAACACACAACCTAACTAACAACATTCAACACACTCAAATGCCGTTTAGTGTGATAGTGTAACTGTTATAGCGAGTGAAACAGCGCTACGTTACCTCAAGTTTAATTCGTCTAATAAACTGACCTGTGTGAGTATTAATTCAGCACTTGCGTGTAGTTCGGTACGTAGAATGAAATGTCCTTATTCTTTTATATCCGCGGGACTCGCGTTACGTGTGGCGCTGGTAACGTTATACGTCTAGCAATCGCGCCCTGCTTCACACCACAGTCATGTTAAAAACATCAATGTATTCACTCATCCATAAAAGATCCATCAGCTTGCCGACAAGATCCATAATTACACTTAATGCGGAATATACGTCATCAATATACGCCTTTGTTATTGTAAGAGGTAGCGACCCCTGGTGGTGAAAAAATCATGCATATTGTACCTTTAATTCTACAATGAATGTATTGTTTACATTGTGTTTACACATTGTTGGTTATAATGAAAGCCTCTGATTGGCCTCTGATACGTCTGTGATTGGCGCTTGTAAAAACTTGGTGTAAATAAAAACCTTTTCAGACTCTCAGAAAGCCCTAAAACAAACATGAACAAGAATGCTTGAAATGCTGGTACTGACAACTTTTTTTTTAAGGTTTGACAACCCTACTTATACTTGAAGTGAAACTGAAGAACGGAAGATATTTTTATAAGGTGCAAGTTTTTTAATCATCACATTTCAATTTTTTTCTTCTCCCCATTTTCAGGCTGTTTGACTGGTTAGTCATTTTAATCAACAACAGTATGTGTGCCGACCGTTCCATGTGGTGCAACTTTATTGGTACATATTCTATTTATTTATTATTCAATGTAAAAAAAAAAATCTAAATATAATTAATTAATTAATTAATTTCAGTAATATTTTCTGCATATAATTTTAAGATTTGAATGTGTCAATCATTTACTGTACATTTGGAAAACAATGGCGATAAATCCTTGACTGGTGTCTTCTACAGGCCTGCTGGATGTGTACGGTTTTGAATGTTTCCTCCTGAACAACCTGGAGCAGTTGTGTATTAATTACGCTAACGAGAAGCTGCAGCAGCACTTTGTGGCTCATTACCTGAAGGCCCAGCAGGAGGAGTACGTGACCGAGGGGCTGCAGTGGTCCTTCATACGCTATCAAGACAACCAGGGCTGCCTGGACCTGATTGAAGGCAGTCCCTCCAGCATTTTCTCCCTCCTCAATGAGGTCTGCTTCCACTTCCTATCTCAGAGAGAGAACTCGGACTTTGTAAAAGTATCTTGCGTTTCTTTTGCATTGCATTCAGGGTTTGAAATTAACACCCGTCGGAAAAAATCACTTAAAAAAATAACGCTGTCAAAATAACATGCAGTAAAATGCTAACCAACCAATGGGCAGAAGTTGACCCCTTAAGACACAGCCCCTCCTCATTTGCATAATGAGGCAGAAATGCATACAGAAATGTAAAAACGACAGGCTGAAATAAATAGCATTGAAGAAATAAATTGGGTAAAAAAATACAAAGGAAGAATAAAACAGACAAAAATATTATAACATGCACATAAATAAATAAGGTAATTATTACAAAGGTGAATAAATAAAGAAGCTAATTAAGAGATATATACATTTATGTCTCACTGTATAATTTAATTTCTACCTACATTTATTTGTTTATTGTATTTTTTGGGGCAATTAATTGTATGCTTATTTATTTATTGAGCATTTATTTATTTCTGTATTTATTTTTAAATATGGTAGAGCTGGTCCTCCATAGGGAACAGACATTAGAGACGGTAAAAGTGAGTGGGTCCAATATCATTGGTCTTAAAAAGTGGGTGGGTCTTGTCCCAACCCATATACAATGGTTCCGATGCCCATGATTTCATATATATATATATAAGCTGTGACGTAGTTAATCTGGTTCATTTCTTTTATTTTTTTGGGTTATTAGAAGTTCTGAATGGCCGGTAACTAAAAAATGTAGTAGCCAAATTAGCCGGTGAGTGAAAGTTCATTTCAAACCCTTGCATTGTATTTGAATTTGCATCGCAAATATAGTGAATGCCACTATGTATAGCTTATTGATACATGGTGAAAGAGCTTTTTTAATAGAACTAATGAAGTCACCTTGTTCCTTCCTGGCTTCCCTTTCTGTCGGTCTGTCCTTCAGGAGTGTCGTCTGAACCGAGCGTCGGATGCGAAGCAGTTTCGTGTGCGTCTGCAGAAGGAGCTGTCGGATAATGCCAACATCAGCTGGGACAAATTCAGCAAAGAGCCTCATTTCACTGTGGCCCATTACGCAGGCAAAGTCAGCTACCAGATCCAGGGCATGATGGAGAAGAACAAGGTACAGACTACACTACAAATCAAAAGTTTTGGATCGGTATGATTTTTTTAATGTTTTTAAAAAAGTCTCTTCTGCTCACCAAGGCTGCATTTATTTGATTAAAAATAAAAATAGTTAAATATTATGACTGTTTTCTATTTGACTATATTTTAAAATGTAATGTATTCCTGTGATCAAAGCTGAATTATATATATATATATATATATATACATATATATATATATATATAGAAAATATATAGAAAAGTGTTTAATGTAAATTATATTTTAGAAAAGAAAAGTGTTTAATGTTACAAAAGCTTTCTATTTCAGATAAATTCTGTTTTTTTTACTTTCTATTCATCAAAGAATACTGAAATAAAAATGTAAATTACAGTTTTCAACACTGATAATAATCATAAAAATGTTTCTTGAGCATCAGATCATCATATTAGAGTGATTTCTGAAGGATCATGTGACACTGAAGATTGGAGTAATGATGCTGAAATTTCAGCTTTGATCACAGGAATAAATTACACTTTACTGTATATTCACATAGAAAACAGCTGATTTACATTATAATAATATTTCACAATATTACTTAAAAAAAAAAATTTGTAAAATAAATGAAGCCTTGGGGAGCAGAAGAGACTCTTTTAAAAACATTAAACATCTTACCGATCCAAAACTTTTGACTGGTAGTGTATATAAATAGTTATAAACATAAATATGTAGCTGGTCTAAGCTAAACGGACTCATTTGTGTTTCTGTCTCATTTGCACGCATGTGTCCATGTGTTCTGCAGGACCCGGTTCCTCCTGAGCTCACCTGTCTCCTGCAGAAATCCCAGGATTCATTGCTGCACAGTCTCTTCGCTGACGCTGACCTTGAGAGCGAGGGCTCTAGAGGACACAGTAAAGTCATCACTGTCGTCTCCAAATTTAAGGTACAGGTTTTAAAAAAGTAAAAATGAAGCTTATGATTTGTTCATAGAAAGATTTCATTTTTACAAATGACTTTTGTTGTAAATTATTGTGTTTTAGCCCTTAATCATTAAGTTTTACATTGACATTATAGGATGATTTCGGATTATTTCCTTGTCCCAGTCATTTTAACATCTTTCACACATATATCGTTATATTGTTGATTGTGCAAAGTGGTCATCAACCAAGTTTTAAAGTAGACATATACTGAAGATGCTCTGAAGTCAAGTGGATTGTTTATGTTTGTGCTTTTCCTAAATTATCTAACAGCATTTTTAAAGTGCTAGTCATAAACTGTAATGTTTAAGACACTTGTTTTACCACAATGTTTGATTGACATAGTTGTCCTTTGTTTATACCTGTATTTGACGTCGTCCACTAAATTGAGTGAATTATTTGGGCCCCTTCAGACTTTCATATGCTATACAACTACAATCAGAGGATGTCTAGGAGTGATGCTGTCATGTCTTGGTTCAATTCAGATTATTTTTTACATTGACATGTGTCTGTGCTTAAAGGGATAGTTCACCCAAAAATGAAAACTCTCCCTCATGTTGTTCAACCCCGTAAGACTTTCGTTCATCTTCGGAACACAAATTAAGATATTTTTGATTAAATCTGAGAGCTGGATCACTCCTCCATAGGCTTCTATGTTATTGAAACTTGCCGGCCCAGAAAGTTAGCAAAAACAGTGTAACAGCGCAGCGCTACGTCAGAACGTAGGCTCACTATTGGTCAGCATCACACTCATGACCCGCGTCGGCCAATAGTGAGCCTACGTTCTGACGTAGCGCTGCGCTGTTACACTACATGAACTCACTCGAGGCTCACACAAAAGAAGATGAATAGTTGAATAAAGTCGTTTTTTTTTTGCGCACAAAAAGTATTCTCGGCGCTTGATAAACTTAAAGTTGAGCCACTGTAGTAGAGGGCTGCATTGGGATTGAGTCCCGCGGGACCCAAAGCAAATCTCGCGGGAGCGGGCGGTTTGAACTTTGCTGCGGGCGGGAATGGGCGGACAAATAAAACCCCTGCGGGATTGGGAGGTAGCCTAACGACATGATGGAGATGTCAATGATGTGGAAAAGAACCTTAAACGAGGTATTTACAGTACAAAACCTGAGCAAGGCAAGTCTGACATTTACTATTCATCTTCCTGATCAGTGCGTCAGAATACATGCAGGCCAGGGAAACGAAACCAACAACCTCATGAATCTCTTTAACAATAGCAATACAAATACGCGTTTTTTTCCTGCGGGACGGGAGAAGACACAAAGTCAGTTCATCTCTATTATTGTGCGGGAATAAATTCTCCGAGTTTTGCGGGTGCGGGCGGGAGTGGACATACATATTGCGGGAGCGGGCGGGAGTGTAACACATACGTTGCGGGAGCGGGCGGTAATGGTCAAAAATTCGGCGGGCGGGAGCGGGATGAAGAAAACAGTCCCGCGCAGGACTCTACACTGTAGTCACTCAGACTATTTTAACGATATTTTTACTAACTTTCTGGGTCGGCAGGTTTCAATTACAATAGAAGCCTATGGAGGAGTGAGACAGCTCTCAGATTTAATCAAAAATATCTTAATTTGTGTTTCGAAGATGAACGAAAGTCTTACTGTACATTCACACCACCGCCGACTCTGGCCGCCCTGTCAAGGACGCTTGTCAGAAAGTACGGGGACGCTTGTTGACGCTCTGACGGCGCAGTATTGTATGTTCGATCATGGTGGAAGTGTCACAACATGAAATGTAAACAGAAAAAAACAAGCAAAAACCTTTTATAATGACAGCATTTTTATAACCGTTTTGGTCACATTTGGTCGGGGAAAAAAATAATTATTAGCTTTTATTATTATTTTTTTGCATCTTATCTGTGTTACCGTGGGCAAATTCCCGCTTATAACGAGCGTTCGTAAATATTTCCAATAAGAGTTGCGCTTAGTGTTGTCAAAATATTCGGTACTTCGGTACCAAGTCGGTACTAAAATTTTTTACACGTCACGGTACCAAGTACCGGTGGTACCGAGTACAAAACCGAGTCAAACCCGGTTCTGCGTCACTCGCGTCACTCACTTTTTATAAGCAATATTTCTCAATATCATCAATATTTTCGTTTAAACAGCATGTAGCCTTCAATGCTTTCATAAATTTACCATCATAAATAATAGTCATTGAATTGAATTTTTTTTTTCAAATAGTTAAATAAAATGGAAAAATAGTTCAAACAGATTTTGCTGTGGTACCGAAATTGGTACCGAGAACCGTAAAATTTGAATGGTATCGGTACCGACTACTGGAATTTTGGTACCGTGACATCCCTAGTTGCGCTCATCCTCAAATGTGTATCACTGGATCATTATGGATCATCGCGAAGTTGTTGTGTTTGGTGCTGCTGTATTGTATTTGCGGAGAAGACTAATGTTCTCAGAACTAATGTTTTGGTAGGACGAAAGTTTACATTGCATGTTTTTCCGTAATCAGCCAGCGCGAAGGACGTCTATATTCTGATTGGTTGCTGGCGTTTTGCCGCTGAACCGTGTCATAGCTCATTACCATAAAGTTGAGCTACTTTCAACTTTCTGATTGACGCTCTGGTCGCTCAAAACGCGACGCCGATGGATTTGACGCTCCTTGCAGCTTCCATTGAAAATGAATGACTTCCGGTAACTTTGGATGCTCAAGTCGGCGGCGGTGTGTACGTACAGTTAGGGGGTTTTAACAACATGAGGGTGAGTTTTTATTTTTGGATGAACTAACCCTTTAATTTGTTTGTCTTTCTGTGAATATGCAGAACTCCCTTGAAAGGCTTATGAAGATTTTGCACAGCACCACCCCGCACTACACCCGCTGCATCAAACCCAACCCTGACTGCAGACCGCTCACCTTCAAAAAGGAAGAGGTGCGAAAAACATGCATTTCTGTCTGCTCACATGGGATCCGCTTGAGTTGCAGGTTAAATAAGTTTATAGGTCATGGACTGATTAGTCTTGGTTTGGTGTGTGTTCAGGTCATCGCTCAGCTTGAGGCCTGTGGGATAGTGGAGACCATAAACATCAGTGCAGCAGGATTTCCCATCAGGTAAAGCTACATAATCCACGCATCTCTTACCATATAATCTCCACATCATACAAGTGTTTAACCCTTGTTAAGTGTTTAACCAAGTGTTTTGTGCATCAATTAAAAAAAGTTACACATGGGTTCATAGAGGACAACAATTTCTGTGTCAGCTAGGGGTGTAACGGTACACAAAAATCACGGTTCGGTACGTACCTCGGTATTAAAGTCACGGTTCGGTAAATTTTCGATACAGCAAAAAGTAAGAAATGCCAGAGAAATTTCCTATTTGTTAAAAGAAAAAATATTTTTTAAATAAGTGTGAGTTTTCCTACATCTTGAAACTTTCAGGTTTATAAATGGCTGTCATCTTTGAAGGATGAACAAATAATGTTTTGGTCATCACATTAAAAATAACATATTTATTTATATAATATTTGAGTTTTGAAATGCTGGAAAAAGATGTGTGAAGTACTTGAAAGCATTTCACTATTCCAGCCAAACTGGTTACATTAAGTGTAACCACTATATTAAATCCATGGTGAATGTTGCTGGTCTGTGGACGTAAAGTATTACTAGTTCATTCACGGCACAATGTTTCTCCTGGTGTCCACGTCAGCGCTGTTTGATCTAATAGAGATCTACGGTTAATAACGGAGAAATGTGAATGCTTCTCACTAGATCTCACAGCGATGTTATTACTTCAGAGGCGAATTCAAATGTTTTCTTCACTGGATCTTAGCGCTGTGTTGTAACAGTGTCGCTTGATCGAGATCGGCTCGCGCTGCACAGATGTCGCTGGTCCGAACTGATAAACGATCCGTGAAGCACAATATAATGAGTAGCGCAGTTTCGTTCCGCTTTCATTACGCTTGCCATTTGATGTTGCGCAACGTTGTGGTGATCGCGCCAGCGCGGATTTTGTCTGCAGGAAAAAATGGTCCTATAATCGTTCGGTTTGTATGCGTACCGAACCGGAAGCCTCGTACCGAAACGGTTCAATACGAATACATGTACCGTTACACCCCTAGTGTCAGCTTGGGAGCACAGACTTAAGTTTGGTCTAATTTTGAGGAGAACCCTTGGCAGATTATTGTATAATTAAAAAGGTTTATAGAGGTTATAGAGGTTTAAGTTTATAAAAATTATTTATGAACATTTTTTATATAATATATATATATTTTATAAAACATGTTAAACTGCTAAAAATAAATCAAATGACTGAAATCTAAATTCGTTTGGCGAATTTGATATCTCAAAAAATTAGCTTTCAGTCTAGTTTCCCCCATTAGATCCCAGCAAAACTCCATTGGTACACAGTGGTTGGATTTGTGATTTGCAGTTGAGTTTTCTCTCAAATATTACACACACACACTTTTTTATTATACACATAAATCCATACCAACACACTCACACAATTATAGCATAATTTATATAATTGGCTCTATAAAATGCAGAAGCAGAAACATGTGACCATTTGTTTTATAGGCCAAACCTGAGAAAATGGTATGATAGAAATGAAAATGATAGCAGATTAATTATCAAACTTAAGAAACCCCTTAGCTTTATGGGTTAACATTACATTAAACTGTCATGTGGTTGGTTTTGACATTGCCTGTCATGAGGCCATTATAACTGTGTCATGAATATTTTTCGTGACCTCAACTACAGTGGTACAAATTGAATTTGTCATTAAAATGTTATAATGGCCTCATGACAGGGAATGTCAAAACCAACCACCTGACATCTCAAACAATGTCATATTTGCAGTAAAAATGTCATAATTTAGCGAATGACACTTAATGACAGTTGGCATAAACATGCATAAACCCTCCTTGTCATGTCAAAGGTGTCATAAAGGTGTCATGTCAGTCTTATGCACACCCCTTCAAGTAAAGTGTTACCCAAAAATGTCCATAAGTTGCACAAGGGTTAAAAGGGAAGACTACTTCCAAGAATTAGTATATCTCATATCAGCTCAAGTTTAGAGAATTCCCTTCAAAATGATCACTTTTCTTTTGTATTGTTTGTGCAGGATCCCGTATTGCAGTTTCCTCCAGAGATACGGGCTGATCACAAACAACAGACTAGCAGCGCAAATGAATCGAGAGAACTGTACGTGCAACCCTAAGTGGACACAAAGTACCGTCTGCTTTCTTGTTCTCTTCGTTAATTCCTGATTCTTGTCTTTTTTCTTTCGGTATCCTCCTCTTATTTCTTCCTGTCTTGTTCTATGAACGCAGTGCTTAAAATAATGTGAATCTGAATTCCTCAGGTGAATTCCTGCATGCTTATCTAGAGGGTATTTTGCATGCAGTTGTGCACTTGCTTGCCTTTTCTTCTCAATCTTAACTGTCTCCCTCTTCTGTATGTTGAGTTTAAATCTTGGTGTAATCTGACTAATGTCTTATATAGAAATTATGTGGTTTCAAATCACTGCTTGTGGGATGTGGTACAGACTTGTTCCAGCTCATCCTGCATGAATTAGCACATTTGTTGGTTAAAGAACAGTACAACATCTCAGATAAATCAAGTGTGCTCAATCCTGCTCCTGAAGATCCAGTTCTATTCAAACAGAGCTAAACCAACTAAGCAAGGTATTTTGAAAATTAGGGTTTCCGTTGTCCGCTGTGATTACCGGACATTGGCCGGGAAAAAAATGAAATGTCCGACAAAATTAAATCTCTCCAGTCAAATTGTCCAATTAAAATTGCGTAATAATCCCGCCCCCCCTAACACAATCTGAATTTGAGAATAAGCCTAAAATGTATAAAGCAAAAATACACCGACCTTTGGCTATGTTATAAAGAAACAGGCTCTACCATTTGAAAGTTATTAACCCTCTGGGGACCAAGAACGCACCGGTGCGTTTTGGCAGATTTTTTTCAAAAGTCTAGTGGACACATATTTAGTATGTGTTTTGTGGCCTTATTTCAGAAACTTTAATTTTTAGTTTTATCAATAAACATGCATAAACAAGATTCTCTCAAAAATACAAACATGTACATACATGTTGCTCACATATTATGGTAGCCCTGTTTGTGCTAAATAGAGTGTAATTTCACCTGTGCCATTAATATGTTCATAAGCAACTGAAAAAAGCACAAATGTCAGGGCATGTCAAAACATCTCAAGGACCCCAAAAACACCTTGGTCCCCAGAGGGTTAAACAACATCGCATGCTGCATTTCAAATAAAACGTACGCCTAAAACGGCTGTAATATAGACCTAAACAACGAACTATTGAGTGAGACGTTTCAGATATGGCCAGGCCCAGGCAGACTAGCCTTAAAAGCTGTTTTCAGAGGCCAGACGCGACGGACGATGGTGAATCAGGAACATCTCATTATATAGATCAGTGGTTCTAATCCGCGCACTCGTAAGCTACAGTTTTTTTTTCTCTCATCAAAACTGAATAGCCTATGTTCATCAGTGGTTACAGCCTATATCAAGCAGGGACACGTTTGTGTGCATTTTATTTTGTGATTTCACCGGAATGAATAGAGAGTCTCCGCAACGGCGATAGATTGAAGCGCGCGTCCGAGTGAAGATTGCGCAACTCGCGCAGCGCGTCGTCCATGCAACTGATAGCAGCGACACGAGCGCTCAGCTTGATTTAAAAAACAACAGATATTAGCGCTAGATCTCTTATTTAATAGCGAACTAAATGAATGATCTGCTAGTTAACTATCTACTGCGATTGCCTCTATAATCCTGTACAGTAAAATAAATAAGAGGGATTTGGGACGGAATTTGAGACTGGGCGTGACGTCATGCGCGTTCACGCTCACCTGGCTATGTCTGGCAGGTTTGTGTATTCGCCACCATTCTCCGTATCAGCGAAGACAACTCGACACTCGAGCGACAAAACTTTAGTCAACTTTCGACAAAAGATGGATTCAAAGAGACCGGCTTGTAGTCCATTCCAAACCCCAACGCAAACTCCACATAAGACAAAGAAAAGAAAACTTTTGTCTAGTGCCACCAAAAGGGCCAAATTGGAGTCAGACAGGCGTCGGAATAAGACGAGAGTCAACATCGGGAAGGCTTTCAACAAATGGAGAGATCTCCAGTCTGCTCTTGGTCTCAAACGGGATCCTCAGTTGGCTTTTACAAAGTAATAACTTATATTGTTCATGAACGTGTTTCCATAATAACACAATCATAAGTTGATACAGTAAACACAGTTCAACATGGAGATAGATGGAAACAAAAACGAAGTTTTCTACTACCCCCGTTTTCCCCTCACACATAAGTGTGTAATTTACTCAAATGCCTTTCCTTTCATATATTTGAAATGACTTGCAGATTTATAACTTTATTACCTCTGAAGACATTATAACTAAACAAAAGATTTGTACGGCTGATGCTCCTTTGGTTATGAACAGCTCGTGCAAGCGTGCGTGTGCGTGTGGTCCATGAGTGTGCACACCTCTGGTTGCAGTTTCGCTTATCACCAGAGGGGGCATAGTTCTGCAAAAACTCAGAGACTTGCGCAATGCACCTTTAAGTTACATAGCCTGCCTCCAGTTTTCCTCAACTTGACAAATTAAGAGGCGATATTTGACCGGCATATCATCAAAATGTCCGTAAATCGAAAACGAACTCTGACCGGCACCATTTTTTTTATTGCGGAAACTCTGGTGTTGGAGCAGATTGTAAGTGAAGTCTGCAGGAAGGTGGATTTATGGGACGAGACTGAACGTTTGCTCTAATACCTCACGCCACCAAGAGTCAAAACAAGCTTTTAACTAATCATGATGAATCAATATGGTGACACTAAAGAGCTTGAATTTAGTTGAGTGAAAGCAAGACACTACAGGTGAATAGGATATAAATAATTAGAAATCACTGTACTTACCCAGTTTATTTAATTTTGTTGACATTATTACAGCTAAGGTTTTTACAGAGGGTATTTTGGATCTCTCTCTTTTTATCCCCCCATAAATGAGATTTTGTTTTAATTTTTGTTTTTTTATACAATGTTTTAGGAAATAAAATGTTGTATAAATCAGGTGAATTCAATCAAATAAAAACCTCTGTAAAGACCTTATGAATAGAATTACAATTTTAAAAAATTTTGTATGTTAGTGCTGCAGAAGTGGAGTTTTCTGAAGAAGAAAAAAACGCGTTTTGAGAAAATGGCCTTTAAAGAGATGTATTGTAATTGAAATCTACTGATACAAATAGAGAAAGTGCGATAAAATAATCACTTAAATGTGTATTTTGAATGTTTTCTTTCCTCTAGTCTGAAAGAAGACATGTTATGGAAGTAAAATAGGCCAAAATGTGAAAAAAAGTGTATTTAATGTTGTTTATATATGTTGTTAATATGCGTCAAGATGAAGATGTGCAAATTCATCAGTCAGATTAATTTACATTCAAACATTCAAGCTATTTTAAGGCATGAAGAAATTATTTTCTCAGGGAAAAAAGCATTAAAATATGTAATTTTGATTATAAAAGATGAGTTTGAGGGGTAAAATTATTGACTGCAGGAGGACTTTAAAACACAATAGAAGTATCATAAATGTGTATTTCTCGCCCACAGGCCCTGAGATAAACGATCAGGCTGTTCTGGGATCTGCTGTAAAGGATGTGGTCAATGTGGTGCTCAAGAGACACGTCCCAAACTCCACCCTCAGCCCTGATGATAACAACGACATGGTGCATTGTGGGAGGACCAAAGTCTTTCTTACACAGTCCCTGGTAAAGCATGCACTCTGATGACTTCTGATTGTAACATGATTTGCAAAATGTTGAAAGTTCACTGAACTCTTTGGCTCTGTCTTGGCTGATGCAATCACAAGCAATCAGATGTCATTTTACAGGGTTCCCACGGGTCCTTGAAATCCTCGAAAATTTTTGAATCAAAAAAAAAAAAAAAAAAAATCAAGGCCCTGGAAACCTTTTGAAAATAAACATACATAGAAAGTGCTTGAATTTATTTTGTGCAAGAAGTTTTCTGTAAAAAATTCCATATTATTTCCTCTGCTACGTTAGTTACTTGCATTTACGCGTTACGTTAAGTGTTTCCCGCGTGATGTACTTTGCGTTGTACGTTGCCATGACGTTCATGCACGCATAAAACTACTACGATGGTACCTCAATGTTTCACAGACACACCGTAAAACATTGCAAAAATAGGCTGGTTACTAGAGGTCTGCTACCCGACCCAGCATAGTTTATTATAGATAAATTAAACATTATTAAAGCTAAAGTTATTCATTTAAGAGCAAAGAGCTGTGAGTAATTTTCTCTTTGACTTTTAGTTGTTTTATTCACATTAATGGTGCAATCATAAACAGGTTTATTAGACGCTGCTACTTTAAGACCGAATGCAGATCTAATAATCCACATATTTTCTCACAACAATTAACTCCCATTTAAGACGTAAACTGTGTTTAAGTGAATCTCCAAACCGATCATTTTGCCATATTTCTGTGAATATTTGATTGTTTAGACGCGAAACCCAAAGTATAGTTTGCAACTTTGCATGTCTGCAGTCCGTTTCTGAGCGCGCGCCGCCATGGGAACAAGGGCAACGTGCGGATCATTGTGCTTTTAATAGCTCTTTTTTACTATCAAAACACGTCCTGCAATTTAGAAACAGCAGACACTGCATTTTACAACAATCACTGATTGTGCTCAGTGCTGATTCTGACGTTAAGTTTGGGTTTAGGGAGAAATTAATGCATCAAAATTTGGGCCGGCTTGCTGAGTTCGTAAGGTATCCTGGGTAATTTCATTAGGCCCATACAGGCCCATAGTTTGCGTGCCGTGTGCTTGGCTGCAGTGCTTGCTGTGTTGTGATCGTAATTCACCTTTGGCTAAGCCCCGCCCCCCTTAGTTACTGTCGCTATGTCCGTCAAGCTACGCCGCTCTCACGCACACACCATGTTCTCAAGCAGTGAAAAATACATCGCGGAGCAGAGAGGAGACTGACAACAGGCTGACAGACCAGGTTACTTTTCGGTTACTTTTGATATTAAACATATTAAACAAAGTCTCACCTTTCAAATTTGGTCATTTTTTAAAAGAAATTTAAAAAATAATGTTGGACTGTGGCAACACGGTTGGCGGTAACATTAGTCACCTTCAAAACTACCACAGCGTGTCTGTAACATTAACGTTAGGTGTTTGTATCTTGAATAACAAAGTTAGCTAACATCCAGCCGCTACTCAAAACATACAATCCTGACTTACGTTAATGTTACGTGATAACTAAACTATCGCTAAGCTTGCTTGCTAGCACCTTTCTTCATCAATTAGGGTAACGTTAGAGAACCGAAATCATAACCTAACAGCATAACACTGTCTAACTAGTATAACTTCACATTAAGGTTAAAAGCAACATTTACTTTAGAGCACACAAGTGAGCTTGTTGAGGGGTTTAACGTAGCTGACTGATCATTTTTATTTTATCATATATCATTTTTCAAAAAAAAATTCCGCAAGTATTTCAGTCACAACACCGCAATCAGAGGACGGCGCTGAGACCATCAGCTGTCGATGCTGCTCTTCCTTTATAACTCGTACTGAGAAGGATAGGCTATATTTATCTAAATAGTTGTGCAACTGTGCAAACTTTGTTTTGAAGTTTACGGTAATGTTTGAGTTCCAGGGGAATTTGTGACTGTTTCACCTGTTCAACCACACCAAAGTTTCGTTATTAGTAAGTCCGTGCTTTTTCTCTTTTTTTTTTCTTGTGTGCCTTGGTGAATCGCTGTTTGTACATATATTTTAATTATCGTGGCAAGCAATCATAAAATACAGCATATTGCAAAAAAAAAAAAAAAAAACTATTTACTGCTAGAAACGGACCTCGGGTTCGGGCTTAAAATATAACCGTAATGTTCGGGTCGGGTTAAATGATTTCGGGTACGGGCCGGGTTCGGGATTAAAAGATTAGTTCACTTTTTAAAAAACTTTTGCTGATAATTTACTCACCCCCATGTCATCCAAGATGTCCATGTCTTTCTTTCTTCATTTGAAAAGAAATGAAGGTTTTTGATGAAAACATTCCAGGATTTTTCTCCATATAATGGACTTCAATGGGGTCTAAACGGTTCAAGGTCCAAATGACAGTTTCAGTGCAGCTTAAAGGGCTTTAAACGATACCAGACGATGAATAAGGGTCTTATCTAGCGAAACGATCGGTCATTTCAAATAAATAAGTTTTATAAGCACAAATGCTCGCCTTGCTCTGTTCTGTGAGACCTTTTCATTGCGTATTACGTGACGTCACGAACGCGCATCACAGAACAGAGCAAGGCGAGCATTTGTGCTTATAAAACTTAAACCTTTTTATTTATTATTGAAATGACCGATCGTTTCGCTAGATAAGACCCTTATTCATCGTCTGGTATCGTTTAAAGCCCTTTGAAGCTGCACTGAAACTGTCATTTGGACCTTGAACCGTTTGGACCCCATTGAAGTCCATTATATGGAGAAAAATCCTGGAATGTTTTCATCAAAAACCTTAATTTGTTTTCGGCTGAAGAAAGAAAGACATGGACATCTTGGATGACATGGGGGTGAGTAAATTATCAGCAAAAGTTTTTTTTAAAGTGAACTAATCCTTTAAGTTTAAAGCCCGTGCAGACCTCTACTGGTTACATGAGCCTAAGCTCTTTTCAATAAAATCCATGCAAAAGTTAATCAGATGATTTTAGAATACAGTATAGGATGTACCGAATATTCTTCAGTTTTAAGCAAAACAGAAATACGACAAATAGAATATCAGATCTCTGTCATATGGCCAAAAATGAATAAAAAAAATTTAAAAAATGTTTTGCATAGTTGTGTTTGACACATGAAACCTGTAACAATGTATCTTACACGGTAACACGATGTAACCTTGCTCTCACTTTAAATGTGTCCCCACATTAAGTCCTTGAATTTGAGGGTATTGGACCTGGAAAGTCCTTGGAAGGTCCTTGATTTTGAAGTTGTCCAAGGTGTGGGAACCTTTTATTTTGATGTCAGTAGTTAACTCATCATGTGTTGTGCAGTTGGAGATGCTGGAGGACCACAGGAACGAGGTGCGCTCACAGAAAGCGTTCTGTATCCAGTGTTGCTGGCGCAGGTACCAGCAACATCAGCGCAGCCTCAGGACACACGCTGCCACCCGCATACAAGCAGGTTAGCATTTAACATCTTTTTTTGTGATTACAGGGAAATTGGTTGCATAACAGATGGGGGTGGGAATCTTTTGGTACCTCACGATTTGATTTAAATATCGATTTTTGATTTTTAATCAAATTTCCCATTTATTTGTATAGCGCTTTTCACAATACACATCGTTTCAAAGCATCTTTACAAAAAAATGCCATATTACAATTTAGAGTGATCTGTTATCAGAGGTAACTATGTATTATAGTTATATACATATACAAAATCACAGTTAGCTAGAAATGTATTAATTTAAACAATGTAATAATTAAAGGCAGTAACAATGAGCTCATTGAGGTAATGAATACTTGTACATAGTACATATACTATATATATATATTTATTTGATTGTAGTTTACTGTTTTGTGTTACTTTTCTTATTTGACTGCGGTAGACAGTTTAATAAGTCTAAAAGAGGAAAAAATCCTACTAAATTTAAATGTGAACCTTGAAATCTATTTAGTTTTTCTTCCCATTTCAGTCAACCCAATATTATAAAACAAATGCCCTTAAGCTGACTACAATCATTACAGTCTTCTATAATAAAGCAAGACAGGCAATTTTATTTTATTTAATTTTTTATATAAAAAATGGGAACAAAGAAGCAAATTACAAACAAAAGGACAAATACAATAGAAAAAAAAATTTATACAAATTAAATAAACTTAAGTTTTTTTCAGGGACAGTAGTATAGGTTTATTTAACATGTAGTAAGAAATACTACCGAAATTGAATAATTAAATGTAAAAAATAAAACACTGTATAGTCTTCACTGTATGATTTAAATATAACTCGATTCATATTAAAGATAAAAAAGTGATTTATTCAAAAGCAGTGAGTGTTTTTTTTTATATATATTTTTTAACATTAATGAAATGGATGGCCCTTTAAGAATGAATGCGTGGATATAGTTGGACATAACCGATTCTGTTTACATTGAATACTCAAAAGTCCACACGATGTGCATTTTGACATAATTGCATGTGTAGCTGTGAAAGAGAACTGAATTTGAGATCGCATGGCATACATTTTTTAAATTTGTGAATTGCTGCAAATCGGTAGAAGATAGAATCGTGATTCATATAGGAATTCATATAGATAGGGCTCCATGATTTGGGAGGAACATTTTAATTGCTATTTTTCTGATAAAAAATGCGAATGTGATTTATAAATGAAAAAATCCAGGTTTTCTATTGTTATTTTAGGGGTGCATAGTTAAAAAAAAAAATGTCCTTGTTAGCACGCAGAGCAATGCTACTAAAGTTAACGGAGGCTTCTTCTCCCGCTCACTTCCAGTGGATCAGAGATATAATGTCTGGTCTTTGCCTTGAAAAGATCAGGTGCTTGTTAAGAGGATCAGAAAAACAATTCCTTAGGATCTGTCAACCCTTCAGTCTAAATAACGGCCTATTATTGACTTGTATTTCTCTCTATTCAGCCCTAAATGGAGTTAGAATATATATATATATATATATATATATATATATATATATATATATATATATATATATATATATATATATATATATATATATATATATATATATATATAAATTGATTTACCTTGTGTGTATACTGTATATAGGTGTGTGTGTGTGTGTGTGTGTAAAGAAGGCTAGAAGTAGACATCTGCTGTGTGTCTAGACACTGACACCTGATCACCTTCCTCCTGATTATCCCTTAAACCCAGAACAGATTCAGCTCACCTGAGCCAAACACCTGCTTCACTGAGATCATTAAAGCCAAAAGATAACCGAGTCACCGTATAATCCCTGGAAGTAAAAGTCTGTCCCATAATCAGACCATACCACACTAATGAATTCATAATACTTTTAACAATTTATAAATGTTTCAAAAACAACAATAGGGCCTTAGAAAATGATGTACATTGCCCCAAATTCTGTATTATTTTTTAATTCGTCTGGATTCCATGTTTTATGATTTAATACTAATGTAATGAAACTTTAAAGGTACACTATATAACTTTTGACCCTCTAGCATTTACTGCATGCATTTAGCAGAATAACATTGTTTTGGTTGTGCTTGCGTGACTCGGCTAACGAGATGTAACCAGTTTAGATAGAAAGGATCTCAAGCTGACTAGCTATTGCTTTACCCGTTAATAGACACGGTACTTCCTTGAAAATAAAATTTAATTTAAAATAGCTCGAGTTTTAAGCTTATTTGTTCATTAAAGGGGTGGTATAATGCCCTTTTCACAAGATGTAAAATAAGTCTCTGATGTCCCCAGAGTGTGTATGTGAAGTATTAGCTCTAAATACCCCACAGATATTTTTATATATCGTGTTAAAATTTGAGGGTGAGCAAAAACGCACCGTTTTTGTGTCTGTCCCTTTAAATGCAAATGAGCTGCTGCTCCCGGCACAGGGGGCGGAGCTTCAAGTGCTTGTGTCCTGAAAATGTAAAAAACTTTTAGTCTTTTATGTTCAAACCGTAATAAGTCAGACAAATATGGAGAGACTCAAGAAGTGACAACATGTACACAACATTTCTGAATGGTTAGTTGATGAATAGTTCTAGTCCTTGATTAGCATATTCAGTCATGATAATCTATAAATCGCGTTCCCGGGGGCGGGGTTTATGTAAATTTTAGGGTTGGTGATGTCACTAACCCAGGAGGAATGTTGTGTAGTTCCTACCAGCTGTTTGTTGTAGTCCTTAAAAAGCAATTTCTTTCAAAGAAAATATCTCCTTTTGCTTTGAACTTTGAGCGTCGTGACTTTGTAGATGTTGTTTATTCTCAAACAGCAACATTACACACTAACAAAAGTTAAAAAAGGGAAATCATATTCAACCACCCCTTTAATGACGCCATTAGCAACTAGTCGACGTCGACTCGACCCGACTAGTCGTTCAACCCCTAGGACAAATGGCTCTATCCAGTATTCGTATAGTATCATACAGTGTTTTTAACTCCCTTTATGTGTCTCTTTATCATAGGTTTGAGATCCTGGCGGGTCAGAAGTGAAATTAAGAAATGGCACAAAGCTGCAACGGTCATCCAAACCAAATGGAGGCGCTGGAGAGTAAGCATTGTGCTGGTTTTTAATTTGATTAATAACAGTGTTTGGCAGGACTTCATTTTATCCATTGGGAATTGAATGTCTTTTCCCAAAATGTTGGTGTGTTTAATGAATTCATTTGGATTCAATGTTTTATAATTTAAAGGGGTTATATGATGCTATTTTAAAAATTCATTATTTTGTTTATTGGGTGCAATAGAATATGATAACATGCTTTAAAGGAGTAGTTCACTTTTTAAAAAACTTTTGCTGATAATTTACTCACCCCCATGTCATCCAAGATGTCCATGTCTTTCTTTCTTCAGTCGAAAAGAAATTAAGGTTTTTGATGAAAACATTCCAGGATTTTTCTCCATATAATGGACTTCAATGGTAGCCAAATGGTTCAAGGTCTAAATGACTGTTTCAGTGCAGCTTCAAAGGGCTTTAAACGATACCAGACGATGAATAAGGGTCTTATTTAGCGAAACAATCGGTCATTTAAAAAATAAATAAAAAAGTTTAAGTTTTATAGGCACAAATGCTCGCCTTGCGAACTCTCCTGTTCGAACTGGTTCATCAAAATGAACGAATCTTTTTTCGAGTCATTGACTTGTTCATCAAAATGAACGAATCTTTTCTTGAGTCATTGACTCGAAAAAAGATTCGTTCATTTTGATGAACGAGTTCGAACAGGAGAGTTCGCAAGGCGAGCATTTGTGCCTATAAAACTTAAACTTTTTTATTTATTTTTGAAATGACCGATCGTTTCTCTAGATAAGACCCTTATTCATCGTCTGGAATCGTTTAAAGCCCTTTGAAGCTGCACTGAAACTGTCTTTTGGACCTTGAACCATTTGGTGCCCAGCAAAGTGCATTATATGGAGAAAAATCCTGGAATGTTTTCATCAAAAACCTTCATTTCTTTTCGACTGAAGAAAGAAAGACATGGACATCTTGGATGACATAGGGGGTGAGTAAATTATCAGCAAACGTTTTTTTAAAAGTGAACTAATCCTAGTAATATCTGGACAGATCTTATACATGCGAAATGATTAATTGTCATTAATCGCATCCAAAATGAAAGTTTGTTTACATTAGACATGTGCCGGTATACGGTAATGCGATAAATCGCGGTAATGAATATGCACGATATTGTTATCGCGGGCACTTCAAAATACCGTGAAAAATAATAGATCCGAATTTAGATTTTGGGGTTCTCAGGTTCTGTCTATTTTATTACGAACTTCAGACAATAAATACCGTTTTGGCGCTTGTAAATGTGACGTGACGGATCGCTGCGCCTCAGTTCAAGTAAACCGATCATCTGTTACTTTTTTATTTAAAGATACAGTACAACTTACCGAAAAGGTATATGCCTCAGTCATACATAATATCGATCAATCAGTGTTTTTCAACATCGGAAAGAGGTCAATAAAACTGCAGGAGAACAATTATGTCACAAAGTGTTACTTTTACCTCAGGAAAGCCATTTAATGACCAGCACGTTAGTTGACTAGAAAAAATATTTACCGGTAGTTTATTTGCCATTACATAATTTATTTGTCATTACATAATTGTTATTATAATGAAACCCGCATTATATTTAATTTCTCTCTGTATGTTTACAGCATTAATGTGAGATATTTTTTCTTGAGAAAAATTAACATGCAGGCTTATCTATAGCCTACCTAATATTTATCCAAATGAGTCAATATTGAATCAAGATTGAAATCAAATCCAAGAATTGAATTCGTGAAAATTGTGTTAAACAATAATACAAACATTAGCCTACCAGTCATTGTACATGTAAACATTGTAACATGTTGTCACTAAACTAAATTCTGTTTAGTTACCAAATGTTTTGACAATCACAATTACACATTGTGATGCAAGTTTTTTTTTTTTTTTTTTTTTAGATACCCCCTTTCCATCCGTTTCTCTTGTGCAATTAAAATATCGTGATAATACCGTATACCGTGATAAAAGCTCAATCAATTAATCGCAGAATGAAAATTTGATACCGGCACATGCCTAGTTTACATAATATATGTGTGTGCGCTGTGTATAATTATTTTGTTTATATTAATACACACACATGCATGTATCTATTTAAGAAAAAATTGTTATTTGTATATAAAATATTTATATATAATATAATATATCAATATTTATACAGTATATGCATGCAAGTATTTCTTAAATATATATTTTTTTATATCTTATTTTTATATAAATATATACATAAATTAAATATATACATGCATGTGTGTGTGTATTTACAGTATATAAACAAAATGAGTATACACAGTACACACACGCACACATATTATGTAAACACACTTTTATATTGGATGTGATTAATCACGATTAATCATTTCAGAAGGAAATTTTTTTGGCAAATAAAGTACCGGTATGCAAACTAAATATTTGTTTTGTGCGGTTTTCTTACATTTCTGCGTTCCTTCTCGATAGGCGTGGATGGATGCGCTAGCTGAGGCAGAGCTGGATGATGCTGAGGATTTCATGGAGGAAGAATCACGTGTGTTGCCGAAGCTGGATCCTCTGCTGAGGGAAAGAGGGTCAGTACAACTCGACAGCATCCAGGAGCCCGTCATGGTCCGAAGCTGGCCAATCGGGCTGGCGATTGCTTCTGCTCCCACCATCACTGTGTCTCTGACGGCCACTGGTTTCCAGCGGATCATGTCCATGATGGCCTGTCTGAAGATCCCATTCAGACACGGTGAATACAAAGTAGAGACCAACCAGTTTGAACAGGGTGTGGCGTCTATCAGAGCTCAGCCACGGGTAAGAGTTTCCAATATACTACTTTTATTTGAGTGGCCACAAATTATTCCTGTATAAAGTCCCCCTGTGGTGAAAATCAAGCTTTTAATGTTGTTTATGTGTCTATGTGGTGTTTTTAATACGCTTTAAGACACACCATGTGTAAGTTCATAAGTCGACAGCATTGCTGAGTATTTTCTCCTTAAAACTGCAGTGAACCAAAGACAGTCTCAAAAACGTAGCTTGCTATGACATGCTGGCGATTAATACAGAAAATAATTTAGACACTTACCTCTGTTCGTAGAAGTCCCCCTGTAGTCAATAATTTTGATCACCAAAATTACATATTTAAAAGTTTTATCCTCTAAAAAAAATCTTCATGCCTTAAAATATCTTGAAAGTAACTCGACACCCTTGCCTCATTTAGTATGCGCGGTTCTATGAATATGCAAATGAGCCCCGCCTCCACTCACTCACTCAGCTCAGAGATCCACTGGTTGACGATCACACGTTGATCTGATTGGTTACAAGGTCGTTTGTGACGTCAGAAACACCAGCGATTTCACACCGTGTTTTTGAGACTGTCTTTGGTTCACTGCAGTTTTAAGGAGGAAATACTCAGCAATGCTGTCGACTTATGAACTTACACATGGTGTGTCTTAAAGCATATTAAAAACACCACACAGACACATAAACAACATTAAAAACTGGACTTTCACCACAGGGGGACTTTAACATATCTGTATTCTTGCTGCTTGTTGCTTTAGTTGTTGTAATGTTGTTTTATATGATGTTAACATTTTGTAAAATTTTATTTTTAAGTTTGTTTTTTCATCTAATACTTTTATTTTATTTTAGCTTCATTACCCAAAATGATTTTAAATCGTTTTACGTAAAAATAATAACACTGTTTGTAAATCAAGTTTACTCAGAGGTGGATCAAGTTATTACATTTATTTAAAAAAATTGTTGTTATCTTGCTGAACTGTGTGCTATAAATGCAAGGAACATGTACTATGAAATTGTCATGTTTTAGGCATAAAGAAGAAGAGAGTTGAGGATCTTCACAGCAGATTTTATTAAATGAACAAAAGAGCAGAAGCAACATTACAGCTTATAACATAACCGGACAAAGGAAACTCAGGGCAATATATACACCAGCTAATGAACTCAAAGGAAAGAAAGAGGTGCTTTATGAATCAAAACCTATTGCAACCAATGTTAAACTAGACACCGTTGCTGCGTCTCAATTCGCCTACTTACACTACGCCCTTAAAGTGTGTACTCTTTTTGTGAAGGAAAAAGTACATACTTTTGAGTGTGTAGCAGAAGAGTAGACAAGCTTTAGGACAAACTATCATGTTATACAATTGCGTCTTCAACGGTTTCTCTCTGTCTCATCCTGTCACAGTAAACTGACCTGTCAATCATCTTGTCACAGTTAAAATCCTCCATTTCATTTTATTTCCTACTGGAAATGGCCAAACGGATCTTTATAAAAGTCCACATTGTTATTGCAGATGAAATATAACATAAATAAATATTTTTCTATCAGGTTAAACTTTGATTAGTCACTCAAACCTTTATCTAAACCTCTCACCGTCGGTCGCGCATATCTGACATGTTTTGTAGTTTTTTAACACATTACTCGTGTTTGTAGTTCCTCTTCCAAAGCGCAATGGATTGTGGGTAATATGAGCCGTTATAGTGAGCACGGATCCACACTTCGAAAATCCACCGGAAATAGTAGATAATCCCGGGACTTCAACATACTATGCTTTGGGACACACTTATTCTTATCTCACACACTGTTTAGGATGGATAGTGTGGACATTAGCCTGACAACAGAAAGGAAATCTTAGTGAAGACAAACTAAAAGTCCTGCTTTAATTGCTTTGGCTGTTTGTTTTGACAGGGGTCCATTAAGATGCATCTGCAGAGATCTCCCCTCCTCTACGCCGACAGACACCCAGTGCACAAGGCCGATGTGGTGACCGGATTCAACCAGATCTTGCTGGAGAAGACCTGACAGGACCTCTCCTCTTCTCATCATGCTGCTAAACGCTCTCATGCAATCAGTGCACCTTTGAAATACACTACATTAAGTGATATTAAACATTTAGCTGCCTTATTGTTAGTGCAATTTAGCGTTTAGTTGTATTTACTCTCTCTCAGCATGAAGCACAAGTGCCTTTTAATTCTTCAGTCCTGTAGAGCGTTTTATAACTATTACTTTAACAGAGCTTTTATTTTATTCTAGCATTTTCTGTTATGATTTAAATAATGTCTTGCACAGCTTGAAATTGATATTTATATCATAAATATATATAAAGTGATATATTTTATAGATATGAAATTATTGATAATGTGCTGCTGATGTATCCCAAATTCTGGTATTTAATTTGATTTGTATTAAAGTCCCTCGTTAAAACTCTTCTCTGATCACCAAAATTATACATTTAAACGTTTTCCCTGTGAAAATACATTCCTCATGCCTTAAAATAGCTTGAATGTAACTCGACACCCTTGCTTCATTTAGTATACACACGGATTAATGAATATGCTAATTAGCCCCGCCTCCACTCACTCACACCAGCTCAGATTACCTGATCCACTGGGGGTCTTTAATATATCAGTGTACAAACTGATAAAAATAATGTTTTAAAATGGCTATATGTACGAATTTTCATGTATTAATCATTTTTATTGCCGATGTATGAACAGCTTGTAACGAAACTTAAAAACAAGACTTTCTTAGTTGATTTTTATGTTTAGGACTCGGGACGTTTTTGGCGGGAAAATCACAGATGTGTGTTTTCCACCGAGAGCCTCTCTTCTGTTCACTTACACTAATGCTTATACAATGTTCAGGATAATGCTGAAAGAGCCGTTCTGGACTGTAATGTCAATGTGTCGTGCAAAGAAAAGAGATTCATTCAAACTACAGTCTCACATAGTCAGATCTATAGAGTCTATAGTCTCGAATATACTCTATAATCAAACTATCATAACAGTGTGATTTTAATGAGCTCATCTGTCGCTGATCTCCACTTCTCTATGATCAGATGCTTTCTGAACTGATGTTTCTCATTTCTGTGTGTGTTTATTGTGTTATTGAGAGGAAAGAGCAGCACATATTCATCTAAACGTCGCTCTCAGCAGTGGACGGCGTCAGGATGTTCGTTAACAGTAAATCACTGCAAAGCTATTTCCAACTTCTTTTTACTTCTAAGCAGAGAACGAGTAAATCTGGGTCTTGAATCACATTCAGTCTCTTGTGCGTTACGTGATCTCGAGTGCGACGTTGCGGCTGCAGTTCACTTAACGGCCACCGGTGTCACTAAAAACAAGAGTTTCTTAATTCTACATATAGCACCTTAAAACATGTTACAATGATATTATTTAGAATAGAATAACTGAGATGATGGAGAACATAGTATTGATAAAGACAAGTTTTGTACACTTTGCATGAATTTTTTTATTTTATTATTCATTGCACAATGTAAGACATGAAACACTACATGATAAAGCTGTAGTTTCGGCATTGCTGTTGATGCTCTTACCAAAGCAAACTGAATCAATGTACTATTTGCATATGTATTTGCCGTTCTTAATTTTGTCAGATTACTTAGCACATCGACTACACAACATTCCTCCTTAAATCAAAGGCGTTTTTGGTTATGAATTATGTGCATTTATTACCAAAAATAATCAATATTTCTAATCTCAGGGCATTAATTAACAAAACGTGTGACTATAATACAGGTATTTATTGTTTGTGCTCAGGTACTGCTTTAACAAACCAATCAAACACTTTGTCAAACTTTGATAATTGAAATAAAAATCATTACAGATGTTCTGTTTTTGGTGTCTTTTTACATTTATTTATTATTAAAAGGCATGTAATAAATGACTGGATGTAATAATGCATGTGTGACAACACAAAGGCTCAGTAATATGTTGAGAAAACATGCATATACAACAAATATTTCAAAAATACTAAAGCTTGAGCTATTCGAGTATGTTTATTATACATACGGTAAGTCTAAATTATCATGACTGTATTCAAAAGACATGTTTAATACATGGTTACATAAACATTTGTGCACAAAAACAAATGGACTGACATGCTGCGTGCTGCTCACTGGGAATCATTAGGAGTTCAATGAAATCAGTATCGGTCATCAACACTCTCTGTTTGCGTAGGTTCAATAATTTTTAAGCACCGATCCGCAAACTCCACGAACAGCGGCTCCTGCATGGCGTCTTTCATGGCTTTGGCTTTATTTCCGGCCGAGTCCACCGACATCATTAGCTGTCGCAGATGAGGATTCCTCAACAGACCCTTCAGCGCCTCTGAATCTCCTGTGTGAAGGAAAAACATCTGTGAAACTGCCTCACAAACAGCACTGAAGACATATTTCTTATTACACGGCTCTGCGGAATACTTGATTCTGATTGGTCAATCGCACCATTATTCCCAGATCACAAACACGGCTCATCTGGGTCACTGAAGTCAGTGTTATACGCTCGCTAGGAACGGGTTTTTCTTCGTGGGAGTTTTGCATTTGGTGAGCTAATAAAATATTAAAAATCAGTTGAATCAATATTTTGTGTAGAGTTATTTAATTATGCCATCCAGTATCGTGAACTTACGGAAGCGTATTGCATTCACTTGAGGAAAAAAATCTACTCTGTTTTTCTGAATTAACGAGTTAATTATCTCAGAATTACAAGAATTTTTCATGGAAAAAAGATTTTGCTCTGTTTTTCTGAATTAACGACTTAATTATCTCAAAATTATGAGTAACTCATTAATTCATAAAAACAGTGAAAAAAATGTTTTTCAAGAAATATTTCTCTCATAATTCTGAGATATTAATTCAGAAAAACAGCAAAAACTTTTTTACATGAAAAATTCTCTCGTAATTCTGAGATAATTAACTTGTTAATTCAGAAAAACAGAGTAGATTTTTTTTCCCTCAAGTGCATGCAATACGCTTCCGTATGAACTCGCTCTCTCTTGTTTCATACAAATGCAGCGGCGGCCATTTTGTGACTATTATTTTGTACACTGCTGGATTTAAGATACAAACAACTATGATTTTAAAACAGTTTAATCAGAAATCAATATCTCTTATTCCATAATTGTGTATGTGGCGAAATTCTGTGTAATAAGTGGTATGACTGTATACCGTATCTCTTAAATGTCCGTCTAGTTTGAACTTGTCGCGCTAGCTTTGGGTTTAAAGACCTAAAAAAATATTTTAAACTCAGATCAATATTTGCTCATCACCCTGTCGGGGGTTTATTCGGAGATAACAACATCATCCCTGACATACCGAGCTGCTGAAGTTTCTGTAACGGCACTTTGTCAGTCTGACTGTCTTCATCAAGGAGATCCTCAACAACCCACGGCTGTTCGGCTGAAATCAAACACATTTACATCTTGATGCAAATGTAATATGGCTGTTGATTTTGGTATCTATAACATGTGTGTGTTGATCACTCACTCACCGTTGCGCACTGGAGTCGGGCTGCTGGAGGCCGGATCGGGTTCTTTAATTGGGTGGCATGAATCTATAAGAGCGAAAAAGAAATAAAGGCTTACATTGTCTTGTTGTTAATGTATAAGACACAACATAACTAATAATAACTAGATGAGTAAAGTTTGAATGCAAACTTTGATGTTGGCTGGACAAAGCCAGGTCTGAAAGTTTAAAAAAACTTCGAAAACCTTAAAAGTTAAAAGGTTTTACTCGGAGAAAGAAACAAAAATTGTTACTGGCATGTTTTAACATGTTCCTAGCATAATTAGCATGTTTTAACACATTGCTAGCATGATTTAACAGATTGCTAACATGTTTTAATATATTGTTGGCACGTTAACAACATGTTAATGTTAACAACATGATTTAACACATTGTTAGCATGTTTAAGCGTTTCGCTAGCGATTTGCTGGCATAATTAAGATGTTGCTAACATGATTTTCATGTTGCTAATATGTTGGTAACCTGATTTAACACATGGTAACATGTTGATAGCATGATTATCATGTTGTTATCACGTTGTTAGCATGATTTAGCACGATGCAAAAATTAGTTGGCATGTTGTTAGCATTATTTAACATATTGCTTGCAAGTTGCTGATACGATTTAACATGTTGCTAGCTTGAATTGGCACATCGTTAGCATGTTTTAGCTCATTGCTAGAATTAACACGTTGATAGCATGTTGCTAACATGAGTTAAAGTCTCCCTGTAGTCAATAATTGTATCCCTCAAAACTCATCTTTGATCACCAAAATTGCACATTGACTAATTTACTATACGCGGTTCTGAGTATGCAAATGAGCCCCGCCTCCACTCACTCCCTCAGCTCAGAGATCCACTGGTTGACGATCACACGTTGATCTGATTGGTTACAAGGTCGTTTGTGACGTCAGAAACACCAGCGATTTCAAACCGTGTTTTTGAGACTGTCTTTGGTTCACTGCAGTTTTAAGCAGAAAATACTCAGCAATGCTGTCGACTTATGAACTTACACATGGTTTGACTTAAAGCGCATTAAAAACACCACATAGACACATAAGCAACATTAAAAGCTGGATTTTCACCACAGGGAGACTTTAACACATTGCTATCATGTTTTAGTATGTAATAATAATAATAATCTTTAAAGTCTCAGAAGAAGAAGAAATAAAGAGTGCTTTATCTAGCCAACAAAATAATTTAAAAAAAAAACAAAAAAAAATTGCATTTGTAGTAGCAGTAACATTATAATGTTAATACTTCTAACAATAATGCATTATTATTTGATTAAATTAATGATAAATCAGTACAGCATAGCGATTGCAACGCCAAGGTCATGGGTTCGATTCCCATGGAACTGCAAGTCTTTTAGATAAAAACATCTGCCTAATACGTAAATGTGAATATTTATAAATAGAATATTGTACGTACCATCATCTTTGTGTCTTTTAAAGCAACTCACTGAACAACTAGAAGAAAAAGAAATGTGTTATTTAACTAACAATTATTGTAGTATCTAAAAAGCAAAAGTTATAAACAATCGAACATGAATATATGACTTACTATCTGATTCTGCAGGCCGGACATCTGTATTTAGGAACATGTTCGCTGCAAACTCCACAGAGCTGCATGACTACTTTAGAAAATCGAACTATTAAATAAAAAATAAAACAACGTAGATGATGTTATGTAGCCTGTAGTTACTGGAACCACGTGTTTGTGTTGTTGACAGCGTGTGGGACTTTTAACTCATTTCCTGTAGGGAACACTTCCGGTGTAGAGTGCTGAGGTCACGGTGTCCTTCCCCACGTGTGTGAGTGTGTGACTGTCAGTGTGATCAGCGGTCAGCAACGCCAGCGAGCATCTCTCAGAAGAACCGAAGTCATGTTGAAGTCTGTGAGTCGCGCGGTTCAGCTCGCGGCGCGTCTGTCCAGCAGGAGCTCCGCGTCCACGCGCGCGATCAGTCCCGCGCCGCGTCTCAGCAGAACCTTCAGCCGGTCCATCTGGAGCCTGAGCGGCAGCAGCGGCGCGTCGTCGGGGTCCAGGCCGAGGCTCCTCACTGCGACGCGGGCGCTGCCCACACTGTCCTGCGGCTGCGGGAGTCTGCACACCGAGGGTAAGCGCTCCTACACACACACACACACACACACTACTAAAATTGTTATGTAAAGGTCGTTTCTATTGTAGATGTGTAGAGGCTAACTCTTAATAGCTAAGTGGTCAGAGAGGAGAAACAAGATCAATATAGTAAGTTACCACCAGGGTTATTTTATTTAACTAAACCACAAAACAATTTCGTCAATTGAAATCAAATACTAGCTAAAGTATGTTTAATATTTTATTTTGAGTTAAAATCTCACAACTTTTTTTTCTTTTTTTTCAGAATTGCATAATATAAACTGTTATAAAGTCCGATATGAAAACTCGCAGATCTGAGAAAAAAAGTTTTTTCCTTCAGAATTGGAGTTTAGAAGTTTATATTTCACAATTCTGACTTTATAGAATGCAATTGTGAGTTTGTATCACAATTCTAAGTCAGAATGTGAGATATAAACAAAAGTTTGAGAAATAGTCAGAATTGTGAGATAAATTTAGAATAGCAAAAAATAATATTCAGAATTGCGAGATATAAGCTTGAGATGTGTTGAGGCTAACTCTAGAAATTGTACTTTTACTATACCTCTGGTAGATGAGTAAACTTTTAATTTAGCTACTAATTGGTCATAGAGGAGAAACAAGAACAATATAGTACCAGGGTTGTTTTAGTTAACTAAACAAATACGTCAATTGAAATAAAATAAAATATTAAAAAAATATTTCAGCTAGTATTTGGAATTTATATCTCACAACTTTTTTATTTGTCTTTTTTCTCTCACAGAATTGCACAATATAAACTCGCAATTGCGTGTTATAAAGTCAGATATGAAAACTCGCAGTCCTGAGGAAAAAAAATCCCTCAGAATTGGAGTTTAGAACTCAAAATTGCGAGTTTATATTTCACAATTCTGACTTTATAGAATGCAATTGTGATTTTGGATCACAATTCTAAGTTAGAATGTGAGATATAAACAAAATTTTGAGAAATAGTAAGAATTGTGAGATAATTTAGAGTTGCGAGATATAAGCTTAGAGATATAACGCTCCTTCACATAGACTTAAACTACTAAAAAGTATTATGGTAAAGGTCGTTTCTATGGTAGATGTGTTGAGGCTAACTCAAAAAACTTTACTTTTAATTTAGCTACTAAGTGGTCACCGAGGAGAAACAAGAACAATATAGTCCCAGGGTTATTTTAGTTATCTAAACCACAAAACAATTTCGTCAAATACTTAAATTGAAATAAAATATTAAAAACCTATTTCAGCTAGTAAGGTGAATTTTCTACGGAGCCCCTGAAGGGACCTTTGCAAAAATAAAAATATACAAATATTTTTGCAAAGGTCCATTTAGGGGGTCCGTAGTTTTCTCATTTTCATTTATTTATTTTAATTTGATGTACTTAATAAACATTATCAAAAACTATGGAAGCTTGTTTCCTCCACTGAATTAAAAGGGAAAAGGGTTATTGCTACTTATTATCCCGAAATTCTTGCTATTTTTTTCCGCAATTTTGAGTTTATATCTCAATTTTAACTTTTTTCGCAGAATTGCGTAATATACACTCGCAATTTGATTGTTATGAAGTCAGATATAAAAACTCGCAGTTCTGTGAAAAGTTATTTTCCCCTCAGAATTGGACTTAGAACTTATATTTCACAATTCTGACTTTATAAAATGCAATTGTGAGTTTGTATCAGAATTCTAAATCAGAACTGTGAGATTTAAACTTGCAATTGCGAGAAAAGTCAGAATGTGAGATATGATTAAAATTTGGAGAAAGTCAGAATTGTGAGAAACAAACTCGCATTTGCGAGGAAATTAGTCAGAATCGCAATTGCGAGAAAAAAAGTCAGAATTGTGAGGAAAAAAGTCAGAATTGTAAGGGGAAAAAGTCAGAATTGGGAGAAAGTCAGAATTGCGAGTAAAAAAAGTCAGAATTGTAAGGGGAAAAAGTCAGAATTGCGAGAAAAAAGTCAGAATTGTGAGAAAAAAGTCAGAATTGTAAGAGGAAAAAGTCATAATTGTAAGGGGAAAAAGTCAGAATTGCGAGAAAAAAAGTCAGAATTGTAAGGGGAAAAAGTCAGAATTGCGAGAAAAAAAGTCAGAATTGCGAGAAAAAAAAGTCAGAATTGTGAATAAAAAAGTCAGAATTGGGAGAAAGTCAGAATTGCGAGTAAAAAAAGTCAGAATTGTGAGAAAAAAGTCAGAATGAAGTCAGAATTGGGAGAAAAAAAAAGTCAGAATTGTGAATAAAAAAGTCAGAATTAAGTCAGAATTGGGAGAAAGTCAGAATTGCGAGTAAAAAAAAGTCAGAATTGTGAGAAAAAAGTCAGAATTGTAAGAGGAAAAAGTCAGAATTGTAAGGGGAAAAAGTCAGAATTGCGAGAAAAAAGTCAGAATTGTGAGAAAAAAGTCAGAATTGTAAGAGGAAAAAGTCATAATTGTAAGGGGAAAAAGTCAGAATTGCGAGAAAAAAAGTCAGAATTGCGAGAAAAAAGTCAGAATGAAGTCAGAATTGGGAGAAAAAAAAGTCAGAATTGTGAATAAAAAAGTCAGAATTAAGTCAGAATTGGGAGAAAGTCAGAATTGCGAGTAAAAAAAGTCAGAATTGTGAGTAAAAAGTCAGAATTGTAAGGGGAAAAGTCAGAATTGCGAGAAAAAAGTCAGAATGAAGTCAGAATTGGGAGAAAAAAAGAGTCAGAATTGTGAATAAAAAAGTCAGAATTAAGTCAGAATTGGGAGAAAGTCAGAATTGCGAGTAAAAAAGTCAGAATTGTGAGAAAAAAGTCAGAATTGCGAGGAAAAAAAGTCAGAATTGCGAGAAAGAAAATCAGAATTGTAAGGAAAAAAGTCAGAATTGTGAAAAAAAAAAGTCAGAATTGCGAGGAAAAAAGTCAGAATTAAGTCAGAATTGGGAGAAAAAAAATGTCAGAACTGTGAAATATAAACTCGCAGTTGTGCGAAAAAAGTTAGAATATAAAGTCGCAATTACCGTTTTTATTTATTTATTCTGTGGTGGAAACATGCTTCCATAATAAACACTAGATATATTTTTAAAAAATCGAATCTAACAAAATTACTAACTGAAATTAAAACGAAAACAATGCCTAATTCAAAATCTTTCGTAAAAAGTTACCAGATTAATTGGATTATTCCAGAATATTAAAGCCGATGTCATATCCTGCAATATTTGCATATGTGTCATTAGAGCATCGCAACAAGTGGAGACGAACAACCACACGTCACCTTAACCGACCAATGAGATCTCATTCATACTAGTGTTGTTAGTAAATCATGCATGTGTGTCTTTATCCTCCAGGCGATAAAGCGTTTGCAGAGTTTCTCTCTGATGAAATCAAAGAAGAGAAGAAGATCCAGAAGAGCGCGAGTCTTCCTAAAATGTCCGGCGGGTGGGAGCTGGAACTGAACGGCACAGAAGCGAAGCTCATCCGCTCGCTGGCCGGAGAAAAGTACGAATGCGTTTCATTCAGACAATCAGATTAATATGTTAATGTAAATGTTTCAAAGTGCCTCCAGTTCTTCTCTATATCAGTGTCAGTGTTTCTGAACTCCTGAAACGCCTCCATTGTAGTCTTGAGTTTCTTCCGGGAACGAACACGTCACAATATTCCTCATTATAATAATTCATATGCAGAATAAAGGGGCGGGGCCTGGTTGAGTTAGTTAGTAGTGTGTTAAACTGGCGGTTATGGAAAGGGGCGGGGCCTGGTTGAGTTAGTTAGTAGTGTGTTAAACTGGCGGTTATGGAAAGGGGCGGGGCCTGGTCGAGTTAGTTAGTAGTGTGTTAAACTGGCGGTTATGGAAAGGGGCGGGGCTTGGTTGAGTTAGTTAGTAGTGTGTTAAACTGGCGGTTATGGAAAGGGGCGGGGCTCGGTTGAGTTAGTTAGTAGTGTGTTAAACTGGCGGTTATGGAAAGGGGCGGGGCTTGGTTGAGTTAGTTAGTAGTGTGTTAAACTGGCGGTTATGGAAAGGGGCGGGGCCTGGTTGAGTTAGTTAGTAGTGTGTTAAACTGGCGGTTATGGAAAGGGGCGGGGCTTGGTTGAGTTAGTTAGTAGTGTGTTAAACTGGCGGTTATGGAAAGGGGCGGGGCTTGGTTGAGTTAGTTAGTAGTGTGTTAAACTGGCGGTTATGGAAAGGGGCGGGGCTTGGTTGAGTTAGTTAGTAGTGTGCTAAACTGGCGGTTATGGAAAGGGGCGGGGCCTGGTTGAGTTAGTTAGTAGTGTGTTAAACTGGCGGTTATGGAAAGGGGCGGGGCTTGGTTGAGTTAGTTAGTAGTGTGCTAAACTGGCGGTTATGGAAAGGGGCGGGGCTTGGTTGAGTTAGTTAGTAGTGTGTTAAACTGGCGGTTATGGAAAGGGGCGGGGCCTGGTTGAGTTAGTTAGTAGTGTGTTAAACTGGCGGTTATGGAAAGGGGCGGGGCTTGGTTGAGTTAGTTAGTAGTGTGCTAAACTGGCGGTTATGGAAAGGGGCGGGGCCTGGTTGAGTTAGTTAGTAGTGTGTTAAACTGTCGGTTATAGAAAGGGGCGGGGCTTGGTTGAGTTAGTTAGTAGTGTGTTAAACTGGCGGTTATGGAAAGGGGCGGGGCCTGGTTGAGTTAGTTAGTAGTGTGTTAAACTGGCAGTTATGGAAAGGGGCGGGGCCTGCTTGAGTTAGTTAGTAGTGTGCTAAACTGGCGGTTATGGAAAGGGGCGGGGCTTGGTTGAGTTAGTTAGTAGTGTGTTAAACTGGCGGTTATGGAAAGGGGCGGGGCCTGGTTGAGTTAGTTAGTAGTGTGTTAAACTGGCAGTTATGGAAAGGGGCGGGGCCTGCTTGAGTTAGTTAGTAGTGTGTTAAACTGTCGGTTATGGAAAGGGGCGGGGCTTGGTTGAGTTAGTTAGTAGTGTGTTAAACTGGCGGTTATGGAAAGGGGCGGGGCCTGGTTGAGTTAGTTAGTAGTGTGTTAAACTGGCAGTTATGGAAAGGGGCGGGGCCTGCTTGAGTTACTTAGTAGTGTGTTAAACTGTCGGTTATGGAAAGGGGCGGGGCTTGGTTGAGTTAGTTAGTAGTGTGTTAAACTGGCGGTTATGGAAAGGGGCGGGGCCTGGTTGAGTTAGTTAGTAGTGTGTTAAACTGGCAGTTATGGAAAGGGGCGGGGCCTGGTTGAGTTAGTTAGTAGTGTGCTAAACTGGCGGTTATGGAAAGGGGCGGGACATTTCCCAAACACACTCGAAGCGCTCGACCAATCACAACACACTGATCCAGCCGACCAATCAGAGCACAGTGTGCTTTTCAGAAGGAGGGGCTTCATAGAGACAGGAAGTAAACAGAGCGTTACTGACAGACTGGGAAGAGAGGAGCCGCAACAATGGAGAATATGAGGAGAATAATCAACATTAAAGCTGTTCTAGGAGAGCACAATAACAAGACTTTAAAAGAAAAAGGCACAATAGATTGAGCAGATTTGTAAAGCGTCTTCTGCAGAGCTTTTATGATCGTTCGTATCCTCCGCTGTAATAATACATCATGTGTGATGTTTGTGTGTGTTTGACAGAGTCACCATCACGTTCAATGTGAACAACAGCATCCCGCCACAGCTGGAGGAGGAGCCCGAGCAAACGCAGAAGGGTCAGGAGGAAGAGGTATCGCCACTAGCCGCGTTTCCATTACCCTTCAAATTGCGCAAATTGAAATTGCGAATTGAAAACACGTCAAAAAAAGTTTTTCCGCTCGCATGAGGGGGTTTTTCTGGCAATTCGAAAAATGAATATTTCGCAAAACTGCAATGGAAACAGTTTTTGCACATTTACAGTCACCTGACGTAGATGACGCGGTGTGTTTGGACAGAATACGAGACAGAGTTCTTTATTAAACTCATAAAAGACAAAATAATTACAGGAATACTCAGTGTTTCCCCTAGGATTTTTTTCAGGGGGGGGGGGGGGGGGGGGGGGGTGAAACTGCTAGTGTTGCAGAACGGGCGTGTTACGGATACGTGGTGTAAATTTTTAGCAATCAAAAAGCATGTCTAATTAATTGAAATAGTGTATTATGAATCATTAAACGTATACGACATTTAAAAAAAAAAAATTGAAACAAAATTTCACACTAATTCTGTGTTGTGTTTTTTCTGGTAATAAAATGAAGACATAAAACACAAATTTTATCATTTATCATCAATTTTAATCATATGAAATTAAATAAACTTTTTGTCAAATAACGTGCTGCACAATGAGCTTTACTGTTAAAATTAAAACATGGATTATTCCTTAAATTCAGTTTTGATGATAATTTATTTGGATTAGTGTTAATATTATTACATTGGGACATATCTAAATTCTACTGTACAACGGTAATATATTTCTGTCAAGTTAAACCGAACTTTTATTTTGACGGGTTGCCGTGAAGACCTTTTGAGTTTGTGTGTTTGTGTCATAATGATAGTTTTTCTCAAATGAAGCGGTTAAATGATCAAGAGTGACTTTCGGAGTGGATCTAGAGCCTGGAGAGGAAGTTTCTGCATTTGTGTCTTCAGATAGGCCAAAAAAAACAGCGCAAGCGTCACACGTGCTTCAGTGTGTGTGTGTGTGTGTGTGTGTGTGGTAAATGAAACTGCGCGTCGGCGGCACCATTCATTCACACAGAACAAGCAGGATTTGTATTTAAATAGTCTTTGTGGTTTAATATCCACACACACTAGTCTACATCGCGATTTGATTTCAGGTGTATACTGAACTGCTTTCTATTTATTCCTCAAAAGATTGACAAATTCCATGAAATTCCGCGTTATACAGTAAATTTCTTTTTTATGACTGGATTTCGTCAGCAATTTAGGGGGGCGGGGGGTCGTTTTGGTAAAACAATGGTAGGGGAAACACTGAATACTGGATTCTAAACCTCAAAGAAACGCCACAATCACGAGCTGGAAGCAGAAATGAGGAGAAACACAGAAACTCCTCATATGAGCCGCTCACAGTATAGACGAATCCGGCGAAACTACCGGAAGTAAGCGGGCGCCATTACTGAGCTGTTGCTGGGTAGCGTTGAGCCATTGCCTCCTATTGTTTTATTTGTAACTTGCGTCCACTGGAATAAACAGCCCGCGATTTACGACTGTCACTAACGTTACAACTTTTATAATGTCGAGTGGGAAAACATGTTCTGGTTTAAATTGTTTCAGTGGCGGCAGTAAAGGGCGCATTGGGGCAGTAACGTTAGTAACATTACTGTTATGTCTGTTGTTAATGTTTGATTTGCTTGACTGTGACAGATTTTTTTTTAAATAACAAATTAAATTAAATATAATGCAGTTTTTGTTATAATAACAATTATTTAATGACATAAGTAAAAAATATAATAAATATGTAATATAGTGCTCAGCAAAATCTCCTCTCTAGCTATGTTTTCTATTCAATTAACATGCTATGGTCATTAAATGGCTTTTCCTGAGCTAAATGTAACGTTATGTGACATAATTGTTCTCCTGCTGTTAAATTGACCTCTTTCCATGGTTTAAAAACACTATTGTTCGATATTATGTGTACTTTCTAGCTGCACCTTACCCTTGCCTTTTGCAATGTGAAAATGAGATAAATAATGGACACAAATGAAAAACATGAATTCGTTTATTTGATGTCATTTATTTATTGTTGCCAAATGGACAGATCTTTTTATAGTTTCCTCGTTAGCTAACGTTAGCCTAGCTAGCTTGCCAAGCTATTTTCATAAATAATCTGTAAGATCGTTTGTACCTTCATCTGTGACTGGAGGCCACTGTCTAACATCATCAACCCAACAAGTCTCTGCCTGGCTGTAGCTGTCATACCGCTAACAGCTCAGTAATGGCGTCGCCACAAGATGGCAGCCTACACAGAACGCTCGTCGGATTCGTGTATACGGGTCTTTCCTTGCCATTAATGCTTGGATAACACACACACACACATGTCTCCTTCCATTAATAATAATAATAATAATAATGTCTAGTGCAGAGGCTCTGATATATATAAACCTAACTATGTTCGTCGCCATGATGTTTGTAATGACTGATCGCGAGAGGAAAAAATAAAGTTTTAGTCACGTAGCATCGGTTAATGGAAACTCCGTCATTTCGCAATAGTTTTTTGTTGACATTTAGAAAACATCGCAAAACGCACCTAGATTCATGCAGTAAAGCACTCTAGGTTATTGTGTAACAGCCAGTGAGATTACTAGATACTTAAATTCCTTAAACTGTTCAAGTCGTTGGCATTTTAATTGTTGTTATGTGATGTTACAGTAGTGAAGTGGAGATTTTAGAAAATAAAGGTTACAACATAAAATCACAAGTTTAACATTTTATATATAAAGTCAGAATTGCGAGGTAAAAGTCAGAATTGTGAGATATAAGCATAACTTTGAGAAAAAGTCAGAATTGTGAGATATAAGCATAACTTTGAGAAAAAGTCAGAATTGTGAGGTAAAAGCACAATTTTGAGAAAGGTTTAGATTTAAATTCGCAATTGTGAGAAAAAAAAAACAGAATGTGAGATATAAACAAAATTTGGAAAAAGTCACAATTGCGAGAAAAGTCAGAATTCAAAATTGTAACATATAAACTCAAAATGTCAGAATCGCAATTCTAAGAGAAAAGTCAGAATTGCGAGGATTTTTTTTTTTTTAATCCCAATTTTTTGTCTGATTAAATATTTTACAGCTTGGCATAACTATAAAAATGTATATTCAGTATGGAGTTAATTTCCATATTCTAGAAATCACACTTTTAAAATCCGGCCTACTGGTTGGAAGAGAGTTGTTGAGGGGGTGAATTAAAATCAGAAATAATATCTTGGTTTTTAGTTGTTTTAGATGATTTGAATGCTTGTTTTGTTTTGAGACACTGCTTTAAAGACGCTGCAGAATTGAGCGGCTCGACCAGCTTGTTTTTGATGCATCTGTCCTGTGTTTTTTAGCCTGACATCGTCTCGACGCCCAATTTTGTGGTTGAGGTGACCAAACAGGGTGCAAAGAACTCACTAGTGTTTGACTGTCATTTCCCCGAGGACGAGGTGAGTTTGATTCCTCTTGTTGTTGTGTGACTGTGAAGAGATGTGTCTGTTTCCTCCTTCATCTCACTGGATTTCACATCTGCACAGACCAGTCATGGTGAGGGCGAGGAGGAGAGCGACATCTTCTCCATCCGAGAGGTCAGTTTCCAGCCCGAGGGCGACACGGACTGGAAGGAAACCAGTTACACGCTCAACACAGACTCTCTGGACTGGGTGAGTCAAGTCTTCATTTCTTACACTGCACATCGTTTCAAAGCAATCTGAAAATAACAGTTAATGTTGCAAAGTTCTTCAGATATGAAACGAATACAGTCTCAGCTGTAAAGCAGCTCTAGTGTTCATTACAGTTGCAAAGTTCATCAATTATGAAATTTGGATTTCTGTCATTTTCTTTCACACCGCTAGAGGGCGCATGATGTATTTCTGTTGTCAAGTTGGCACAGAGTTGACCAAACAAACTAAAAAATGTAAAAAAAATGTTTTGTTAAAGTGTTATAAGCCAAGAACAAACGGAAGCGTATTGCATTCACTTGAAGAAAAAAAATCTACTCTGTTTTCTGAATTAACGAGTTAATTATCTCAGAATTACGAGATATTTTTTGATGGAAAAAAAAAATTTTTTGCTCTGTTTTTCTGAATTAACGAGTTAATTATCTCAGAATTACGAGATATTTTTTGATGAAAAAAAGTTTTTGCTCTGTTTTTCGGAATTAACGAGTTAATTATCTCAGAATTACAAGAAACTTTTTTTTCATCAAAAATTTTGCTCTGTTTTTCTGAATTAACGAGTTAATTATCTCAGAATTATGAGAATTTTTGATGAAAAAAAAGTTTTTGCTCTGTTTTTCTTAATTAACGAGTTAATTATCTCAGAATTACGAGATAATTTTTGATAAAAAAAAAGTTTTTGCTCTGTTTTTCTGAATTAACAAGTTAATTATCTCAGAATTACGAGATATTTTTTGATAAAAAAAAGTTTTTGCTCTGTTTCTCCTGAATTTTTGAGATAATTAAGTCATTAATTCAGAAAAACAGAGCAAAAACTTTTTTCCATGAAAAATGATCTCGTAATTCTGAGATAATTAACTCGTTAATTCAGAAAAACAGAGTAGATTTTTTTTTTCTTCAAGTGAATGCAATACGCTTCTGTAAGAACCAAACCAATCAGCTACGAGGAGAATCACAACACTACACACTTTGATGTGAAGCAAAACGTTTTTGAAAAACCTTTTCACAATATTCAAATTTTTAATTTGGGGTTTTCATAAGCTGTAAGCCATAATCATCACAATTATAACAAATAAAGGCTTGAAATATCTCACTTTGCATGTAATGAGTCTATATAATATATTAGTTTCACCTTTTAAGTTGAATTACTGAACTTTTGCACGATATTCTCATTTGTGAAGTTTCCCCTGTGTAAACGCACGCCTGTGACCTCTGACCCCTCAGGCCCTGTATGATCATCTGATGGACTTCCTAGCGGACCGTGGCGTGGACAACACGTTTGCGGACGAGCTGATGGAGATGAGCACGGCGCTCGAGCATCAGGAGTACATCAAGTTCCTGGACGATCTCAGCGCTTTCGTCAAATGCAAATAATCTGTGATACTTCTGATGACAGATGAAGATGAAGGCAGAACAGTTTTGTATTTAATTTTATATCATTTTTTCAAGTTATGTGCACACCGGTTCAAATGTCAGATGGCTTTACAGGTCGAGAATGTGAACTAAACATCTGTGAGAAATAAAACTGAGAGGAAATATTGAGTCGTTTGTCCTGCTTTACTTTCAATATAATAAGGCAAAAACATTTATTCTCATTAATGTAATTGTCTGTAATATACAGGTGAAACTCGAAAAATAGAATATAGTGCAACAATTCAGGTGAAACTAATATATTTAGTATATATAACTATATACATATACATGATTATACTATTCAGAGGGGCGACATTTCTGTATTTAAAATCCTTTTTTTTATTGATTTCATGAGATTTTGAATTTGGGGTTTTCATAAGCTGTAAGACATAATCATCAAAATTATAACTTTTGCACGATATTCTAATTTTTCGAGTTTCACCTGTAGATAGATGGATGGATGGATAGATAGATAGATAGATAGATAGATAGATAGATAGATAGATAGATAGATAGATAGATAGATAGATAGATAGATAGATAGATAGATAGATTTATAGATAGATAGATTTATAGATAGATAGATTTATAGATAGATTGATAGATAGATAGATAGATTGATAGATAGATAGATTTATAGATAGATAGATAGATAGATAGATTTATAGATAGATAGATAGATAGATAAAGAGATAGATAGATAGATCGACAGATAGATAGACATAGATCGATAGATAGATAGATAGATTTATAGATAGATAGATAGATAGATTTATAGATAGATTTATAGATAGATAGATTTATAGATAAAGAGATAGATAGATAGATAGATAGATAGATAGATAGATAGATAGATAGATAGATAGATAGATAAACAGATACATAGACAGATAGATAGATAGACAGATAGATAGACAGATAGATAGATAGATAGATAGATAGATAGATAGATAGATAGATAGATAGACAGACAGATAGATAGATAGACAGATAGATAGATAGACAGATAGATAGACATATAGATAGATAGACAGACAGATAGATAGATAGATAGATAGATAGATAGACATATAGATAGATAGACAGATAGATAGACAGATAGATAGATAGATAGATAGATAGACATATAGATAGATAGATAGATAGATAGACAGATAGATAGATAGATAGATAGATAGATAGATAGACAGATAGATAGATAGATAGACAGATAGATAGATAGATAGATAGATAGATAGATAGATAGATAGATAGATAGACAGATAGATAGATAGATAGATAGATAGATAGATAGATAGATAGATAGATAGACAGATAGATAGATAGATAGATAGACATATAGATAGATAGATAGATAGATAGACAGATAGATAGATAGATAGATAGATAGATAGATAGATAGATAGACAGATAGATAGACAGATAGATAGATAGATAGATAGATAGATAGATAGATAGATAGATAGATAGATAGACAGATAGATAGATAGATAGATAGATAGATAGATAGATAGATAGATAGATAGATAGATAGATGTTCCGAGTTAATTTGACTTCCTGAAGAGTGACATTTACATTTATGCATTTAGCAGAAGCTTTTATCCAAAGCGACTTACAAAAGAAAAAAATGAATCAAAAACCAACAATATTAGTAATATTCAGTGCCAGGTTCATTAGACGACTAGATTAGGAGAAATCGGCATGAAACAGGCGGGACTTCCTGAGAATAAACATTGAAAGATGTTATAGTTATTATTTTTCATGGTGCAGAAATGACACGCGTCACCATAAACTCGCCTCTGAGACATTGATAAAGTAATAGAAATGTTTTGTAAATTTGCTTGCAATGTATAACAGGATCAATCTCACAAAAACATGTTCTTATTTCTCCCCAAAAATAAAAAGATGTATTGTTTTATTATAATAAAGACTATTATTAGGACATAAGGGGTTCTGCATTGTGAAACTCACCCAAATTATGTTTTAAATGTAATGCAAAATAAAGTAAAATCACATTATTGTAAAGTGGCTGAATAGATTATTATTCTCAATGAAGATTCTCATTACTGTAAGTGATTTATTTTTAATGTTAATCAGAATAAATGCAAAATTCAACTAAGATACTACAACAAATACCACCATTAGATATAAATGCTTCATAATTATATATATATAAAAAAAGATTAACACAAATTAAAGTGCCTTACTGCAACATTTTCATTAAAATACATGGTCAATGTAAAAATTAATATTTCTAAAATATGCGTTATTGCATGCATAAAGATAAATTCTTCTGATTTATGAGGTGAATGTTCATGAGATTTAGGGTACGTTTACTTGACAACTGGAAAAGTTTTCCCTTTGCTTTTCACATACGAACGACAAAATGATCCCTTTATACATGAATCCACAAAAACAATTAAAACCCGTTTTCAAAAGACACACAAAACGGTGCTGTGGTGTAAATTGAACGGCCAAAACGCATTAAGTTTTCCGTTTTTTCAACCACTTACGGCTAAATATACAGCTGTAGTGCATTTACACGGCTGATATCGTTATCTCCGTGTAATCCACAAAAAGGTTATTTGCAGTTCTGTACTTTAAAGGTCCCATATTGTCAAAAGTGAAATTTCCTGGGTTTAGTCATGATAACAGAGGTATAGGGGCTATGAAACCCATATAAGTTTCAAAACAGTCAATCCACAGACAAATGCACACAGCCTGCATAAAGTAGCTGTGCCTTTTCACGAGCCGTTAAGACTTCTGTATAAATGTGACGTCAGAACTACTCAGTCACCGCCTTCAGTCTCCACCCCGAACACTGCCCACCGGTGTTGTGCCTAATTTCGACCCCCTGCCAATTATTACCCCCCTCGTTGAAGTCAGTACCTGATTGCCTAATCCCAACCCCACCCCTAATCCTAACCACGCCCCTAATCCTAACCCCACCCCTAATTCTAACCACGCCCCTAATCCTAACCCCACTCCTAATCCTAACCACGCCCCTAATCCCAACCCCACCCCTAATCCCAACCACGCCCCTAATCCTAGCCACGCCCCTAATCCTAACCCCACCCCTAATCCTAACCACGCCCCTAACCCAACCCCTAATCCTAACCACGCCCCTAATCCTAACCCCACCCCTAATCCTAACCACGCCCCTAATCATAACCCCGCCCCCAATCATAACCACACCCCTAATCCTAACCACACCCCTAATCCTAACCCCACCCCTAATCATAACCCCACCCCTAATCCTAACCACGCCCCTAATCCCAACCCCACCCCTAATCATAACCCCACCCCTAATCCTAACCACGCCCCTAATCCCAACCCAATAATTTGGCGGGGGTCGAAATTAGGCACGAAACTGCATCATTGCACAGGCTTCTGAACAACATTAATATAAGAGACCAGTGGCTAATGTTTATTTATTCAGAAACACCACAGCAATTAGTTCGTTCACCCCAAAATGTAAACTCTGTCAGTAATTACTCTCCCTCATGTTGTTCAACCCCGTAAGACTTTCGTTCATCTTCAGAACACAAATTAAGATATTTTTGATTAAATCTGAGAGCTGGATCACTCCTCCATAGGCTTCTAAGGGATCGAAACTGGCCGGCCCAGAAAAGTTATTAAAGACATTGTTAAAATAGTCCGAGTGACTACAGTGGCTCAACCTTAAGTTTATCAAGCGACGAGAATACTTTCTGTGCGCAAAAAAACGACAAAAATAACGGCTTTATTCAACTTATAACTTATTAACTTGAATAAAGTCGTTATTTTTGTTTGTTTTTTGCGCACAGAAAGTATTCTCGTCGCTTGATAAACTTAAGGTTGAGCCACTGTAGTCACTCAGACTATTTTAACGATGTCTTTAATAACTTTTCTGGGCCGGCCAGTTTCAATCCCTTAGAAGCCCATGGAGGAGTTAAGAGTTTCAAAATCAGTGTATAACTAGCTATTAAACGTACATATTTTGGGGATTTAAATCAAATTTGACAAAAAAAAAGTTGAGTTTAAATTAGCATTACGACTCAAATAAAGGTAGGGAATGATAAAGGTTACAAATAAGTCTTTATTTCACAGAAATAACATTTAAAAACATCGGTCAGACAGAGTGCAGTGTGGAGGAACGGCTCACAGGACGACGGACAGATAGTCACACACCTGGGGAGAGGAAAAGCAGATCACGTGATTAGAATAGATCGAGAAGCAGAACCGAGCTCTGGTCACGTGACATGAACACCTTGCAGCTGATCATGAGGTTGGGGGATCCGTCCGTGTTAAAGGCCATGGAGAAGCTGGGGTTATGAAGACAATCCTCCATGTGCTCCGTCACACGCCTCTCTAGGAGACTCTGTAACACCTCTGAGGAAACGCTCCTGCCCTGCGGAGACGCGAGCGTGGGTTACTGTACACTCATCTCTAGTGGATAATACTGGAGTTAAGGACATATTCACTATATTCTACTCCATCCAGACCAATCAAATAATGCATTTATGCTAACACTTTATAATAAAGTGTCATTTGTTAACATTAGTGGTTAGCATGAACCAACAATGAACAATACTGCAACAGTATTTACTCATTTTAGTTCATTTCAACATTAACTAATACATTTTAAATTTAAAGGGGTGGTATAACGCCCTTTTCACAAGATGTAAAATAAATCTCTGATGTCCCCAGAGTGTGTATGTGAAGTTTTAGCTCAAAATACCCCACAGATATTTTTATATAGCATGTTAAAGTTGTCACTTTTTGAGGGTGAGCAAAAACGCACCGTTTTGTGTCTGTCCCTTTAAATGCAAATGAGCTGCAGCTCCCGGCACAGTGGGCGGAGCTTCAAGAGTGTGTGTGTTAGCAGCTCCGATTACCTCACGCAGACACACACTAAAATGTCAGAAACTGTTCTGCCTTTTATGTTTAAACCGGAGTCAGACAATGATGGAGAGACTAAGAAGAAGTGACAACATGTAGAAGCAACAGGACATCTCTGAATGGTTAGTTGATGAATTTATGTTGCTGATGTGGAGTTAACTATCTTCAATTAGCATATTCTGTCAGGATAATCTATAAATCGCTCGTATAGGAACTGTTGTGAGACGCACACAGAGTGACTATAACAACTCTTCCTCTTCTCAACATGGACTGCGTGTCCCCGGGGGCGGGGTTTATGTAAATTTTAGGGTTGGTGATGTCACTAACCCGGGAGGAAGCTTGTGTAGTCTCTACCAGCCGTTTGTTGTAGTCCTTAAAAAATGATTTCTTTAAAAGCAAATATCTCCCTTTGCTTTGAACTTTGAGCGTTGTAACTTTGCAGATGTTGTTTATTCTCAAAGACTTCTGTATAAATGTGACGTCAGAACTACTCAGTCACCGCCTTCAGTCTCCACCCCGAACACTGCCCACCGGTGTTGTGCCTAATTTCGACCCCCTGCCAATTATTACCCCCCTCGTTGAAGTCAGTACCTGATTGCCTAATCCTATCCACGCCCCTAATCCTAACCCCACCCCTAATTCTAACCACGCCCCTAATCCTAACCCCACTCCTAATCCTAACCACGCCCCTAATCCCAACCCCACCCCTAATCCCAACCATGCCCCTAATCCTAGCCACGCCCCTAATCCTAACCCCACCCCTAATCCTAACCCCTCCCCTAATCCTAACCACGCCCCTAATCATAACCCCGCCCCCAATCATAACCACACCACTAATCCTAACCACACCCCTAATCCTAACCCCACCCCTAATCCCAACCCAATAATTTGGCGGGGGTCGAAATTAGGCACGAAACTGCATCATAATTTTGATGATTATGAGGTTAAGCCATAATCATCAAAATTATAACAAATAAAGGCTTGAAATATCTCATTTTGCATGTAATGAGTCTATATAATATATTAGTTTCACCTTTTAAGTTGAATTACTGAAATAAATGAACTTTTGCACAATATTCTAATTTTTCGAGTTTCACCTGTAGATCTGACTATGTGAGATCTACATGCTTTCAGAGACAAACTATGAAGTCTCGTTACAAAAAAGTGATTAACTCTTACATATCACCCCTTTAAAAGTGTACTCACAGTCGTGTTGACGTAAAGGCCACATGGACATGATGTAAAATGACCGTTCACTGTCAGATTATTCCTGCACAGAGAGAGGAACACAATTACATGTTATTAAGATAGATGGGTTTTGCAGGAAAGATTGATTTATGGCAAACACTTACACATGACATATAGGACATATGATCCGTCCACCCGGCTCCATTCCCTCCAGCACCGAGTCCAAATACTGTTCTTCATAGCGCACACTGCTGTTATATTCCTCCAGAATCAAGAGCTCTGGAGGAGGACACGCATTTATTTATATATGATCTAACGCCATATCAGCAGCAATGGCTATATTCATGGCAATCAACAGCATTTCAATTTAAAAAATATTGTGATTACAATCAATTCAATATATAGTTTACAATAATTTAACTTTTTCCTTTAAAAAACAATCAGTATACAAAATCAGACATGTATACCAATAGTAACAACAGTAATAATAACACTGACATAGAATCTTTCATAAACATAAAATTCTCAAATTAATCCAAGAGAAACCTTTTTTAAAATATATGTTCTGAATAAAAACATTGTCTAATGAGAGACATTGAAATAGTCAGTAACACTTTACTTGAAGGGGTGTGCATAAGACTAACATGACACCTTCAAAATCATGACATGACACATGTTATGAATATGAAGGAAGTTGTATGCATGTTTATGACAACCGTCATTAAGTGTCATTCGCTCAGTTATGACATTTTTAATGCAAATATGACATTGTTTGAAATGTCTTTGTTATGACACCTTGACACAAGCAAATACATCATAACCTGTCAGTGTCTTTGTCATGACAACTTGACATTACTAAGACAACACAACCTGTCATAAACATGACATAGCAGATTAATTATTAAACTTAAGAAACCACTTAGCTTTATTGGTTAACATTACATTAAACTGTCAGGTGGTTGGTTTTGACATTGGCTGTCATGAAGTCATTATAACTTTTTAATGACAAATTCAATGTGTACCACTGTAGTTGAGGTCACGAAAAATATTCATGACAGTTATAATGGCCTTATGGCAGCCAATGTCAAAACCAACCACATGACAGTTTAACTTAATTTAATGTCAAGTTGTCATGACAAAGACACTGACAGGTTATGATGTATTGGTTTATGTCAAGGTGTCATAACAAAGACATCTTAAACAATGTCATATTTGCATTCAAAATGTCATTATTGAGCGAATGACACTTAATGACAGTTGTCATAAGCATGCATAAACCCTACTTCATATTCATGACATATGTCATGTCATGGTTATGAAGGTGTCATGCCAGTCTTATGTACACCCCTTCAAGTAAAGTGTTACCAAAAAGTCTTAAGGGATTTAACACATTCCCGACACTACCAAGTATTTCAATTAAAAAAGAATTGTGATTACAATCAATTCAATACATTGTTGACAAAAATAATAATAACATCTTTAAATCAGACATATATACCAAAAGTAACAACAGTAATAATTACATTTACATCGAATCATTTAATTCAATATTTGTCAGAAATTCTACAATTATTCCAGAAGAAACCTTTTTAAAAATGACCATTAATATATTTCCTGAATAAAAACATTGAAATAGTCTTAAGTGATTTAACACTTAACTAATGCATTTCCATTATGTCACGAGTAGTGAATTCTGACACACGTCCGAGTGTTTCTCGAGCTGATATAAAGAGGAAAAGCAAACCTTGCGCTACGAGCTCCTGCTGAATCTCCTCAAACGCTGAAAGTTCGTCAAACTCCCGCTGTGCGGTGTAAACCTGAGGAGGAAGAGCACACGCGTAAACATATACAGAGTATAATATACAGAGTTGATGCAAACTCTTTTTGAGTTGATTAACTTCAACTCTATTGCATATATGTATCAGGAGGACACTTAAGATGCACTGAGTTTAAAGGTAAGCTATATTGTGTTTAGGAGTGTGAGTGAAGAAGTAAAATCCTTGATGGGTAACACTTGAAGGGGTGTTCATAAGACTGACATGACACCTTCATAACCATGACATGACATATGTCATGAATATTAAGTAGGGTTTATGCATGTTTATGACAACCGTCATTAAGTGTCATTCGCTCAATAATGACATTTTAATGCAAATATGACATTGTTTGAGATGTCTTTGTTATGACACCTTGACATAAACAAATACATCATAACCTGTCAGTGTCTTTGTCATGACAACTTGACATTAAATTAAGTTAAACTGTCATGTGGTTGGTTTTGACATTGGCTGTCATAAGGCCATTATAACTGTGTCATGAATATTTTTTGCGTCCTCAACTACAGTGGTACAAATTGAATTTGTCATTAAAAAGTTATAATGCCTCATGACAGCCAATGTCAAACCAACCACCTGACAGTTTAATGTAATATTAACCAATAAAGCTAAGTGGTTTCTTAAGTTTGATAATTAATCTGCTATGTCATGTTTATGACAGGTTGTGTTGTCTTAGTAATGTCAAGTTGTCATGACAAAGACACTGACAGGTTATGATGTATTGGTTTATGTCAAGGTGTCATAACAAAGACATTTCAAACAATGTCATATTTGCATTAAAAATGTCATAACTGAGCGAATGACACTTAATGACAGTTGTCATAAACATGCATACAACTTCCTTCATATTCATAACATGTGTCACGTCATGATTATGAAGGTGTCATGTTAGTCTTATGCACACCCCTTCAAGTAAAGTGTTACCAAATAATGCTCTCATGTGTCCTTTATAGTTTAAAACCCTGGTGTGACTGTGAACGACACGAGGGTTCGCGTGTCTCAGGAACATTACGCACATCTCTGATGCCGTCTCCGTTCCACAGCGACGGGAGCCTGTGATTGGCCGACTGTAACGCGCTCCACTCCTCCTCCATCACCTCCTGCACCAGCAGAGACCGGTTCGATCCGCTCGAATCCTCTCCCATCTGTCTGAACTTCTCCAGTAACCGCGACCGGCTGTTCTTTAGACGCTCCACACAGCGCTGGAAGACAGAGAAGATTAATTTCAATTAATCAATTAATTTATCCCTTAAAACTCATCTTTGATCACCAAAAGTACATATTTAAACGTTTTTTTCCCTTGATTTTTCCCCCCATCATGACTTGAAATAGCTAGAATACAACTATACACTGCATTGTCTCATTTAGTATACGCGGTTCTATGAATATGCAAATTAGGCCCGCAGTTTGTGACGTCAGAAACACCAGCGATTTCAAACCGTGTTTTTGAGACCGTCTTTGGTTCACTGCAGTTTTAAGCAGAAAATACTCAGCAATGCTGTCGACTTGTGAATTTAGTCTTAAAGCATATTAAAAACACCACATAGACATATAAACAACTTAAAAACAATATTTTAACCACAGGGGGACTTTAACATACATATAGAAAATTTTAACAATTTAGATGCAAGCTAAAATTCACAAATTTCTCAGTTTCTGTGCGTTTGTTTTTAATGGACCTTTTGAGATACAAATGTATCCATATCAATACCTTCAGGTCTGGGAAAGTGTTGTGGTTCGGTTAGACAAGTTTTTGAGAGGTTTGAAGCTGTGGGCTGGTAAATATATTAATAATTTATCGCCATATAACTTTACATTACTGTAAATGGCATGAAAATAATGTCAGAACGTAATTGTCCTAAAAAGCCATTTTATTTAACATTCATTATTCTGTATGGAAAATAATGTGCTTCTTTATTTCATAATATGATAATAATATTAAAATATGACCGACCGTACTATAGCTGTCGAAAGCTTTCATGAGATCCTCCATAACAGAAGCAAGTCAACATGACACTTACCTTCCTGTATGTTTCTTTCCATGGTGGTGTCGTGCCTTTGTACATGGATCTGTGTCTCTGAACCGCGTCCATGCTTCGACTGAACCTAAAACACTTCCACAGAACTCAATCCCGGAGAAAACACAGACAAACCAAGCGGATGGTTGCCAATCATCGACTTTTAACCTTCCGCTGACGTCACACATACCCGGACGTTGTTTCAGCGCTCATGGGATTTGTAGTCCGTGATCTCTCCGAGCGGGTTTATAAAAGTTATTTACTCACAGTTTTTATATTGTTCACTTAATTTAAAGGATTTTTTTACTCAAGTCAATTTAATTTATTTTTATTCAGATTGTTTATTTTGTATGGATTTTGTAAAAGTTATTTTTGAAATGAAATATCAAATATATTAAAATAAATATTATTAACAATTAATATTCAAATATTATTATAATAATATTAAAATAAATATTGATAAACCATGCAAGATAATATTTACATTTCACATAATGTCTGTTTCGTTGTATTTATCTTTATTTAAATAAATGTATCAATTATTTATGAATGTATGATTATTTTACCTTTTGTATTAGTTGTAAAACCTTTTGTTTGCATTAAATATATTTTATTTAACAGTATAAAATAAAAAATATATACACTATTTATAAAAACTGTGTAATTTATTTTATATATAATATGTTAATTTTAATTAATATTTCCTTAAAATAAATATAACAATACACAGATCTGTTTTACAAGATATGTTGTGTATAAAAAAGATGCTCAAAGTTCAAATACTCAAAAAAGCGTCAGGATTTATTATTTATTCGGTCACGTGGTGGTACAACAACTAGGGGCTCTCAGAAGATTCCCAGCTTACACAATTTAAGAGGACGTGAATGCTTTTTACAAGTTAAAATCTCGTATTTACGGTGTTATTACGACATGGCGTGCACGCGCCTCTACTAGACCAGGACATATTTACAGATCAAATAGACTCTAATAATAGCATCTACTAACATGATGCCACACAACAGAGATCAACTCTTACACAATTGAGCGGCCTCGGAGAGTTTGAAACAGCTCAATGCAGCGTTTTAATCAGTGAGTTTTAATCATTCTATCACGCTTGATCTTTGACCTGTTGCATACTAAGTTGCAGTGGGGCTGAGCGTGCACGCGCCTCCTCACTCAGATGGCGTTTTTCTCAGTGAACTACTTTTGATTTGAACAGCGTGACAGCAGAGAATAACACTATGGCAAAGGCAGAGTACTCAGAAACTGCAGAACCCAATCAAATCGGACCGGATTCGGAGTCTGATTCGGATCCGGATGATCACTTGCCCAGTGTGGACGCCGGAGTGGGATTCGGATCAGTCCGGCGGACTCAAGTGATCCACAGCGGGCATTTCATGGTTTCCTCGCCTCACAGCGACTCAGTCAGGAGGAGAAGCGCAGCTCTTTATAATTATTATGATAATTATGACACTGTTACTAAACCGGACTGCCAGACCTACAGTTTCGGTCCATTGAGTTCCAGACGACTGAGCATCGACCCAACTCTCACGCGCCTGTTTGAATGTATGACACTGGCATACAGGTAAAACAAACATATAATTTAACTCTAATTTACATTACTGCAATGTCTGCTTTACTATAAACAGTTGAAGTAAATATTCACCTCATGTTAATGTTTACATCAGTATAAAACTGTTAAAAGTACAGATAAATTGAACTTACACACCTCACTGCAATGTTTACATAACTGTAAAACAGCGAATGTAACTGATCTTTTTAGTGAAATTCACCTAATACAGTGTTTATATTGATACAAAACATCCAAACTGCAGTTCAATTTCAATTTAACTTAAATGTTTACCTCATAAAACGCTATACAGTTGATCTACCTCATTGCAAAGTGTATAAGTTAACCAATAAAAGTAAAAATATAATTGACCGTTCACCTCACTGTTTACATGTTAAACTATTTGTAAATGAAAACATAATTTTATTTAGATAATCCACTTTCAGTGATATTTATTGCAAGCTTTCAGTAACATTACTTTAACTGTCATGAATTGGGGTGGGCGATGTGACCAAATTCTTTTTTTCCGATAACGATATATATCACAATAGTGATTTTTTGTTATTTGATCTAATTTTTGTTAATAAAAAGCAAATTACAAACAAAATAAGACAAATACAATATTACCAAAATATTAATTAAATTAAGTTTATCAGGTTAAGGTTTATTTAACAAGAACACTGGATTGATTCCACTGTCAAATTTGGACAAACCTAACCGTTGTGTTTGTGGGTTGATACGAGCCAATATTTTTTCTAGTGTAGGTAGAATTAGTACCGAAACTTAATCAAATAATAAAATTGCATAGTCTTCACCATATCAATTAAATATAAATGCATTCTTATTAAAGCTAAAAAAAGTTATTCTGTCAAGAGCTGCAAGTTATTCTCTCTTTTGTTTCATTACCATTAATGACACAGATCAGCAGGTATATTACGCTACTGTCACATTAAGACCAAATGCACTGATCCATTATACTGATACACATCCGGTTTACACCCAACTTTGTACTTTCACTTGAGACATAATGGCTGTGTTACCTAAATACTCCATAGATGGGCATTTTGACATAATTGCGTGTGTATTCGACCATTCAAGCGCAACCACACGTGCCTACAGACATAGCAAAATGTAAAAAGTAGTACTAGTAGTAGCCTACTGTGTGGGACCATTTCGACAGAAAGGGCGACGAAGTTACTTGCAAAATATGCTACGTGGTATTAAAATACAGCAGTAGTTGCAATTTCACTTGCGAAGCAAACATCCACAAGCAAATGAAAGCAAATTTACATCAAACACGTCCCGCTCTTTATATTCTCATTCAGGCATTTCATGACTTTGAATGTCAATAGTGATGTGATGTGATAAGTGTTTACAATATTATATTTATTTAGGGGTGGGCAACGATTAATTGCCCAGCAATTAAGCTATTGTTAACGAACAATAAATATATATAAAGTATATACATGCAAATATTTCTTAAATATATACAAGCATGTGTGTGTATTTATATATACAAAATAATTATACACACTACACACACATATATTATGTAAACACAAACTTTTATTTTGGATGCGATTAATCACGATTAATCGTTGCCCAGCCCTAATTTATATATTAATATTTACATTCCGCAATATACACGATATAGCAAATAGGGACGCACCAATATAAACATTTTGGCCGATACCGATAACCGATAGTTCTTATAAAAGCCGATAACCGATATATTGGCCGATAAATCTAAATCCAAATTTTTATATTATTTTTAAGAGCCGGATTACAAAAACAAAAGTCTCACCATTAAAAGCCATGTCCCAAGCACACAATTATAATGTTCTATAATTAATTATATGCTAATTTTATGTAGCCTATATGACAGACTTGTGGTGCACTTAACCGTATTTTCCTTTTTGTCATATTTCACGTAATTCAAAACCATCATGTTGAACAGTGTGCATCTGAAGAGTCTCAGCTGAAGGAAATAATACATTATTTATCGGCTTTAAGATATTGGCTACATTTTCTTATCGGGCCGATAACGATAACATTAAAAATGAACATATATCGGCCGATACCGATATGGTGGCCGAAATATTGTGCATCACTAATAGCAAAATCTCTAACGATAGGCATTTTATAGATAGATATCGTCATACCATCAGCTCAAGTCATGAATAAGAATGATGTAATGCTAATATAAAAATGAGTGAATGAAAAAGCTTTGAATGTACTACTAATGGTCTATGTTATATATTATTACATTTTAATCCAAGGTAATAACGTTTCACCACTCAGTCTTGCTTTCGAAACAGCTGTGAAATCCTTGACTGAGTAAAAAAAAAAAAAACCTCCTCTGGACTTTGATAGGAGTTGGAAGACAAACGAGGTGAGAGTTATAGAATAACGAGGGCAGAGGAATCCACACACTTTCTCCAAAATATACACAGAGTTTCTTTCTTCACCCACAATGATGCAACACACAGACAGAACTGTATTTTTTAGCTGTCTCACCTCTGACCAGAGTCTTGAATGTCTTATTTACTACAGTATATCGAGACTTAGGCAATCCTGCTTTAAACCTTTTTTAGGTTTGCATGTTGGCCCATTTAAAAGTTTTGAGCCTGTTTGTAAAGTCTTTTTGTCGGTATGTTGGTGTTCCACAGCCTATAATAAACGATTTACCTAAAATTAAAGACTTATCTTTAAGGTTTTGCAGTGTTGCCTTTACTTAAAACATTCATTATTCTTTGCTGTGTCCGTATGCTAATGATAGCACCAGACAGACTTTGTCAAACGACCTAAAGAAACTTGTTTGTAATATATTGTAATGCAATGTCAGTGAGACTTTGACCGTGAGTCAGCAGTAGCGATTTATGACATGCTAATGACCTGACGTCAAATCAAATGAGAAATCATGTCAGGCTATCAAAAACATCTACTCGTATCACCACATATGACAATAGCATTATGACGGCTGTAATTGGCCAGTGAGATACAGATATTGCGCCATAAAAACACTGTGTGAATATTCTCTGATAGCATTTGTACTACAGAAGTTAAGTTAAGGGTCACTATATTGATCATATTTAGGGTTAAAGGGTTAGTTCACCCAAAAATGAAAAATGTCGGCTCAGAGGTCACTCGTCATGCGTCAGGTCAGAGGTCACTCGTCAGGTCTGAGGTCACTCGTCATGCGTCGGGTCAGAGGTCACTCGTCAGGTCTGAGGTCACTCGTCATGCGTCGGGTCAGAGGTCACTCGTCATGCGTCGAGATAGAGGTCACTCGTCGGGTCAGAGGTCACTCGTCATGCGTCGGGTCAGAGGTCACTCCGTCAGGTCTGAGGTCACTTGTCATGCGTTGGGTCAGAGGTCACTCGTCATGTGTCAGGTCAGAGGTCACTCATCAGGTCTGAGGTCATGCGTCGGGTCAGAGGTCACTCGTCATGTGTCGGGTTAGAGGTCACTCGTCAGGTCTGAGGTCACTCATCATGCGTCGGGTCAGTCGTCATGCGTCGGGTCAGAGGTCACTCGTCATGCGTCGGGTCAGTCGTCATGCGTCGGGTCAGTCGTCATGCGTCGGGTCAGAGGTCACTCGTCAGGTCTGAGGTTACTCGTCATGTGTCGGGTCAGAGGTCACTCGTCAGGTCTGAGGTCACTCGTCATGCGTCGGGTCAGTTGTCATGTGTCGGGTCAGAGGTCACTCATCAGGTCTGAGGTCATGCGTCGGGTCAGAGGTCACTTGTCATGCGTCGGGTCAGTTGTCATGCATCGGGTCAGAGGTCACTCGTCATGTGTCGGGTCAGAGGTCACTCGTCAGGTCTGAGGTCACTCGTCATGCGTCGGGTCAGTCGTCATGCGTCGGGTCAGAGGTCACTCGTCATGCGTCAGGTCAGTCGTCATGCGTCGGGTCAGAGGTCACTCGTCAGGTCTGAGGTCACTCGTCATGCGTCGGGTCAGTTGTCATGCGTCGGGTCAGAGGTCACTCGTCATGTGTCGGGTCAGAGGTCACTCGTCATGTGTCGGGTCAGAGGTCACTCGTCAGGTCTGAGGTCACTCGTCATGTGTCGGGTCAGAGGTTACTCGTCATGTGTCGGGTCAGAGGTCACTCGTCAGGTCTGAGGTCACTCGTCATGCGTCGGGTCAGTTGTCATGCGTCGGGTCAGAGGTCACTCGTCATGCGTCGGGTCAGTCGTCATGCGTCGGGTCAGAGGTCACTCGTCATGTGTCGGGTCAGAGGTCACTCGTCAGGTCTGAGGTCACTCGTCATGCGTCGGGTCAGTCGTCATGCGTCGGGTCAGAGGTCACTCGTCATGCGTCAGGTCAGTCGTCATGCGTCGGGTCAGAGGTCACTCGTCAGGTCTGAGGTCACTCGTCATGCGTCGGGTCAGTTGTCATGCGTCGGGTCAGAGGTCACTCGTCATGTGTCGGGTCAGAGGTCACTCGTCATGTGTCGGGTCAGAGGTCACTCGTCAGGTCTGAGGTCACTCGTCATGTGTCGGGTCAGAGGTTACTCGTCATGTGTCGGGTCAGAGGTCACTCGTCAGGTCTGAGGTCACTCGTCATGCGTCGGGTCAGTTGTCATGCGTCGGGTCAGAGGTCACTCGTCATGCGTCGGGTCAGTCGTCATGCGTCGGGTCAGAGGTCACTCGTCATGCGTCGGGTCAGTTGTCATGCGTCGGGTCAGAGGTCACTCGTCATGCGTCGGGTCAGTTGTCATGCGTCGGGTCAGAGGTCACTCGTCATGCGTTGGGTCAGTCGTCATGCGTCGGGTCAGTTGTCATGCGTCGGGTCAGAGGTCACTCGTCATGCGTTGGGTCAGTCGTCATGCGTCGGGTCAGAGGTCACTCGTCATGCTTCAGGTGAGAGGTCAATCATCAGGTCTTAGGTCACTCGTCACTCATCAGGTCTGAGGTCATGCGTCGGGTCAGAGGTCACTCATCAGGTCTGAGGTCATGCGTCGGGTCAGAGGTCACTCATCAGGTCTGAGGTCATTCGTCATGCGTCGGGTCAGAGGTCACTTGTCATGTGTTGGGTCAGAGGTCACTCGTCAGGTCTGAGGTCACTCGTCATGCGTCGGGTCAGAGGTCACTCTTCCACCGGAACTCGACTTGCATACGGCTGTTACCGGAAGCCAGAGATTATAGTTCATAAAGTTATAAATATGGATATTTTTCTTATAAAAATGTATCACTGGATTACTTTTATGATGATGGATGTGCTTTTTTGGGCTTCAAAATCTAAGTTACCAACCATTCACTCCCATTATAAAATTTGGAAGAGCCAGGATATTTTTAATATAACAGATTATGTTTGGCTGAAAGGAGAAACCGATATAAACATTTTGGCCGATACCGATAACCGATAGTTCTTATAAAAGCCGATAACCGATAAATTGGCCGATAAATCTAAATCCAAATTTTTATATCATTTTGTGAGCCTGATTACAAAAACAAAAGTCTCACCATTAAAATCCATGTCCCAAGCACACAATTATAATGATGTTCTCATTATAATTTTATGTAGCCGATATGACAGACTTGAACTGAACTGTATTTTACTTTTTGAAGTGATTTAAATCATATTTCAAGGAATTCAAAACCATCATGTTGAATAGTGCGCATCTAAAGTGTCTCAGCTGAAGTAAATAATACATTATGTATCATTATCATTATATAACATTATATAAGCCGATACTTAGAGCTGTCGCGATAGTCAATATATCGACTTATCGCACGATATATGGAAATGAGCGCGATCATTTTTGGTGCCGCGATATATTGCAACTGATAATTTGTTTTATTATTAAAAATAATAATTAGATTTATTTTTACATTACAATGAATGTCACCAACATTTTGATCGCGCTGCCTCTGTCATCTTGTCTGCACTCTGTGTCGGAGGCGGGGCTCAGGCAGCGTGTCCACACACACACACACACACACACACAGAGAGAGAGAGAGAGAGACTGTCAGGTAAAGAGAAGGCGTGAACCAACTGCATTTTAAAGTGTTCTGTTTCGTGACATCTACAGCGAGCCAGTTAGGAATAACGAGTCCAACATGGAATTGAGCCATGTGAGTGATTTTATTCAGAGTGAAAACGGTGAATCTGACTGCAGTAACGTTAGATGTGAAAGATATGAATAAAAATGATGTTTATTCAGCCAGCTCACATACCTGTATTTACTTCCTTTTTTCGGTCGAAGTCCACAGTAGTCAATTGTCGAGTTCGCGGGCGCGATCATTAGTTATCTTAGTTACCAATGATCGCGCGCGCGAACTCGACAATCGACTACTGTGGACTTCGACCGAAAACAGGAAGTAAATACGGGTATGTGAGCTGGCTGAATAAACATCATTTTTATTCATATCTTTCACATCTTTATTCATATCTTTCACCGTGTTCACTCTGAATAATATCACTCACATGGCTGTTCACTTAAAATGACACATCAAGGATGTTAACAGGTTTAAAACTAGCCCCGTTTAAGTCAACAGTGTGCAAATTTTAAAAAGAGGATAACACGGTGTAGGAAACACCGATTTTTGTCGTTGTTCTCTGTACTGACAGCACTCCAAATTTACCAAAAAAATGAGCTCAATGTTTAAATTGACCGGAGTTCTCCTTTAAGCCCCACAAGGTAAACAGTTGGTGTTCCTTTCTCGGAATCTGCCTAACAATTAAAAAACTAATCTGACAGCAGAAATGTCCTGTTGATGCATCTGTGCCTTTGTGTGAGACACTTTAAAAGTTTAAATTGACATATTACTTTGTTTTGATCTAGTTCTTTATACCTTGCACTTTTTTGTTAACGAAAGTGTATTTATTTACTTGTTTTATTTATTTGGGATTTATTTTTTCACATTTCACAATGTCTAAATATTGAATAGAATAAGAATAAAATGTTCTTTGAAACAGTGTACTTGCATTATTATGCTATTATATTGTCATTATGTAATCAGTGGCATAAAATGGTCTGAAAATTACAATAATATCGTTTATCGCAATTAATTTTGGTGCAATATATCGCACAACAAAAAGTAGATATCGTGACAGCTCTACCGATACTGATATATTTTGATCCTTACCTTTAACCCTATATTAAACAATGCCACCCTAGAGTTTTGCATGCACCACTCACATTGAAGTATTAACTTAAAATCTCTTAAAAGTTTAGGTCAAAGGGTGTTTGTCTGACAATAAAGTTTTGGAACGAAGTAAATATTTTGCACTTGTTGTTTTGCTACACAACTGCACTTAGGCGTATCCTAGAAAGGGCATATACAGGAAGAAGGAAGACTTTATTTGACATCTTTCAGCTCAGTGACGTCCCATCAGTGTTGTTTATCTGTCAGGCTTCAAGCCATATCCCACATTTAAGCAATCATTCTCACTGGACTCTTAGCAACAGAGTGAACACAACACTCTTAGTTCACTTGCCTCTTGTTTTTCGAGATTAAGTGCACTAGAGTCGTCAGTAAATGGCGTAAAGTGTCGTCGGATAATGGGCAGCTGTGTCGCCGCATTAGACTGATGAAATTATTCTGTCTGCAAACACAGTTTAAAGTGCCTGTTGGGTGGAAAAGCATGTTTATACAGAGCCAGCGGGGTGAAAAGGGAAGATTTCACCATTGTTTTGCAAATTCATCAAGACCCATATGTCATAGTCCCAAACAAAGTTTATTTATGTGTACTTGTTTTGTATAATTATTTTAATTTGATCTGATTTCATGACTTTTGTTTGTATTTAGTTCATTGAATCTGTGATATATGTTTCTGACACTGATGAAACTTGTAATAAAATGTTGATTAAAAAAAATCATTTTATGTTGTTTGTACTTGGCTAGCATTATGGTGCAGCGTACACATAAAGTTGCATCTAAAGTGTTGATTGCATTGATGTTTGTGTTTCTTCTCAGTGGGAAGATTGTCTCTCCAAAGTGGAAGTCTTTCAAAGGTTTGAGGTTGTTGTGGAGGGATAAAATCCGGCTGAATAACGGCATTTGGAGGGCCTGGTTCATTCAATGTGAGTCTCCTAATCTCATTTCTAGTCTTTATTTACTTAGTTACTCACAGTTTACGTCATTTCTCTTATGTAAAAGTGTTTCGTAAAACATCCTTTCAGCATGTGTTCACTATATAGCAAATCTCGGCTGTGTGATTGAGTATATCATCACAAAATGTAAAGTGTATTATTGCACAGCTCTCTATATATACTTTATATCCAACTTTTTCTGCATATTATTATATACAGAATGCTCACAGAAAGCGATATATATATAATATAACAAATCTCAACTGCCTGTTACTATGTAACTATGTTATCGTCCAGCTCTTTATATAAAATTGTATGTATTAATATGTCCAGCTTTATCCGCATATAAACTAGGGATGCACCGATATGAAAATTTTGGCCGATACCGATAACCGATAATCTTTAATTGAAAAGCCGATAACCGATATATTGGTCGGTAAATCTGAATACAAATTTTTATATCAATAACAATATTTTAAAATAACATTAAAACTTAACATATATCGGCCGATACCGATATGGTTGCCGATATATCATGCATCCCTAATATACACAGTATACTCGCGTGGGGCGATTTATACTATATAGCAAATCTCAACAGCTTGATTGGTTGCATCTTCTGAAAATGTCAACTATATTATCGCCCAGCTCTAATCTGCTAAATGCAACTATAAGGCATGAGGATATTATAAACATTACATCATGTTTTTCTGTAAAGCTGCCTTGAAACATTGTGTTTTGTGGAAAATGCTTGCAAATAAAATAGACCTAACTTTATAATATTTTGATACACTCTTCAAAACTGTTTTTCAGAGTTTTGGCTTCCAAAAATAACCTTTCAGCTATCAGTTCTTTAAAGAATTATTATTTTTTTAATCTAAAGAACTAAAATTTTGTCCGATACCGATAATTCTTTATATTTGAAAGCCGATAACCGATATATTGGCCGATAAATCAAAATCCAAATTTTTATATAATTTTTGAGAGCCTGATTACAAGAACAAAAGTCTCACCATTAAACAGGGTTCCCGCGGATCCTTAAAAAGTCTTAAAAAGTCTTAAATTAGATTTTTAAAATTTAAGGCCATAAAAAGTCTTATAAAGTCTTATTTTTACTTATGAAAGGTCTTAAATTTTAGATGACACTTTGACTTAGACATATCTAAAAGCTTTCCAAATTAAAACCATCTAATTAGCGTACGTATTTTTATTTATTTATTATTCTATCTTTGTGGATTTGCTAGTTCACGTGACATTTCGCGTCACTCGCGAGTCGCGGCAGCATAACTGTCTCCTGCACGCGAGAGGAGAGAAGGAGAAGAAAGGTCGTAAATGTCAGTTCAGTTGTAAGTTCATTCTTTATGTGCGTATGGTGTGCGATGTGTATTGTCTTGTATGATATTGTAATCATTGTTTTAACAATGTACGAGGCACTGCGAGCTGACATCGCATTTGTCTCGTGCTTTCACTGCGTGATGTGTGCAGTGTAACTGTTATGTCCCCAAGTTAGTTTTTGTCTTATATTTATATCATATTATGTTCTTATATTAGAATATCACATCAGAAAGAGTGCCGTTTTCCCGTGCACAATTCCAATTGTGATATTTATGTTATACAACAGTTAAATTAACAATAGGTTAACATTGAGTTACTTTTTAGACACAATATTGTCAATATTGTTTGTTTTCCCTTTATTTCGCCGACTATAATTTCAAAATGAAACCGTAGCAGAGTCTCAATGCAACCGACAGCGATTATTTCTTGACTGAAATCCGCGTTTTGAACGAATCACTTGCTTCTTTCCCGAATGAATCAGCCGTTTGAACGAATCGGTTGAATGAATGACTCCCTCAACTCACTTTTTAAGACAGTGATTTGCCGCTGCGGTTTCATATTTAAAGTACCCTTTAAATAAAATGTTAAAATTAGAAATCATTTCATATTTAAATATTGAATATTGATTTAAAAATATATATATCTCATAGCTTTATTTATGCAGTTGTAAATGGAGTGTAAATAAATGAATGCCACTTCTGATGACGCTTCTGTCACCTCTGCACTGCAAAGATGGATTTTGATTGAATGATTTAATTTGACTGTAACAGTGGTACTGTATGATTATTATATAATTAAGTATTATTGTATAATTACTGTATAATTTAATTTTAATGATAGTATTTGACATTAAAGGTGATGCATAACTGTAAATAAGTTAAGAAAAAATGTCCATATATGGGTGAAAATGCCCCTGAAAAAATCAATTTAAGGTGACAAATATTGCCCCTTAATTAAAATATTAATTTCTGTCACTGCTCTGAACTGACCACTGCATAGAATATGAAAAATATGAATATCTTCGTGAGTCAGCTGTCAACAACAGACCTAAACCAGCCATGGCACCAGCACAAAAACACAATCAGTAAAATATCATCTAATTATTATCAACAAAACGTTGAAAATATCAAGATATATTTTTGCCAATACTGCACAGCCCTAATGTACGGTATTAATTTTGATTTCTTCAGGTCTTAAAAAGGTCTTAAAAAGCCTTAAATTTGACTTTCAAAAGTGTGCAGGAACCATGTTAAAATGTATGTACCAAGCACACAATCATAATGATGTTCTCCTGATAATTTTATGTAGCCGATATTACAGACTAGCACTGAACTGTATTTTCCCTTTTTGAAGTGATTTTTAATCTTATTTCAAGGAATTCAAAACCATAATGTTGAACAGTGCGCATCTGAAGTGTCTCAGCTGAAGGAAATAATACATTATTTATCGGCTTTAATATATCGGCCAAATTTTTTTTAGTGGGCCGATAATGATAACATAAAAATGAACATATTGGCCGATACCGATATGGTGGCCGATATATCGTGCATCCCTAATATATACAGTATACTCGCGTAGGGCGATAAGGCATGAATATATCATAAACTTTGACATCATGTTTTTCTGTAAAGCTGCCTTGAAATTTTGTGTTTTGTGAAAAATGCTTTACAAATAAAATTGACCTAACTTTATAATCTTTTGATACACTCTTAAAAACAAAAGGTTCTAAAGGGCGGTTTTTCGCAGTTTTGGCTGTGATTTGTGATTTGGCAAAAATAACCTTTCAGCGATCAGTTCTTCAAAGAATTATTATTTTTTAATAATAATTACAAAAAAGTAACGTGCTGGTACCACTGGGCCAGTAATTATAGAAGTGAATAATGAACTACAAAAATGAAATATAATGTTAAATTGCTTTAGATGTGGAGAAAAGGAAGAACCCTGTGTGTGGGTTTGTCACGCCGCTGGAGGGGTCGGAGGCGGATGCCCACGGCAAACCTGAGGTGAGTCTCAACGACAGACCTGAAGACACAAATGCATTTCAGTGTAGAAGAGAAGATTTTATTATGAATGTGTTTATTTATGCCGTTTACAGGCGATTGTTCTGGAGGGAAGCTACTGGAAGAGACGGATAGAGGTGGTGATAAAAGAATATCACAAATGGAGGATTTACTATAAGAAAAGAGTGAGTAACTGACCGAATATAATCGGTCAATTGTGTATGATATTGTGCTGGACGGTAAACCGGTTCATGCTATAATCAAAGGTCCAGACATGAAAAGAAAAAATACCAAAATGACCAATATAATGCCAAAATATATAATACAGCATGTGAGATATCTATAAAATAGCTGAAAATTCATTTTGCATTCAAAATTTACTTACTTACTTACTTAAATATTCACTAAAGTATTTGACAACAGAAAGCTCTCAGGAGAAGACTTTAACTTTTCTTATAATTGGCCAATCGTTGTAAGTTGATAATCTTAGAATTTCCAAATATGGTTTGATTTTTCATTCTGGATGATATATCGATTTATCACCCGAATAATCCCACCATAAAATGACTGACATGATTATAGACATCTTCACAAAAAGGTTTAAGTGATTTCTGAAATGCGACCATAACTTCCTGAAATTAGCTTTTTTTCTTGAACAGTCCCCCTGTAGTCAATAATTGTATCCCTTCAAACTCAGCTTAGATCACCAAAATGACATATTTAAACATTTTATCCTTGAAAAAAAATTCTTCATGCCTTAAAATACAGGTCCTTCTCAAAAAATTAGCATATTGTGATAAAGTTCATTATTTTCCATAATGTAATGATAAAAATTAAACTTTCATATATTTTAGATTCATTGCACACCAACTGAAATATTTCAGGTTTTTTATTGTTTTAATACTGATGATTTTGGCATACAGCTCATGAAAACCCAAAATTCCTGTCTCAAAAAATTAGCATATTTCATCCGACCAATAAAAGAAGTGTTTTTAATACAAAAAAAAAAGTCAACCTTCAAATAATTATGTTCAGTTATGCACTCAATAGTCAATACTTGGTCGGGAATCCTTTTGCAGAAATGACTGCTTCAATGCGGCGTGGCATGGAGGCAATCAGCCTGTGGCACTGCTGAGGTGTTATGGAGGCCCAGGATGCTTCGATAGCGGCCTTAAGCTCATCCAGAGTGTTGGGTCTTGCGTCTCTCAACTTTCTCTTCACAATATCCCACATATTCTCTATGGGGTTCAGGTCAGGAGAGTTGGCAGGCCAATTGAGCACAGTAATACCATTGTCAGTAAACCATTTACCAGTGGTTTTGGCACTGTGAGCAGGTGCCAGGTCGTGCTGAAAAATGAAATCTTCATCTCCATAAAGCTTTTCAGCACATGGAAGCATGAAGTGCTCCAAAATCTCCTGATAGCTAGCTGCATTGACCCTGCCCTTGATAAAACACAGTGGACCAACACCAGCAGCTGACATGGCACCCCAGACCATCACTGACTGTGGGTACTTGACACTGGACTTCAGGCATTTTGGCATTTCCTTCTCCCCAGTCTTCCTCCAGACTCTGGCACCTTGATTTCCGAATGACATGCAAAACTGAGCAACAGTCCAGTGCTGCTTCTCTGTAGCCCAGGTCAGGCGCTTCTGCCGCTGTTTCTGGTTCAAAAGTGGCTTGACCTGGGGAATGCGGCACCTGTAGCCCATGTCCTGCACACGCCTGTGCACGGTGGCTCTGGATGTTTCTACTCCAGACTCAGTCCACTGCTTCCGCAGGTCCCCCAAGCTCTGGAATCGGTCCTTCACCACAATCTTCCTCAGGGTCCGGTCACCTCTTCTCGTTGTGCAGCGTTTTTTGCCACACTTTTTCCTTCCCACAGACTTCCCACTGAGGTGCCTTGATACAGCACTCTGGGAACAGCCTATTTGTTCAGAAATTTCTTTCTGTGTCTTACCCTCTTGCTTGAGGGTGTCAATGATGGCCTTCTGGACATCAGTCAGGTCGGCAGTCTTACCCATGATTGCGGTTTTGAGTAATGAAACAGGCTGGGAGTTTTTAAAAGCCTCAGGAATCTTTTACAGGTGTTTAGAGTTAATTAGTTGATTCAGATGATTAGGTTAATAGCTCGTTTAGAGACAATTTTCATGATATGCTAATTTTTTGAGACAGGAATTTTGGGTTTTCATGAGCTGTATGCCAAAATCATCAGTATTAAAACAATAAAAGACCTGAAATATTTCAGTTGGTGTGCAATGAATCTAAAATATATGAAAGTTATGGAAAATGTAACAAAACATTATGGAAAATAATGAACTTTATCACAATATGCTAATTTTTTGAGAAGGACCTGTATCTTGAATGTAACTCGACACCCTTGCCTCATTTAGTATACGCGTGTCTATGAATATGCCAATGAGCCCCGCCTCCACTCACTCCCTCAGCTCAGAGATCCACTGGTTGACGATCACACGTTGATCTGATTGGTTACAAGGTCGTTTGTGACGTCAGAAACACCAGCGATTTCAAACCGTGTTTTTGAGCCTGTCTTTGGTTCACTGCAGTTTTAAGGAGGAAATACTCAGCAATGCTGTCGACTTATGAATTTACTCATGGTGTGTCTTAAAGCATATTAAAAACACCACATAGACACATAAACAACATTAACAACTTCACCACAGGGGGACTTTAATACAAAATATGTAATGCGATTGTGTTTCTGAAGGAACTAGTCATACAACACTGCATTTTTCCCACTCTGTTGGGAGACTGTTGCAAAACCCTAGAAGCAACTGTGGGTCAAGAACCCAAAGTTCAATATTCACAGGAAGGGCCATTAAATCTCTGACCCCAGTCAGTCTCCCTTACAAAGTGAACAAAACCAGATCCTAAAAATTGACCCATCACTAAGATAAGATAAGATTAATCATTTTAAGACCAGTTCCTGTCTGATTTGTAATCTCCATTAGGATTGTAAAGCACTGCTATTTCTGATTTATTTTATTTTGTTTTATTTTTTAGCTTCAGAAGAACAAAGATCTGCTGTGCATGTTACAGAAGGTAAGATCACAACTTTTTCAGTTGCGTCTGGTGTCACAGGTCATGCAAAAATCACAAGAGTTTCATTTTTGGGTTTCATTTCTAGTTTCAACATTATTTGTTCTTCAGATATTGCTCTTAAAAAGAAAACAAGTATCATCTGTATGCAAAGTGACCCCCTGAAAATGTGTACAAATGACTCACGGGGCCACATTAACATGTCCATAGCTCTGAGAATAAACCATCGAGGGCCTTTAAAATAAAGATACCAATAGGAAAGTTTGTTAAGAACCAGAATCTAAAAGGACATTGAGATATATTTTATACTTCTTGAGTTACAGGCATACAAACTTGAGGCAAAAAACACAAGAAGTGCATTTTGCCTTTTTTTGAATTGTCATCGTTGGCATATAATGCAACAAAGATAGCTAAAGTCAACAGATTTTACTAATAGACATACCAATCTCTGTGTAAAGATAAAATAATGATGCTGCCATCTTTTTAAAGTCATTTTTACACCCCTGTAATTTGGCTCCAAATCTCAGGTGAACAGTCATCTACAAAACAGTGGATTACTCAGTCAATATACATCTGTGACATTTAATAATTTGGCTTTCATCACTATTTATGTTTGTCTTTCTACAGAAAAAAATAGGTAACACTAAAGACAAACACTTCGGCTATTTTCGTCATTTGCGGCTCGTTAAGAAATATAATGATTCAGCAGAAAGGGAGTTTAATTTATTAGGGCGTTCCTCAAGTGTAATGGATTTGACTGACGTCGCTCTGAAAAGCGAACAGACATTAGAGACGGTAAAAGTGAGTTTGTCCAATACAATTGGTCTAAAAGTGTGTGGGTCTTGTCCCAACCCACATACAATGGTTCCGATGCCCATGATGAAAGCCAACATATCGTCACCTTCCTAAAATAATTGGCTAAGGCATTTTTTGACAATTTTTTTTTTTTTTTTCATAAGTCATCTCCCTTAATGATGCTGGCCACCTCTGGTAAACTCACCCACATCCTCAGTTCATGCTATTTTTTTTGCATGAACTAGTATATTGTAGTACATTTACTAGTATGTTGCATGACTATTAACATACTAGTAAAATTGCCTAAGTCTCATAATAAAGCAAAAATAAAAGTCACACTCTTGACGTAGGCCATTATACTACAGGGGTAGTAGAATAGTATAATGGCCTACGTCAAGAGTGTGAAGTCAAAAGACAATGAGACTTAGGAAATTTTACTAGTATGCCAATAGTCATCTTCTGTCATAACCTTAACCTTTTTGAGTGACATGATCAATAAATATCATATATTCAATTATTTGTTCAGTTTTTTGTGTTTTCTGAGAAACCTGAAAAAAAGAAATGGGCAATTATTTTAGACGACATGTTACATGTACTTACCGTAGTAATAATAGTAAATTATGCATAATTACATGCAACTGACCCTCAACCAAATCCTACCCTAACCCTAACCCTATAGTAAGTACATGTTGTTAATTAATATCACTCAGTACTTCAATATACAGGTGAAACTAATATATTATATAGACTCATTACATGCAAAGTGAGATATTTCAAGCCTTTATTTGTTATAATTGTGATGATTATGGCTTATCTTATGAAAACCCCAAATTAAAAATTAGAATATTGTGAAAAGGTTTTCATATCTGTAAACCATAATCATCAAAATTATAACAAATAAAGGCTTGAAATATCTCACTTTGCATGTAATGAGTCTATATAATATATTAGTTTCACCTTTTAAGTTGAATTACTGAAATAAATGAACTTTTTTCGAGTTTCACCTGTATAATTACACTGTAACAATGACACCTTAACATAAAGTGTAGCCAAAAAATATTAACAAAATCAAAAATTTGAGCTGGGGAAGTTTCCGAAATTTGTTTGATTTCACATGACCTTCTGGATCCTGCAGGTTCGCAACACAACCACACCTGTGATTTCTTCTGTTATTGGGGAGGTTTGTGAAGGCCTGTTCCTCATCTATGGGCCGGAGCGCAGCTGTGATGGGGTCTGGTGTAAATCATTGATCTGGTCGAGTAGCGTAGCGTTTACTTTAGTAGGTTAGCGGTGCAGGTCATGTTTGCACAGTGCATTTCTATTAATAGTCGCCCCTCAGTTTTTGCTTCGCTCAGTTGGCCGAAAAACCAAAAAGAACATTCAATTCAACTTTATTCGCCATGCATACAAATACTAGGAATTTGATTTGGTCTTCTCCATGCAGGCAACACACAGTAAAACAGAAAGACAAGAAAACAAGGACAGAACCACAATGCAAGGACAAACAGAGACATTATGAGCAATAAGTTAATATAAATAGTGTTGTATTAAATAAAAACAGAGTGCAATGTGTACCAGGTTTAGGAGGGCTATTGCTTGGGGGGGAAATCCTTGTGAGTAAACGCGAATGCACATGTTTATTTGCGTCACAGGGTGAGAAATGAGTAATTTGATTGCTTTTAGTGACTAAAGTGCTAATCTTTCCTTCTGTTAGACGAGGCCGTCAAAGAAACGCACATTCAGGCTTCAACAGCGTTTAATCAAATCTGACCCACATACTGCAAGATGGGAATCCACTGCACTTCTTTTAGATGCATTTTTATTAGTCCTCGCTTGGAAATAAACGTGCTGACGCTTCCGGATAATACTGTGCCATGGCACTGAATGGCTGTTATATTTATAATATATACTGTACTGAGGTATTTACAATGTACACAATACACAAATGATCAAAAGTCTTGGGTCAGACGGATTAAAAAAAAAAAAAAAAAAAAAACTTTTATTTAGCGAAGATGCATTAAATTGGTTAAAAGTGACAGTTAAGGACATTAGTGACAAAATATTTATATTTCAACAGTTCTCTCTATTCATCACAGATCCTTAAATCTGTTTTCAACACTGATAATAATCATAAATGATTTCTGAAGGATCATGTGACACCGAAGACTGGAGTAATGATGCTGAAAATTCAGTTATTTTACAATAATTAAAATGTTATCTTATCTAATAAAAAATATATGCAGGACTAACTAAAATATTTTCTCAATAAAATGAAATTAGTAACTTTTTTATATAAAATAATGCCATTTTTAAATCATTTTAAATAAACAAATTTTTGAGTTTGACACAGCAAAACATAATAATTTCTGAACATTGACTCTAAGTCTTTATTCACCTTTTTCTCATGGTTTCTCAATAGAATTCATACAAGTATAGAGTAGAAAAGCAATAGTTCTAATAGGGGCTCATTGTAACGCAGCGTGACAACATGCCCCGCCTGCACAACTGGGGTTTCAACCCGGCGAGTGTCTTCTGCTGTTAGATCAGCATTAAAGAATTATCTCAACTGTTTAACAACAGATATAAGATTAAAATAATATCAGACTGGTCTATTCATTTGGACATCTGACTGCTTAGTAGGGTTTGTGTTCTCAGGAATAGTGTGCATTCATTCATTCAAGATCAGGTAAAAATATGTCAATGGAAAATCTCGCGTGTTTTTTTTGTTTATGTTTATTTGTCTATTATTCAAGTTAGAAACATTTCCATGATCTAAAGAATTAAAAGGTTGTTGTCATTTGAAAGTGTCTAGACTAGGACTACTCGCCTTATTATGCTGTTATATCATGATGACACAGGTGAAACTCGAAAAATTAGAATATGGTGCAAAAGTTCATTTATTTCAGTAATTCAACTTAAAAGGTGAAACTAATATATTATATAGACTCATTACAAGCAAAGTGAGATATTTCAAGCCTTTATTTGTTATAATTTTGATGATTATGGCTTATCTTATGAAAACCCCAAATTCAAAATGAGAATATTGTGAAAAGGTTTTCATAAGCTGTAAGCCATAATCATCAAAATTATAACAAATAAAGGCTTGAAATATCTCACTTTGCATGTAATTCATTTTTTTGCACAATATTCTAATTTTTCGAGTTCCACCTGTATATCCAGTGCCATAAAATGGTCTTTAAAATGACAATAATATTGCTTATTGCAATTATTTCTGTAACAATATATCGCACAATTAAAAGTAGTTATCGTGACAGGCTTTCACATATAGTGTTGATATGGCAACTATATATACAGGTGAAACTCGAAAAATTAGAATATTGTGAAAAGGTTTTCATAAGCTGTAATCCATAATCATCAAAATTATAACAAATAAAGGCTTGAAATATCTCACTTTGCATGTAATGAGTCTATATAATATATTAGTTTCACCTTTTAAGTTGAATTACTGAAATAAATGAACTTCTGCACCATATTCTAATTTTTCGAGTTTCACCTGTACACTAAGTTTCGTCATGCTGGCATGTTTGGAAAGTTTTAAAGCATGTGTGTTACAACTAGGCCCTACGCGCGTCCCAGTTTACCCCGCAGCGTCTGGTGTCGAGGTGCAGTGTGTCATCGGGCCAGTAGAAGGCAGTGGGTTTGCGTTTGTCCTCCACACGTGAGTGTGTGACAGCGGGAACTGGGTCAGGAACAAAAGACCCGCTCGTCCTGGAATGATACGGAGAAACCTGGGGGAAAAAGACTGAGAAATGAAAGCATAATGGGATCGGGCCGGGGTTCCTGTCTATTACACGCTTGTGTTAAACTGCTGTCGTTAACACCTCACACGTAAGCACAGAGACCCACGTACACACACATCAATCCTGCTCACAAACCAATACTATAATTTGCCTCCTTTGTGCGTAAGACAGAACGTAGGTAGTTTTCATTGACGCTGCCGTCTGATTGTGGGTTTTATTATAAATATGCGGTGCCGAACATAGGTAGAAATATCAGCGAGACTCCAGGTATAACACATGCAGATGGGATTCTCCCAATGAAATCCGTGAGTAAAATGTCAAATCTGAGTGTGTAACTGCTTTGGAAATTTAAGTCAACATCAACAATTTGCTTTCGTAATGCACGTTTCTGGGTTTATTGTGAATGATTCATCAGTGCAAGATCTTTCTAAAGGAAAAAAATTCAAAATGTAAAACTGTAATAGCTGATGTCTTCTAGGCCAGATGGGCTTTGGATGAAGTTGGCATGAAATGTGAACTGTGGTCGTCAGGGCCGGTGCTAGCCATTTGGGTGCCCTAAGCACAAATGCTTGGTGGTGCCCCCCCACTCCCAACCACCCAAGGAATAACAAGCATTCAGAATTTCTTAGTTGGGTTCTCTTTACTTTCAAAATAACTGCTGCAAATAAATCATTTTACATTAACAATGGCACCAAATATGAAAAGAAATAAATAATATAAAGGTTAAAATTATAAATACCAAAAACCACCACAATTACTAAAAACACAGATTTGGAACATGAATGATATATGTGTGTACTGTGCATAATTATTTTGTATATATAAATACACATTTGCATGTATGTATTTAAGAAATATTTGTTATTTATATATAAAATGTTTAAATTTATATATAATATAAATTATATATAATTATATACAGTATATACATGCAAATATTTCTTAAATATATACATGCATATGTGTGTGTATTTATATAATATATTTATATAAACATTTTATGTACTGTGTATAATTATTTTGTATATTATACAAAATAATTATACACAGTACACACACATATATCATGTAGACACAAACTTTTATTTTGGATGCGATTAATCTTTCCCCAGCCCTAATAATTTGACAACTCTGTGAATATGAAAATATACAAACACTAAGATTGTGTTTTTTTTTTTTTTTCTAATTGCAGTTTCACCAACAGATGTCGCCCTTGGGCCTTGGCCTATGAACCTCTTGAAAATTATCCGCATAGAACAACAACGAAAAAACGTATCTAAACGGTCTTCCTCTTCTTCTCAAACAAACTAACTGCATCTTAAACAGCCCAAGTTTCAAAATTCGAGAGACCCACGGACCCCCGTTAAAATAAAAGATTCAACATGCAGGGCTAAAAACGGCCCGGATCATTTGCACTACTAGCGACGCCCCCCTGGACATGTATTCACGACGCAAGGGCGCCCGCGCTACAAAACTAACATTTTTATTTAAAACATTGTCTACCTGCAAGCGACGCGCGAGTATCATCCCGCTGTCTCTTCTTTTTCCTTTTTTCCGCCCCCGACTCTTGGTGCCTTTTCGAGGCCATGTCTGAGGTCGGTGTCTGCCAAATTTTACATTGATTGAGGCATAATCGAACAGACCACTGGGAGGTGGGGAAGGGGGGGCACCAGAGGGAGACTGTCACAGGAGATTCACCTTTTTCTCGACTAATTTGGTCTAGGCCTATATTACTTTTGTATTGCTTTTGTATATTAACATGCTTTAGACATATTTTATTTGTTATTTATACTAGTAGCCTATTGTGATGATTTTTCACGACCCATATTTTTTGGTGCCCCCCCAAGCACTTGGTGCCCTACGCGCAGTGCGTGATGTGCGTGTGCGGAGCGCCGGCCCTGGTGGTCGTCTTTTCTTCCCTGTTGTGACGTATATCTGAGTTAAACGAGCAAAAGTAGGGCATTGCTTCATTGCGTCTGTCGAGGAACTGATTGGATAATTGGATGGTAATCATTTGCTAATTATAGGTACCGGTTGCTGGAGGAAAGTGTTCTCTTGATGTTACACTCTAAAAAATACTGGGTTGTTTCAACCCAAATTTGGGTCAAATATGGACAAACACAACCATTGGGTAAAACATTTAAATAAAAAACTTAACCCAATGGTTGGGTTTGTCCATATTTGACCCAAATTTGAGTTGAAACAACCCAGCATTTTTTAGAGTGTATATATTTTTGTTAATATTAATACTATGATGCGCTGCTTTTGAACACTTTTGCTGTGGCATGCTGTGTTTTAATGTTTTATAATAGCAGAACTATTATATTTTCATGCAAATAATGTTCAATAATGCACAATAAGGCATATCCGTTTCAATTCAAAATATAAAGCAATTCAAAATACTATTTGGCCAGTGGAAAAGATTGAGAAACGCTTTCTCTGAAATGTATTTTATACTATTTGATGTATTTATTCGTTTGTTATTATATTGGCTTTTTATTTTTTATTGCTTGTTTAGTGTTTACTGCCTGGACTCTTGTGTGTGTCTTTTAAAGGATTAGTTCACTTTTTAAAAAACTTTTGCTGATAATTTACTCACCCCCATGTCATCCAAGATGTCCATGTCTTTCTTTCTTCAGTCGAAAAGAAATGAATGTTTTTGATGAAAACATTCCAGGATTTTTCTCCATATAATGGACTTCAATGGGGTCCAAACGGTTCAAGGTCTAAATGACCGTTTCAGTGCAGCTTTAAACGATTCCAGACGATGAATAAGGGTCTTATCTAGAGAAACGATCTGTCATTTCAAAAATAAATAAAAAAGTTAAAGTTTTATAGGCACAAATGCTCGCCTTGCGAACTCTCCTGTTCAAACTCGTTCATCAAAATGAGTCATTGACTCGATGAAACCTCGTTATTTTTATGTAAAGTGCTTTGAGATGCAACTTTTAAAGGCACTATATAAAATAAAGATTATTATTATTATTATTATTATTCGAAAACAAGGCAAGGATCGGGTACTAAATGAATTTTACCAATGTAATGTGACGGCACATCCGTATCTCATATTTTCCTAATGTCTCGTACCATTAAACATGTTATCACGTGGATGAATATGCATATGCAAATGATATGCAGATGAGGATCTGCATAGTAAAACGAGGCGTTGTAAGCTCATATATGGATATTTCAGGGCGCACAATCTCCCGCTGACTGGGATTTATAAAGGGAATTTTGCGCACGTTCACACGGTTTTATAAGTCTGAATATTAAAAATATATTAATATTTTTGGCTTTCGGGCACACGTACACTTTTAGTAAGGATCCTACGCACAGCTTTATAAATGAGACTAGTTATAATTCAGTTATTGGTGTTAAACATGTTCAGCCGTATGTAGATGTGGAAACATTTATCAGTGGTGTTTGCGAAGTCAAGCATTAAAGGGTTAGTTCACCCAAAAATGAAAATGATGTCATTAATGACTCTCCCTCATGTCGCTCCAAGCCCGTCAGACCTCCGTTCATCTTCAGAACACAGTTTAAGATATTTTAGATTTAGTCCGAGAGCTTTCTGTCCCTCCATTGTAAATGTATGTACGGTATACTGTCCTTGTCCAGAAAGGAAATAAAGACATCATCAAAGTAGTCCATGTGACATCAGTGGGTTAGTTAGAGTGTTTTGAAGCATCGAAAATACATTTTGCTCCAAAAATAACAAAAACTCCGACTTTATTCAGCATTGTATTGTCTTCCGGTTCTGTTGTGGATCCTCATTAACATGAAGTTCAGTGTGAGCTTGAACAATGATCCCTCAAATCATGTGTCTTCTCCACAGAGTCCGAATAGCAGAACAGGACTGGAGAAGTGGACTAGCCAGATTTATCCAGAGCCGGAGACGGCATCAGAGGAAGTGCACATGTTTGACTTGGATTGCTTTCTGTCGGACATCTCAGACACACTGTTCACCATGACCCAGAAACCCAGTCCCTGGATGGGAGAGCGCCAGAACAGTGAGTCCATGAAGGGATACAGTGTGATTTCTTTCGGAAACTAGTGTCGTGGAGCGGGCGTGTTACGGATACGTGGGGTAACATTTTTAAAAACCAATACGGTTAATACGTTGGTAAAACAAGTACATGATAAACCAGGTCTAAATCACATTCGCTAACGCTAAAGTAATATTTTATTTATTTGCTAGATTTTCATTTACACTTTGTTTTCATGTGACACTTCAGAATATATGAAGAGTTTGGTTCCAAAACACGATAAACGCCATTTCTAAAAAAAATTAGTTACTGCAAAAATCAGTATTGTATCTGGTTGGTATTGAAAAGTCAATGTTTAATTTTAAGTACGATATCCGCCGTGTTATTCTGTCATGTTTTCTCCCTTTCTTTCCAAACCGCGACAAACGCCAGTCTCCCTTCTCTGCAGAATGCGATATATCCGCTCTCAACCAATCACAATGCGATATATCCGCTCTCAACCAATCACAACGCACCATTCCACGCCATGTAAACAGTAACGGCAGCGCCTTAAATACACCCGGCTTCCTAGTTCTTCTTATCTATTTTGTACTTTTCGATCAACAAACAAACAAAAAAATGAATAATTTTGACGGGATTGATGAACCTGTGGTTGTTTCTGCGGTGGGTAAGAAACGTAAGGCATCGAAATCGAATCATTTACGTGAGGAGATTAAGAAGATGAGGCACTCGGGAGGAGGAAAAATGTTTTCAATCTTCTTTACAGTTTTTAATAAAAAATATTATACTAATAAACTTACGTTGTTGTTTCAATATGAAAAAAAAAAAACTTTTATATTGATTCAATGGATTAATTGCATTTTGATATAAAAAAAAATGGATTTATTGCATTTTGGGGGGAAAAATTATCCGTTTTTATAATAAATCTTTGAAAATCAAAACCTGGATTTTATTTATTTTTTTGTTATTATGACCTACAAATGCTATGTGAAAGTTTGAAACAGAAAATAGTGGTTTTCATCTTTCCACTTTCTTGGTAAAGAAAACACACTTTTACTAAAATTAATCTAAATGGATTTATTGCTTTTTGGAACCAAACTCTTCATATATATATATATTTTTTTCAAATTGGATAAGGCGTGTTCTTATTGCTTGAAAAACGAGTTTTTTTTAATTTTATTATTTGAAAAACGAAAGAATTCTAATTATTCTAAATAAAAATGTAGAATAATTTGATTTCTTTCGTTTTTCAAATTGGAAAAGGCATGTTCTTATTGCTGTTTGGCCTTTAACAATAAACAAAAATGTTTAAAACATGTTTCTCTCTCAGTTAAAAAGAAACAATATATGCTTCATAATAATAACTCAACCATAGATATTTATATGCACTAAAATCCGGATAAAAAAGGTTTGCAAAAGAACCTGAGATGCTGTGATGCGATTGGTCCGCTGGTTAGTCCAGTCATCCAATCACAGTCTCTGCTGAAGCAAAGTCACATGAGGTTTTTATTGCGCATTGAGGGATTTATTCGGTAATTGTGTTTCCATTTTAAGCTCATTTTCAGAATTCATGCACATCTTGGTGTTTTTTTTAAATGTGATTTCCCAAAATGTGCATAAAAATAGGTGGATGGAAACAGAATTATTGGGCAATTCTGAAAGTTTTATGGACTGTTTTTTTGGGGGGGTTTTTGGAGCCTGAAATGCACTGTCTACATTCAATATATGAAAAAAGCGATGTGCTATTTCTTCTAAATCTCCTTTTGTTTTCCACAGAAGAAATAAAGTTGTACAGGTTTGAAATGACATGTAATTCAATTAAATTATGACCATATTTTTTGTTATTATATGAACTATTTTTAAGCGCTTTTATGCGAGATCAGCTTTGTTATGGAAGCTTGTTTCCGACACAGAATTAAAAATAAAAAGGGTAATTGCGACTTTTTATCTTAGAATTGCGAGTTTACAGTCAGAATTGTGTGATTTTGATTTTGAGAAATAAACTACAAAAAAAATTAAAAAGGTAATTGCATGTTTATGTCTCGCAATTCTGACTTTATAACACGCAATTGGGAGATATTAAGTCAGAATTGCATGATATAAAGTCGCAATTGGGTGTTATAACATCAGAATTGTGAGATATAAATATGCAATTATGAGAAAAAGCAGAAATATGCAGAAAAAGTTCTGACTTTATAACACGCAATTGCGACTTTATCATGCAATTCTCACTTTATATCACGCAATTCTGACTTTATATCACGCAATTCTGACTTTATATCACGCAATTCTGACTTTATATCTCGCAATTCTGACTTTATATCACGCAATTCTGACTTTATATCTCGCAATTCTGACTTTATATCTCGCAATTCTGACTTTATATCTCGCAATTCTGACTTTATATCACGCAATTCTGACTTTATATCTCGCAATTCTGACTTTATATCTCGCAATTCTGACTTTATATCTCGCAATTCTGACTTTATATCTCGCAATTCTGACTTTATATCTCGAAATTCTGACTTTATATCACGCAATTCTGACTTTATATCTCGCAATTCTGACTTTATATCTCGAAATTCTGACTTTATATCACGCAATTCTGACTTTATATCTCGCAATTCTGACTTTATATCTCGAAATTCTGACTTTATATCACGCAATTCTGACTTTATATCACACAATTCTGACTTTATATCACGCAATTCTGACTTTATATCACGCAATTCTGACTTTATATCAAGCAATTCTGACTTTATATCACGCAATTCTGACTTTATATCTCGCAATTCTGACTTTATATCTCGCAATTCTGACTTTATATCTCGCAATTCTGACTTTATATCTCGAAATTCTGACTTTATATCACGCAATTCTGACTTTATATCTCGCAATTCTGACTTTATATCTCGAAATTCTGACTTTATATCACGCAATTCTGACTTTATATCTCGCAATTCTGACTTTATATCTCGAAATTCTGACTTTATATCACGCAATTCTGACTTTATATCACACAATTCTGACTTTATATCACGCAATTCTGACTTTATATCACGCAATTCTGACTTTATATCAAGCAATTCTGACTTTATATCACGCAATTCTGACTTTATATCAAGCAATTCTGACTTTATATCACGCAATTCTGACTTTATATCACGCAATTCTGACTTTATATCTCGCAATTCTGACTTTATATCTCGCAATTCTGACTTTATATCTCGCAATTCTGACTTTATATCACGCAATTCTGACTTTATATCACGCAATTCTGACTTTATATCACGCAATTCTGACTTTATATCACACAATTCTGACTTTATATCACACAATTCTGACTTTATATCACGCAATTCTGACTTTATATCTCACAATTCTGACTTTATATCTCGCAATTCTGACTTTATATCTCGCAATTCTGACTTTATATCTCGCAATTCTGACTTTATATCTCGCAATTCTGACTTTATATCACACAATTCTGACTTTATATCACGCAATTCTGACTTTATATCTCACAATTCTGACTTTATATCTCGCAATTCTGACTTTATATCTCACAATTCTGACTTTATATCTCGCAATTCTGACTTTATATCTCGCAATTCTGACTTTATATCTCGCAATTCTGACTTTATATCACGCAATTCTGACTTTATATCTCACAATTCTGACTTTATATCTCACAATTCTGACTTTATATCACGCAATTCTGACTTTATATCTCGCAATTCTGACTTTATATCTCACAATTCTGACTTTATATCTCACAATTCTGACTTTATATCTCGCAATTCTGACTTTATATCTCACAATTCTGACTTTATATCTCGCAATTCTGACTTTATATCTCACAATTCTGACTTTATATCACGCAATTCTGACTTTATATCTCGCAATTCTGACTTTATATCACGCAATTCTGACTTTATATCACGCAATTCTGACTTTATATCTCGCAATTCTGACTTTATATCTCGCAATTCTGACTTTATATCACACAATTCTGACTTTATATCACGCAATTCTGACTTTATATCTCGCAATTCTGACTTTATATCTCGCAATTCTGACTTTATATCACGCAATTCTGACTTTATATCACACAATTCTGACTTTATATCACGCAATTCTGACTTTATATCACACAATTCTGACTTTATATCTCGCAATTCTGACTTTATATCTCGCAATTCTGACTTTATATCTCACAATTCTGACTTTATATCACACAATTCTGACTTTATATCTCGCAATTCTGACTTTATATCATGCAATTCTGACTTTATATCTCGCAATTCTGACTTTATATCACGCAATTCTGACTTTATATCTCACAATTCTGACTTTATATCTCACAATTCTGACTTTATATCATGCAATTCTGACTTTATATCATGCAATTCTGACTTTATATCTCGCAATTCTGACTTTATATCACGCAATTCTGACTTTATATCACGCAATTCTGACTTTATATCACGCAATTCAGACTTTATAATGCAATTCTGACTTTATATCACGCAATTCTGACTTTATATCTCGCAATTCTGACTTTATATCACACAATTGCGACTTTATATCACGCAATTCTGACTTTATATCACGCAATTCTGACTTTATATCACGCAATTCTGACTTTATATCACGCAATTCTGACTTTATATCTCGCAATTCTGACTTTATATCACGCAATTCTGACTTTATATCTCGCAATTCTGACTTTATATCACACAATTGCGACTTTATATCACGCAATTCTGACTTTATATCACGCAATTCTGACTTTATATCACACAATTGCGACTTTATCATGCAATTCTGACTTTATATATTGCAATTGTGAGAAATAAAGTTAGAATTGTGAGATGTAAACTTGCAATTGTAAGATAAAAAGTTAAGAGATAAATTATAGTTTTAAATGTTTTATTCTGAGGCGGAAACAAACTTCCATAGCTTTATGGATCTCAGTAACATTGACATTTCAAACAGTTCCTTTGACTGAACAAATTCATTTAGTTCTTCACTGTATCTTAGTGTTAAGCTCTTTTATTGAAAGGCTGAATTAACAATATCACAACATATGCATCTTTCAGCGGCATATCATGCGTATCATACCCTGCCTTAAAGTGTTTTAATTTAGGATTTCATAAATGAGAGCTTTTAGCGATGGAGAATTTAGTCACATGAGTTTATAAAATGCATTCAGGAAGGACACCACACCCTTAAACAAGGAACCTTATAAGAATAAATGCACAAACTCCTTCAAACACACACACACACACACACACACACTTACAGTTGGTTTCTCTCCTGTGGTCTCAGTTTACACCAGTAATGCAGACATGATCCAGCCTGGGTTGACTCCACTGCAGCCCAGCTTGGATGACCTGATGGACATACCAGGTGAGTTTATTGAACATCATATATCAGTCTTTATTATCCTGACATTGCTCAGCTTTATAACTCTAACTTCATTGTTTTATATTTGCCATGTGCCGCTTTGCACCCGTGTCCTGGTGTCTCAGACACACAAGAGGAATAGGAAAATACAGTCGTAGAATGCTAAAAAAAAATATAATTGGAATTAAATATAGCCATTAATATATATTTTTTTAAAAATCTATAATTTTTCAGTATATTAATTAATATTCATGAACAATATGTTTTTTTTTATGTTAATGAAAAATATTAATTAAATAGAATATATAATTAAATACTATATATAATATAATAGTTATTTTATAAATTATTTTTCATTATAATTTTTTTATTAATATTCATAAACATATACAAGTAAATAAAATAATAAATCATTGTTTCATATCAATATATTGATTAATATTTATTAACAAATCGTTTTATCGGTTAATAATAAATATAATTAAATATGATCTGAATACATTAACTCAT